CTCCTACAAAAAAATCATCGTTATGCGCGGAAGTTATAACAGATGTAATACGTCAGACTGTTGGATATTTTATTCCCTTTATCAACACATCAATTGGTCGCAAAGCTCGATTACGTTTTACAAGTGAATGTGATGAGGCAGAAAAGCAAAAGAAAAAAGCATTTTTCGTATTTTTCATAGGTAGAAGCTCAAAATCACAAAATTCCGGATATTATTTCTAACAATATAACTTTTAACCAAGCTACAAAGTTCTGCCAAAGGGCGTTAAAGAAAGCGTGTTTCAACCATATTTACCATTATGACGTGAAACTCTCTGCTCAACCCTTCGGTAGTAGAGCTTTTTGGTCTCTCGCCAAAGCAGTCGAAATCAATTTTTGTAAATATTCACTACCTTCTTATGTTAAACTTGATGCTGTAATAATATCGTAAAGGGAAAGCACCACTGCTTGTACTTTTTTCGCCATAAATTTAGGTCTTAGCAATCAGACAACTTTATGATAGGGATCCACATTATACAAACATCTATTATTATACATACATTATACACGTAATAAAGCCCTGAAAACTCTGCGTTGTATTGATGAGACGTGACCACGTTACCAGTCGCACGGTGGGCCTCCATCCTTTTGTTGTAGACTTCCACACATCCGGACGAAGCGGTATGCTTCCTCCTTCCTATCAAGTAAAAATTTAAAAAAAAATTATAGGGACATGTATTTACATACCAGTCCTTAGGCACTAAAAATTTTAAAATCTTTAATTAAAATGCAGATGTAAGAAGCAACGGTTATGATATATTTAAATTTAATATTTAGCATTTGTGAGATGGTTACATTTTATATAAGTACATATCATACTTTGAATATTTCAATACAGGATATGCGATAACAATCACCTCATCGTAACACATGTACGTAATGTTATCTAGAAGAAGACCTAAGAATTAGCTAATATGTAACAAATAGCGAACTTCCTGCCGTTTTGTCGGAAATATTAAACATAATAACTCATCCATCTTGAACTGGTAAATCCAGACAATAGCATTACGTCTAGATACGAGCATAATTACTCCTATTCAAATGATACATTACGCAACAAGAAGGTTTTAATAACTTTCTCATGCAATTAATTGACAATCAAAATTGAAAACAAAAGATTAGGAAATTGATAGATTGTGAACTGAATCGATTCCATTTACTTTCGACTTGCCCGTATTGAGAATTCGTTCAGGTTTACTTTTTATCATTTAATACAATATATATAATTAAATAAGTAGTTTCAAGTATCAATAATATAAATACATAACATATACAACAAATAAAGATATAAGAATAGCTTAAAATAAGTTATTATGCGTATAAAGGTTATTGAATTATTTTCTTATCAGCAATTTAGTTAAAACTATCTTTTTATAAAGTAATTGTCTTTTCATACTATAACCAATTCACATAATATTAAAAAAAGCATTCCTATTTACCTATAAAAAATTAAGCTCAATATAATCAAAATAACTCGTATTAAAATTTTAGTTAGAAATTAGAGTTTTCCCATATCCTATTACAACTCACACAAAGAACGGAAAATATAAAGACAAGGTTAATATGGCCAGCAAAACAAACAAATGTAGTAATTTAAATATTTATAATTGCTCAACACATTACATGGTGTCACTAATTGTTGGTTATATATAAAAATATTAGTCAACATAATCACTAACAACAAAATGTTACCACACTTGTCTTGCCAGACAAAGAATTTTAAGTCATTACACAAGGAGATATAATATTAAACTTCAAATGACTTGAAGACCCTGAAATATGAAATCTATGTAATGGAAACCCACAATACATTCTCGTTATAATAAACCAATTCAAAAATATAACATATCATTGTTCAAACGTTTATTTCGCATGAAAACAATTCGTTCGAGTCTTTAATCTGTTCACAATAAACTCAAATCAAAGGTTAAATTCTTACACGTTATTGTTCTGTTTTGACTGACTAACATATTGTTTTAAATTAGCCGTGATCCGTGATATAGAGGAGTTGGATAAGAGGTATTATGTCTGGCTCATTATAAAAAAATTACCTAAGAATAAAACAAATACAACAATTTATAGCCAGCTTATTATTAAATCAATGTAAAAGTGAAGAAATTTTTCATTAATCAAGGAAAAATATCGGACTTTAATAATATAAAAATACCTGCTTTCAAAGTTATTTGTTTTTTCTAATTTTTTTTTTTATTAAACTAATTCACTAAAGTCTATTGTATAAAATTGACTGATAATTTTATAATTACAGAAAATTTATTTCATAAAATATGGTCATTGGTTAAAAAATTCTAGTTATTTTTTGTCTCAAAACAAATAATATTTTGCCATTTAATCATACTTTGACCTATAAATACAATTTCAATCAGTAGGAAGTTTCAGTAAAGTTTAAAAAAGAAATGTCAATCAGGCTCCCGACTACAGCCTTAACACTTTAGATACGTAGACTTTTTACTTTGACCTCAGAATTAAACAGATACCAATGATATAAAAAATACTTCATTATAAAAATATTTATTATAAAATTGATTGAAATAACTGATAAATACCACGGACCTACCTAACCCAGTAAGTAACTCAGACATACCTGTATATAACTTGGAAAATAGTACTTCTTACGCTAGCACTAACAGTTTCTAAGTTTGCATTGTCATGATTGAATAATAAAAAATAATAGGATACTGAGAAGGCGACAGATGTTAAGGAATTTTTTAAACAAGTTTACTATTTTTTTATGTTGGCAAAAACATTGTACGATAGACCTTTCTGTATAAGACCGACTCAAAATGTAGAACATTCTAAAGCAAATATAATGTACAACTTCTGTTTCGCAAACCTTCAAAGTTCAAAAATACCAATACTTTTAGAATACATCCTGTTATTCACAATATATAGTATATTATATCTAATTATTATAAAAAGCATGAATATTTTTTTAAAACTGTAAAACGTTTAAGATAACTAAACTCATCTTTAGAGAAATAACACTACAGAGACAAATTTTTGTCAGACAAATTTCTAAGATGATGAAGTTTCTTCATAACGTTAATGAAATAATCGAAGTCACAGTTAAAATCTATTTTCTAATATTATGTTTTCGAAAAACCATAACATGTATTCCGTACTGACGAATTAAGATAAGTTTTGTTCAAATAATTATCTTAAATACAAATCAAGACAAAATCTAGTTATGACTATTTCAGATTTCTTTTAGCAGATTCTCAATACTTTGTTATGACGTAAAAAAAAACTAAAAACATACTGAAAACCTTGCAACAATTTTGCTGTATCCGTGTACAGTACCGTCTCAAAATTGATATTAATGTCTCTACACAGCTTCAATCATATTAATTACGATTATTTATAGAACAGAACAAAATGTAGAATTAACATTTAGTTTGTCAACATTAATTACAACCTTATGTACAGGTATATAAAATTTAGTTTACAATGGCGTTACGTAGACAGTGTAATTAGGTCCACTTACATCTGGGTGGGGTAAATCGAAAGGACTATGAAGGACCTTGAGTTTTGAAAGTAAACAATAACCGGAACACACTCGTAATAAATGAATTCATTATTTTATATACGCTATGGAATATTCTTGAACATAGAGAAAATTGTCTTCCTATTCAGTTTTGTAAAAGCAATTATTTACGGAAGTCTTAAACGTTCTATACATATGTGTTTGTAATGATTACGAAAAAAAATATTCGATTAAAAATGCAAAATATGTTCAGTACTATAAAATATGTATTCTCAGTGCCCATAGTTTACCTATAATCTGCAGTTTAAGCAATGAAAAACAATATACTGTTTCTCTTATTCGGTTAAAATCTATACTAATATTATAAAGCTGAAGAGTTTGTTTGTTTGTTTGTTTGTTTGTTTGTTTGTTTGTTTGTTTGTTTGTTTGTTTGTTTGTTTGTTTGTTTGAAAGCGCTAATCTCAGAAACTACTGGTTCGAATTGAATAATTCTTTTTGTGTTGGATAGTCCAGTTATCGAGGAAGGCTGTAGGCTATATAACATCACGCTACGACCAATAGGAGCAAAGATATAGCGGTAAATGTGTAAAAAACGGGAGAAATTATTTCATCTTTGAAGCCTTCCGTTGCGTGCTCCGTCAAAACGGTTCAAGATACACAAAAAATATGTATGAAAGAATAATAGCTCTTTTTATGATCTAAAAAACAGTCCGCGACAGTATATGTCTATCTTTTAAGATTAACTCACAAAAATCGTTTTTATGGTACCTAATTTGGTCGAAATAATTTGTTTAAGTTGTATCAACATAATAATATTAATCTTTATTCAAATAAACAAATAAATATGTTGTTGGTTAAGAGTACTTCATTGTGAATAAAAGAAAACATAGGTTTTATCCTGAAAATTCTACGGGAACTCGACCATTCCGAAAACCCCGCAAGAACGGGAACTATGTGGGAAGAACCAAACATCTGCCGGAAGTCACTATTCCACGCGGACGTAGTCGCGGCAAAAGCTAGTTAAATATATGAAATTTGAGATGGAAATGAATCTTATAAAGATATTGTCGTATTACAATTTCTGGCTTTAATTTTCAAATATAATTAAAGGTGAGCAAGTGCCTTAAAAGCAAAATATATTAATTTACAGTGATAAGGAAATACCAATATCCAAGAAAGAGATAACGTTAGGAATTCGTAAGAGTAACGCTCCTTTCATATTACACGATTTCGCTCGTGCGGGAAAAAATCGCCCGATTTTTAATAATGGTTTTGCTACTTTCACATTGAACGATAAAAATCGTACATTTTTATCAGTTCATTGGAACATTTGGTCTGGTCTGGATGAAAACTATGGTCGCGAACAAGTTATTGCGTTATGGATACTGTATCGGCGTCGGAAAAGACAAAGGCGCAATCGCCTTCACTACTTTCGTATGTCAGTTCGCTCCTTTGATGAGTTACGTGGGAAACTGAAGAGTGTTCTTCTTGTTCTTCTTCTTCTTCGGCCTTGCTTGATTTTGCTGTTCACGTACATATTGAGAAAAGTGAAGCTGTTGTGCGCTATTTTGAACGTAGCCCGAAAAACTAGGATTTTCATATTGTTGAGATTGAAATGGAGGTTGTTGAACATGGACAAATGCTTGCGGTTGGTTAACGGGAGATGGCTGAAGCATGTACTGAGGTTGTGGTTGATAAGAGGGCGCAGAAGAGGGGTTGTTTGATTGAAGATGAGGAGTTTCCTTTAGTTTGTTTATGTTTTCTATTACGTTTAACACTCCCACTTGAAATTGAAGGAATTCACTGTTGGAATAGTTTGTCAAATGAGGCATTAAACTCTGAAGGAAGGACATTTTACTGCATGGCGTTTTATGTTCCAGACCTTTGAGCATTTTCACCTCAACCTCATCTAGTATCTTTCGTTTCCTTGTTCCTACGGGCTTGGATGGCAGGTTTACGTTGGTAGAAACTTCAGGTTCATCAGTGGTGCCTTCAGGCTCTTCATCTTCTTCGAGTGTTCCTGGTACAATTTCTGGTTTGAAGCTATCTACCGTTTCTTTTTTGGTGTAGATCTTATTCAAAAATTGAAGTTGGTTTGAAAATACATATTTCTTACGTTTTTTAGCTCCAGATCCACTTTTTTTAGCAGATTTGTCATCTTTTTTCCATTTTGCGAAGCAATCTCGGAGATTAGTCCACCTTTTCACCACTTCTTTGCCTGTAAAAAAAATAAATAAATACAATCAATTCAGTATGATATATAATTATTAATGACAATGTTCACTTTATTTCAGATATTTGGCGAGTGGCTGTATGTTTACGGATTTGCACTACACCTACAAAGTTGGAATTTCAACAGCAAAAAACATAGTTGAAGAAGTATGTACTGCCATTCTGTCTGAAATGCGGGAGGAGTGTATACCGACACCAACTTGTGATATGTGGCAGTCAATTGCTTCCAACTTTGAAAGTATCGCAAACTTCCCTCACTGCGTTGGAGCTGTGGACGGCAAGCATATAAGACTGACTTGTCCGTTTGACTCAGAATCAATGTATTTTAATTACAAAGATTACTTCTCTATTGTCCTTATGGCTGTAGCAGACACAAAGTACAGACTTGTTTACGTTGATGTAGGGAGCTATGGTAAAGAGTGTGACTCTTCAATATTTAAGAGGTCCAAATTGTGGAAATCAATAGACAGTGGTTCTTCACCATTACCTGAGGACAAAACTTCTTCCAGGAACGAGAGTCCTAAAATACCATACTTCTTTGTTGGAGACGAAGCATTTGGCTTACACAGATATCTACTGAGACCCTTTGGAGGGAAATGCTTACCAGTTGAAAAAAGGGTCTTTAATTATAGATTGTGCAGAGCACGAAGATATGTGGAATGTGCGTTTGGCATCCTGAGCCATAAATGGCGTATATTTCCTCGCCCTATCAACGTTCAGCTACATTTCGCAGTGCTCATCGTCAATGCGTGCATCGTATTGCACAATTATATACGTGACAGAGACGGATATCTTGTTGAGGACACAACGACGATCACAGGCCTGGATGATGTATCAGGGGAAAGCACTACACGAGGAGGCTTGGAAGCAAACAATATCAGAAGTGTGCTTACCTCATATTTTTTGACAGAAGTCGGAAGTGTATCCTGGCAAATGTCTAAAGTATAATTTGTCATATATGTGAAAATAAATAAATAAATGAAATAAAAAATAAAGAGTGTCTCTGTTGTAGATAGTAAATCAAGTGAATTATACAATACATACCACACCGATATACATTAAAAAAATACAATATACACACGTCCAAAAAAGTAAGTTTGCTTAATAGAAAGTTAATAGATATAGTACTTACCAAATGCATATTTTTCTCCATTGCCATTGTTCTCGAAATCCGGATTGAGTTCTAAACATACTTCTTCCCAGGCTTTCCTTGTTGCATTTCTATCCTTATAAATTTCTAAAGTTTTGTCCCATAACACAGGTTTTGCTTCAACTAGGGATATTAACACTTCAGCGTCAACACCTTCCATAATTTGCAAACAAACCACCAGAACTATACGCTGTAGAAACAATACTGGGGACAATTCCCGTACGACTAAAGACCGTCTAGTGTGAAAGCGTGCATTTGGTCACGTAGGCCACTAGGCTAGAGGGCGATATGGTAGCCGTGCGGTTCTAGTAGCACTGGACGGCTGCAACACGATTACAAAACGTGCCCGTGTTCAAATCGTGCAATGTGAAAAGTCTCGTACTCTTCAACAGTCGATCAATAAAAATTGCCCGGGCGATTTTTTCCCGCACGAGCGAAATCGTGTAATATGAAAGGAGCGTAATAACGTAATATTGTCCGGTTTTATTTAATATGTCACTCAACAGACTGGATGAAATGATTTTTTTTATTTAAATGTCACATTGTAAACCAAAAAAGGGCGTAAGCACTTGTTATAGTGAACTTATCGTTAGAAAATGTATGATCCAAATACCAACACACATATTAAATGTATTGTATTTTCCCAGAAATAATAAGAATTGGAAAAAAAATTAGATTCCAACACTTCCTTTCTAATTGTTTGGATTTAACATATAACAAAAAATTTATAACTATTTTTTCATTTTCCCCTAATTGTATTTTATTATATCATTTGATAATATTCCATACCTATGTATCTAAATACAATTACAATCAAAAATTGCAATTTACTTTGTCCGTGATAGGAATTAGGCAACATTTATTACAATAATCTTTCAGTCTTGAAAATGAATTTGTAAACTCCTTCGTTAAGCTAAAATAGCTGAATAAGTACTCTGACTCAGGAGCAGTAATATATCACTACAAAAATATACATATAATTATACAATTCTATACATATGTACATAGATAATACATAGCTGCTACTTTTACTCTTAAAAGCATTTAAAGTTACAGCGGTGACCTCTTTTGATACATTTATAAAGTAAAAACAATTAGTAGGTTAACTGGCCTAAAGATGGCACTAAAACGTTTTAATTATTAATATGTACTGGTGAAAGATTTTATAAAGAAGAATATATATTTTATTATTTCAAAGTTTCATGAAATATTAAATTAAAAAAAAAATAATTCTTAGTTTTAATAAACAATCTATAATAGACAAGTTGTATTTGATAACAGTGACAGCTGATTTCGGTTTACCTACCTCTTTTGTTTGAAAATTTAAATCAATTCCTCCTTGAGACCTGAAAAATTAACAATTCAAACTAAGAGAATAAAAAGTTATTCAATAGAAAGTTTTAAAAACTATGGAATCTGCTAAAGTACTGAACTTAAATAGGTAAGTAAAGATTTTGGAATTCAAAAGATAGTCTCAAACTTAGTTTGAACTTGCGCGCTATTCGTTATTGATTTTCTTTTAAAAATAACTCTGAAGGATGTAAATAAATGATAAACTCGGCGTTTTAATGTTTTGCTCGTCAAAAATGAGTGTATTATTGATGTGTAAGGTGAAAACTACTCTAACAATATATTTTTAACGACCTAGAATCGCTGCTACAGATTCATTGGGTTTTACACCCATAAAACCGAAACTACGACGATTTGTGGATGTTTATTCTCCAGAACATCTGAATTTGACGCCTAAGCCTGTAAGTTTTATTATTTTAATTTTATATAGATTATGTCAACACCTCTATTTGATTATTGTGGTTTACAGAAACAGAAGCTTGATTTGCTATCCAATGTTGGTAAATTGTATTTAACGCCGGATAAACCTTTAATCATTGATAAAGAATGCAGGTAATTATTATTTTTAATGATTCTTAATTCAATTAATGAAAAATCTGTACCATACTTTTAAAAGCATAACAAAATCTCTTCTAACAAAAAAAAAACACTCTGAAATGATTACTTTCTGGCATTAGGACTGTCAAAGCTCATCCAAATGCTTGCAATGCCTGGGGGAATTGTTCTTTTGAAGGCAATCAAAGCTTTCCAAGATTAAGTAGAAAACTAAGGCCATTAAGAATGGATCTTGAGACTCCAACAAAAGCAAAACCAGCTGTTGATTTAGTTAGAGGTAAGTATGTTTGTTTTTTGTGAACAAGAAGAAATCAATTATATTGTAATGTAATTAAAGAAATAATTCACTTAAAGGTTTTCTTTGAATCTTTTATAAACAAAAATAAGTTTTTCTAGGAACTTTTATTTGTTAGTCCACTTTAGAAGTGATTTATATGAAAATAAAATTAAAGTGAATGTATCCATACTTATTAATGATTTTGATCATCCTTAGTTGATGGGCCAAATGGATTGCGTTTCAATAGCTCCTTGGCAACTGGAGATGCAGCATCCACACCTACGCAGATAGACAGATTGCAGCAATCTATCAACCATAGTAAAGCAGTCTTCACCATTGAACCAAACACTTCAAAGGTGAAAATAAGTTTCAACCATGTTAATTACAAATAAATAAATGATATATCGAATTTAAAACATTTATTTGTTTTGTATGTTAAATATAATTCATATTTAATTAATAAATGGAAAAAAGATACATATTGTTATTGTAAAGGCTTGGAAAACAGTTCTGTACTCTGAAATATGTTTAATTTTCAGATTCTTATTGTAAACAACAAGGCTTGCTCTCTGCTGGGTTACTCTTCTGGGGAATTATGTGACTTAAGGTTCTCAGATCTTCTCAGAAAAAGAAATAGCAAGGCTTTTAGTATTCATGAAGCAGAAGATGGTGATATCTCCGAAGATGGTACAATGATTTTGTTAAGTGGCAAGGTAATTTCACTAAATTATTTAATTTATATATTATTGAATGACATATTTCTTATAAGAAGGCTAACCTGAATAATAATTTAATTACTTGACCATCTTTTTAGAATTAGAGCTATCTTAAAATATTTTTCATTCAGTTATAAACTTACTGAGATAGCTAGCCATTAGCATTGGTAATGATGAATTTTTTTTTAGGTTGTAGAACTGCTGACAAAGGATGGCAGTTCAGTTCAAGTATCTCTGTGGATACGACAATTAGACAGTGATGGACCATGTTTGGTGGTTGCTGAGCCTATCATCTGTAAAAATGTTGTGGTGAATAATAGTTTAATTTCATTCTTTATCCACTGTACCAATGTATACATACCATTCACTTATAAAATCAATAATGTATACTAGACAAATGTCTATTAGAGAAGGCACTCAAGGGCATGCACAGGGACTTTGTATAACTTCTTAAATAATTACATTTAATTCTATTAATGTCAAAACCACAAAAAATGCACCTTTTCTATTCAACAATAACTAATACTTTTTTAAATATTGAATGGCTAGAAGCACTACTTTTCAAACACAGGCATAGGCTCTTACACTTGCATGTAAATGTATTTGTATAGCAAATAAGCAGCAAGTAATAACTGCTTAGGCCAATATTCTCCGGAAGGCGACGCCAGAGACGGCTCGTGGAAAATATTTCTGTTTATTTTCAATAGATAACTCTATTAAGGATTTTAACAAATTATGGATCCGATAAAAATATAAATCTCTGAACACTTGTATAGAATGTGTTAGGGCAGATAAGATATAGGTTTATTTGTTTTATGGGTATATTACAAAAATTATTATTTATTAACATGTATTGTGTACGCACTACTTAAACCAGTTACACAAAGTATATGGATTTTAGGTTTATAAATTATATTTTCACAATTAATTTCTTCTTCAATAATCTGTATAATATATGTAATTTCCTAAACATATCTCAATATCTGTATAATAGTTTTGGTATTCTTCCAGCTCACTATAGATGGAGATGGTATAATAACATCCTGTGAGGGAGAGGATGTAGCTTTATTGTTCCAAGCTGAATCATCGGACAAGCTCATAGGTCTACCAGTCTCATCTTTGATACCGTCCATACAGCTGCCACATGACGTTCCCATGTCTAAGAGTGTTTCAAAGCAGAAAGCAACAGGTAATTTAGTGTTATAAAATATAAGAGAACTTTAAAAGGGTTACCATAAACTTACCTGAAAGATTTTTTTATTGGGAAAAAAATATAAGAGATTTTTTTTATAATAAAACATTGCTTAACTAAACAAGACATCATGGTAAATTAATTCACTAAAAACTCACTGAAGATAGGACTATGTAAAATATGGAATGAGATATTTTTAGAGCCTTGATATTCTTTATTTATGTATCCAGTCTTTACTATAATATTTATGTTATAAAAGTATTTCAATGATGCATATAATGTCAAAACATATTTTGTTTCCAGGTAGGACCCTTGATGGCGGTTCATTTCCATTGTGTCTGTGGATATCAAAAGCCCATGTAGAAAACACTTGGTCATCGTTGAAGACTAAAGATAAACCTGCCAACAAAGAGAAACCTGTATTTGTAGTTAATGTCAGGGTGAGTTTCATATATTTTTTATAATAATATACTTAGTTGTTATATTTTAATTTTTACTATTTTAAACATGATTTAAATATATAATACCAGACTAGACTAGTAATGAAAAATATCATCTGTATGTAGTAAGAATAAACTTCGTCACTTCTCTGTAACATGTAAAAATAATTTATTTACACTTGAAATGATTTCTGCTGATACTTTCGATAATCGCACGTAACCGTTACTGGTATGATATCAAGATTTACAATAGCTGAAACTTCCACTGCATATAATATTATTTATTCACACATTTAATATACCCTCTTAAATGCGTGTCCTATAACTAATGTCATAAATATAATATATCATCGTCGATAGTGAAAATCCGCATAACTACCATCGGATAATTTCGCGTACCTCCATTGGAAGCAGATTAACGGAAGAAAATTTAATTTGAAATATTTTCTATATTAACGACTTTTAAGGTAATTTATTTATTTATTTATTAAGGCAAACACAACAGGTCACAATCACATACAGAAAATTTCTTAAACATTAATAGTATCGAACAGATTATGACCCCTAAGGGTGCATGCACAACATGACGGAATTGCCAATTATTATAATACAGGAGATAACTAGATATTAGTAGTAAACAAAAAAAAAGGCAAAAATAAAGTTACACGAATTAAATTTACAAGAAGAATAAATGGTATAATAAACAATTTTTGTTTGAAGTTACAAAAAAATACAAAAGAAATATAAATTGTTAATAATTATAGTTTTTTTAAATTTACAAGATTGCATTTTTAAGATAGACATTTTTTTACAGTTTTTACAAAGATCGCTTGATTTGTGTTAAAAAATTATTTTATTAAATTAATTTTATTCACAATTAGTAATTATTTAGTGTTTAAATTATTACTAACTATGAAAAAATTACCTTAAAAGTAGTTAATTTATGCGTTTCGTTAATTTTACGAGGATTTGCATTATCCCCGACGATATTTAAGCTTTATATATTATTGTATTACATATCAGGTAACATACAACGTTAGCGGCCTTCTTGTCGTTGACGAGAGCGGCGTGATAACAGCATGTAACCAACACTTTGCTATGTTGACCTTCGGTAAAGCACAGTCAGAGGTGATAGGACATCAAATAGAAGACGTAATACAGAACTTCTGTAGGGAAGCCGATCTTATGAAGATTCAAGACAGAAATAGAAATATGACTCTATCACCTGTCAACAATGATAATAATGATTCTGGTTAGTATATAGCATTGATTGCTGTAATAGAAATGAATAGTACCGTAATATGAATTTCAGCATTTTGTTTACAATATAATATTTTCGCATACAATTGAGATTTTTATTATATTAACGTTAAAAATATTGACAGAAGGCAATATACTATGAACTAAAGAGAAAACATCAATATGAATAAAGCTGTCAATCGCATTAAATTATTTCTCAAAATCGGTTATGGGTTACAGCTATATTACAATATATTTTTTTATTCAGCTTCAGAAACTGACGAGGATTCGTGTGGAGCGTTCAATGGAAGTCAGAAATCTGCTTGCACGTCCCTGAATGTACAACAGTCGATGTTATCAACAACTAGAGAAAAATCCTCTAGCGCGCTGTGCCTCGATAAGTCATATAGTATGGTGACACATACTCCCACACCCACACAGGATATGGTCTCTAGTATAAGCACGACGGAGCAGAGAAACGATATATCAGCCCTCCCAGACGTCACTTCCGGCATGTCAGGAATTTCCATAGACGATGAGAACTACTGTCAAAGCAGCATATCCAAGTCGAGGTCCGAGAACATGCTTCGATCAGAACAGGGTAATATAAAACAGTCGCCCAAAGTGAACGAGAAATCTGACTCGATCTATTACACCTCCCAACACTCTCAGGAAGTCACTCCAACGGGCAACTCATCAAGAACTCGATTAAACGACACCTCACTAAGACTATCATTCGACTTCACCAAGTGTAAAACAATCAAAGTTAAAGAGGACAAAAGTAGCGCGTCCCTAGATTTTTGTGACTCTAATGAGACGAGCGCTGATTTCTTGACTCCTATCAACGAAATGCCGCCGCCGGGCTGTGAAATTGAAGATTTACCGAAACACAACGGAAATGACGAAAGCATGGACAGTTTAAGCAATGACAATGATCTGGAGACACAAACAGAATCCGCGCCGAGGAAGAAGTTTGATGGTGAGTTAAATCTCAAAACAAGACGTATCTTAGAAGCCTATAATATTTAAAATTACCTACTCGAGGGGTCTATTATTAATAGCATAAAATTGCCTCAAACACTAATCACAAAGTCTCCAACTGAATGAATTCTATGTATAATCTATATTTCTTATCAATATTGCATACCCTTAACACGTATACCGATTCCAAAACATCCCCCATACTCATCACCTTTTCTCATATTCCAGACGAGCCAGAGACTCCTTGTATGACGAAGCGCCTGGTCCGCGCCCACGTGACTTCGACTCCGGCACAATCACGCCGCGACCTGGACGACTGGCGCCGCGCTGACGGCACATACAGCGGCATTGTGCGGCATAAAGACGGCACTGAGCTCAGTTAGTATAATATAATACTTAACCTACCATAAGCTTGAAGTCTGCAGCCGTACGCCGTCGCGAACGGATCGCTTTTAACCGTCTCATCACTTAAAAAATCGCACAAGTGGCAATTTTCGCGTTATAGTGTCGTGTTATACACCAAAAGTTGCGTCTTCGCGAATTCTTTAAGACAGTGTATTTACAATTGTGAAAAGTGATTTATTTTAACTATTAAACACGCAAAATTTAGTGACAGGGACACACTTTCTATAATAACCGAAAAAGTAAAGCGCTCACCCCCCTTTTTTTTTGTACCATTAAACTGGGCTCGGTGAGACGCTTCTTTTGAGGTATCTTACATAATTTTATCTTTAGTTTTTGACACAAAAAACTGACATTAAAACATTTACCACGTGGCGGAAAACGCGCCCGGAAAAGTGATTTCCAAAATTTTCATGTTCTATAGTGTTAAGGATAGTTTTAATAGTTTTTTAGTGTTTATTTTATAATTTTATCTTTTATAGTTTTTTAAATATAAGGTTTTTAAGTTTCTTTACACACCAATTCTGATGCAATGATACTAAATTCACTTTCGGATAATTAAAAGACATTGCGGGCGCCAGTATGCCCCCAGCCGCCAACCCCAAGCCCCTCCCGGCACTGGCCGAAGATGTGTACGATGCTGACACCCTACACAGCGTAGTCACAGCGCTCGCGGCGACGATCATCAAGACGGTCGTCGATAATCGGAGCGTCACCTCCGCAGCCAAGACGCACATCGTACAGGCGGCGGAGGAGATCAGGAAGGCGATCGCGCTCCACGCGAAGCTGCCTGCCCCCTCCGCCCCCGCCGACTCCCCAGACACTTCTTCTGCTCAAGACGCCATGATTTCATCGGTGCGAGAACTCACTCGATCCGTAGCCTGCATGCAAGCTGAGCTCAAGGAGCTTAAGGCTCTGCACGCCCGCCCCGCACAGGCCCAGCCTGCTCCCGCCGATGCCGCTGCCGCCGCCTACCCCGCAACCTCAGCTGCCACTGTTGCGGCTTCCGCCTCCGCCGCCTCCGTGACCACCGCTGCTGCCGCCGCCGCCGCCCCCCCGCCAATACTCGCAGAGCTCGCGCTCCCCGTAACCTTCTAGCGCCCACCCCAAACCCAATCCCAAACCCCACCTACGCCCAACAGGCAAGCCGCCCGGCACAGCCTGTCAGGCGCACACCCCCCCGCTCCCGCACCCATCCAGCCCAAACCCAGTACAATCATCCGCCCCGCCATCTTAGTTGCGACCAAGAATCCGACTAAGTCCAGGCAGGAGGCCGTTGAGGCCTTCAAAAAGAGCATCTCGTTCAGAGATTGCACGTATGCTCCAGCGAGGGTCTCACCGGTCTCCAATAACAAAATCAGGGTGGAGTTTGAGACCCAGGCGCAATGCGACGACGCCCTTAGCAAACTTCGCAGCAAACCAGACGCACCAGTGACAGCCGAACCAGCAAGGAAGCTCAAACCAATGATCTTGCTGAAGGGAATCAGTTCCGACATGGCACCGGAGGATCTGGTGAGTACCCTCCTGCGCCAAAACCCGCAACTTCACACATATAGTGACACCGACGTCACCTTCCGCTTCAAAAGAGGCAATAATAGAAGCACCCACCTATACAACGCCGTCCTTGTGGCTAATCCAGCCACCTGGAAAACAATAGTCGAGATGGGGAGAGTCTGCCTGGACTTCCAGAAGGTTCATGCAGAGGACTTCTCCCCATTCCTACAGTGCCAGAAGTGCCTCAACTTCGGGCACGTGAAAAAACACTGCCGGACTGAGGCCACACGATGCTCTCATTGCGCATCAGACACCCACCTACAAGACGTATGCCCAACCAAGGACACTCCGCACCCTCCCAAGTGCTACAACTGTACCCAACACAACATCAAATTCAATAATAACCACCCCACTACACACAAGGCTACGTCACAGACATGCCCCATTCTAAGAACTATCAAAACCAGAACACTCAATTCGGTCGATTATGGATCCACATAAAATTAAAATCATTCAGTGCAATTTAGACAGGTCAAAACACTCTCTTAAAGAGTTCATCACATACTTCATTAATAGCGAACACAACGTAGCCTTAGTGTCTGAGCCGTACACGGGTAAGGGTATCGAGGTCGGGGCCATTAGAGGCCTGGAAATCTTCCAGTTCCCTAGCGGACCCGATGGGAGGGTCAAGGCGTGCATATTGGCCAAAACCAAGACCGCATTCCTCGGGCTCTCCCAATTCTCTACCCCTAACCTATGTGTGGTTCGGACACTACACAGACACCAACAGGTACTCATCGCCTCCGTCTACATCGAGCCCAGGGTCGATGAGGCGGATACACTACACTCATTAGAACACCTTCTCAGCAACAACACCAACACCCGCTGCATCATCGGTGGCGACCTTAATGGTTGGCACCCACTCTGGGGGAGCGAACGCATGAACCCAAGAGGGAGGGAAATCATCGAACTCTCCCTCATTCACAATCTTTTGGTATGCAATGTGGGCAACACACCCACATTCGAAACTATTACCCACGGTCATGTGCGCTCCTCCATAATCGACATCACACTCGTTTCGTCACTTGTCTACGACCAAGTTACAGACTGGAAGGTGAACCTGGACGCTTGTCCCTCGTCGCAACACAATGCAATCGACTATACATATACACACTCGCATTTTCAAAACAAATCACAAACTTCTCAACATCTTAACACAACCACCTTCCTTTACAAGAACAACAAAGCGAATTGGCGCCTCTTCAAGGAGTCAATTCTCACACAATTCACGAGCAGCGACACATTGGAATCAGACATCCACGCTCTGGACACTGGACAGCTTGAGTCTCTTATCGACACCATCACCGAATATATACACACCGCCTGTAGGGATTCCATGCCCGTCAGATCGCCGGAAGCGAAATGCAAGCCTCCTTGGTGGACAGAGGCCTTGGAAGCTCACAAGCGCGAGGTCATACACACCCATCACCAACTACACGCGGCCAAGAAATCCAACCAACCGGTGGATGCTCTGGCCCGACAGCTACACACCCTCAAAGAGCGATACGCCACTGCACTTAAAGCGGAGTCGACCGCCCACTTCAAGGAGTTCTGTGAACTCCAAACGAAGGAGAATGTCTGGTCTCTGACTAATAGACTTCTCAGGGAATCGGCTCCACGACGTCCACCAGTCACGCTTAAGGTCGGCGGTCGCTACACCACAGATACAGCCGAAACCGCCAAAGCCCTACTCGACCACTTCTACCCTGACGACTCGACAGACACGGACGTGAGACATGACCTACGGGCTCACATGAAGGAATTCCCTGAGACTCCAGAGGACCCCCCTTTTACCGAGGGGGAGATTCTGGAGGCACTCAAGGGAATGCACCCGAAAAGGGCACCCGGACTCGACGGACTTACCTCCGACATTTGTTTACAGTTCTTCCGACTCTTTCCCAAATTCATGACAGACATCATGAATAGATGTCTGTCACTTCAACATTTTCCCCGACAATGGAAGAGGGCTTATGTTAAGATCATCCCTAAACCTAACAAGACTGACCGTACTGACTTGACCGGCTACAGACCGATTGGTTTGCTGCCGGTGTTCGGAAAGCTTCTCGAAAAGCTCTTTATCAGCCGAGTGACCTACGTCGCGGATAAGGCCGGTAAATTGAGCAAGAAGCAGTTCGGATTCCGGCCGCAGACCAACACGACGGCTGCTATCCACGCAGCCATAGACTTGATCAAACAAGCCAAGACTGACAAGCTACTCACAGTCGCCGTCTCCTTAGACATCAAGGCCGCCTTCGACAACGCTTGGTGGCCCGCTCTCTTCCATCGGCTGAGGCATATCGGTTGTCCACGCAACATCTACGGACTCATCCTCAGCTACACTAACCAACGCACAGTCATGCTTGACCACGCCGGTTGTAGGGCTTCTAAAACTATGTCCAAGGGCTGCATCCAGGGTTCGACCTGTGGCCCTCACCTATGGAATATCATCCTCGATGAGCTCCTGGAAATCGATTTGCCTCCTGGCTGCCGACTCCAAGCCTTCGCTGACGATGTTTTGTTGGTTGCATCAGCGAAAACCGCGTCTGAATTGCAGGATAACATTAACTCTGCACTTCACACAATCACCAGCTGGGGCAAAGGAGTCAAGCTCTCGTTCAGCCCCGCCAAGACACAGGCTTTAGCGTTCAACGCCAAAGCCAAACAGATACTCATTACCATGGACTCACACACTATTCACTTCCAGAAGAGCATCAAGTTCCTCGGTGTAATTCTGGATGATAAACTCAACTTCCGCGAACACATTAACCACATAGTCTACAAAGCCACCAAAATTTTCAATAGACTCTCCTTCTTCTGCAGACATACATGGGGGGCCCACCCAGAAAACATACGCATAATATACTTACAGGTGATTCAGCCTATCATTACATACGCCGCCGGAGTGTGGGGGCACGTGGCTGATAAGAAGTGCGTGAGGAAGAAGCTTCTGTCTATGCAGAGAGCCTTCGCCCTCAAGGCCATCAGAGGGTTCAGGACAGTGTCCACCTCTGCTGCTCTCGCACTCGCCTTGTTCACCCCCCTGGACCTAAAAGTCAAAGAAGTGAACCGGGTCGAAGCCACTCGCCTTACTGGCTCGTCCTCGCTAGTTCCGGCAAACATCACACTGGAACTTCCGACTCCTCCACATCTTCTCCTTCATCCAGCCCACAGACATACATATGACTCACACACGTTCTGGACCCAAGGCGAGGTTCAGGACTTCCAGTCAAGAGCTCACCCTAACACCACCCACACCTTCACCGATGGTAGCAAACTCGAAGATGGAGCTGTCGGGGCGGCCTTCGTCAGCTATGGCGCAGAACGCAATCCCGTCAGTAAGAAGTTCAAGCTTCATAACAGTTGTACTGTGTTCCAGGCTGAACTTCTAGCCATCCTCAAAGCTTGCGAATGGGCCTCTTCCAACCAACACACACGCACGGTTATATACTCAGACAGTAGCGCTGCCATTCTCGCCATCCAGAACCGCAGTAACACACACCCCTTGGTTGCGAAAATACACCTCACAGTACACCACACGTCCGGGTCCATCGAGTTCGCGTGGGTCAAGGCTCACGTGGGCATAGTGGGGAACGAGGCTGCGGACACCGCTGCCAAGCGGGCGGCCAAGCTCCACAGAGCCCCGGACTACACACAATTTCCAATCACATATATAAAACACTCCACACGAACACTCCACGCCTCAGTCTGGCAGTCTCGATACGAGAGCGAGCCACAAGGACAATACACCAAACAACACCTTCCTACAATTAAACACATCATTAAATTACACTCACTTGCGCACAACACATTCACACTAACCCAAACACTTACAGGACACGCCTACACCAAACAATATCTACACAGGGTTAAGGTCACGGAGGATGCTGTCTGTCCGTGCGACGACACCACGGTGCAGTCAATGGGACACGTGCTCGAGGACTGCCCGCGGTTCATTGCACAGAGATCAGACCATCAGATCATCTGCCGCCACGCCGGGGTGTCTCCCTTCAACATGGCCTCCCTTCTGGAGAACAAAGAAGCCACCTTATCTTTCATCAATTTCTCTAAATATATCATAAACAATCTTAAATCGTTCAATAAGACATAACTTCATTCTTCGTTCCACTTCATTTCTATTAATCGCACACCTATGGCTGTCACTGGACGTCCTGCAAAACTTACTAATAAGTGAAATAACTGTTTCTTTTCTTTTATTTTTTTTTATATATCCTTGTACATATCCCTTCCATATATTTATACATTTATGTCGGCTCAGACTCTTAGTTTTAAGTTAGTATAAGGTTCATCAATCATCCTCATTATCACCCCTTGCACTTGGGAGCTGGAGGACCGCTGTATCAAATCGCAAAAGCCCTCCAGCCCCTCGGGCTCTTCATCGTTTCATCACATAGTTTTAAGTCTTTATACATCTATAACATTTCTTAACGTGTGTACTTTTATATCTCTTTTGTGTATTTTTATTACCATTATATTAAACAATATATTTAGAATAAAAAAAAAAAAAAAAAAAAAAAAAAAAAAAAACCATAAGCTTGAATCGTTAAATAATTTTTTTTACGGATCTGAATACGAATCCTTTTGAGCCTAAATTGTTAAAATAACATTGGTGGTATTGCCTGTTAATTATTCATGAATCAAACTGTTGTGTTATGATTTATAAATGATATTTTGGTTATGTATGTATATTGTTTGTTGGCGAACTTATGGTAAAATGCAGAGCCCTCTTGATTCGGTATAGTAAAGACTTATAGAATGTGATATCTGTTAAGTGTTTAGTGCTATGTCGCGTTGTATACAAATGCAATGATATAAACGTTAAAATTTATTTAAAAAACATTTGTTCCTCAAATAAATAATCACAAGAGTTGTATTTTTACGTAATCACTTGTCATAAACTGCAGATGGCGTTACCAGTCGGTTACCATACAATTTTATTTATTTGTATACTTAATATAAATGCACAATGAACCCGAATTAACAGCCAAGTCCTGGGAATAGATTATTTCCTATTAAAAGTAATATATTTTAAACTCCAGACGTAGTGTACACGGTGTCGAGTATGCAACTCTCGTCTCGTCGTATCGTGAGGTGTGTGTGGCTCGGCGTGAGGGCGCATGAGCCACGACATACAACACTCGCCTCCAGCCTTGCCTCAACGTTAGCGTCAACTGCTGATAACTCACTGGTTGCGGTGAGGAAATAAAATTATTTTGATAAAATTCATACATTAATATTAATATTTCAATTTTACATATATTCTTTCAATTTTTTATCACTTTAATTTCCTTTGTCGTAATAAAAAAGAGGAAATAATAATAAGCTGAATTTTTTTTTATTTCATTTTACTTTACATATAACGATCATTAAGGACTGTTTGCAATTTTTTATTTAGTATGGTATACCGTAGATGATATTGCATTATTATTTATATTTCTACTTGATATTAATCTCAAGCTTACGCTTTTGAAATGCAATTGGATGGCAACTCAAGCATACACACATGCTTTAAATAAAATAAAACCTTCTAAAAATAATTATTGAAATGATCAAAATAGGTCATTGAAAATATAATTTAATATTATGTAGGGCAACAAGTCAGTAAGCAGCAGACATCAATCCGTGTCTCTTATGAGCCAGTGTGGAGAAGAACAAATTGCGGGGGAATACGCCAAGCATTACGTCACTCTTAAACAAATAGGTAATATAAATATTTCTATATTTTATAGGCATCATAATTTAAACATCATCATCAGCCTATCAAAGCCCACGGCTAAGCAAAAACCTCATCTCACATGGAGAAGATTTGAGCATCAATCACCATGCTTGCTCAAGAGGGGTTGGCGATTACACACTTATAATTTCAAAGTATAAGTCCAGGTTTTCTCACGATGTTTTCCCTTACCAATTTTCAGTGATGTCTTAATACTCTTAGAAGGTACATATGACTCGGAATAATTATATTGGTTAGTACCAGGTTTCGTACCCGCGTCATCATGCACGTGAGGGGGGCCCCTTAACCACTAGGCCATCACGACCACCATTTATACATAGGCATCATAATTTAAACATATATCACACGACTTCTAACATTTATATTATTTACAGCTAGTAATATTACATATATATAATTCAAAGCTGTTATACTTTTCAGGTAAAGGAGCTTATGGGTGTGTCAAAATGGCGTACCGACGATCAGATAGATTACTAGCTGTTGCCAAATTCATATTAAAGGAAAAGGTGGGAGCTGCATTCTGGAGCGATGCCCCTGACGGGAGGAGGGTACCGCTTGAACTAAGCCTATTGATGACTCTTTCTCATCCTAATATAGTATGTATTGCTGTTTCGCTTACACTTACTTGATTTTATATATTCTGTCATACTCACTCAGCGTTATCTAAACATTTTCGAAGTCATAATAGTTCCAAGGTTTTAAATGTATCTTTCAGTAAACCTAACAAGAAAAGGAACGCTGATTACAACGAATACTTTCTCAATATGGCTTATAATTATTATGAAAATAGATTTTATAGTTTTAAATAAATCGCAAATGATCACTTACTAGCTTTCCGCCTGCAGCTTCGCCCGCGTAGAGTTCGGTTATATCGAGTTTCCAAGAGAACCTTTCAAAAGTCTGGGACAAAAAATATCCTATGTTCTTTCTCAAGGTCAATCTACCTCTGTACCAAATTTCATTAAAATCAGTTCAATTGTTTCGGCGTGAAAGCGTAACAGACAGACAGAGTTATAATATTAGTAGGGATTTATAATTCCTATGTGTTATTCCTGGACGTCAGCTTCCTGTATACAAAATTTTATCAAAATCGGTTCAGCCGTTTGAGCGTGAAGAAGTAACAAACATACACACACGCAATTTTAATATTATAATATTAGTAAGATTAAATGCAAAATCGGTGGAATCGGAGTTTAATCGTATTTTATATTTTCAGGTGTCCGTCATAGATGTGTTCGAAAACGACAAATACTTCCAGATGGTGATGGAAAAGCATGGAGCCGGTATGGACCTGTTCGAGTTTATAGAACGACGACCACGGATGGATGAGCCGCTCGTCAGTTATATATTCAGACAGGTGTACTATTTACAATACAATATATATAATACCATAGACTAATTGTTATATTACAAAATTAATTTAAATAGGTCAGTTTTGGTGCAATGTTAGTGGTGTTGGTGACTTATTATTATCATTAAATGCAGTAGAAATGATGCTATTTACATACATAAGATATAATTTCGAAGCATTCTCGTTTTGATATAATAGCTTTATTTGTATAAATTGCAATGACAATAGTTTTAAATATGGGTATATTAGGTAAGTCTTATATTCTCTCATGAAAACAAAATAGTAATTTTACTTAGAAATAACGTGATGTAAAAGCTATTTAAGATGAACTTTCGTTAACAAAATAATATTATAGTTTCTATAACTGTCAATTTTATTACTATTATTTTCATTTACAGATAGGCCAGGCGGTGGAATATCTACATTCCCTTAACATCCTGCATCGTGATATCAAAGATGAAAACGTCATAATTGACAACAAGTTCCACGTGAAGCTCATCGATTTCGGCTCAGCCACGTTCATGAGTAAAGATACTCTGTTTTCAACATTCTACGGAACCACCGAGTATTGTAGCCCGGAAGTACTGGCTGGGAACAAGTGAGAGCTAATGACTTAAAGAAAATATCCAATTTCATATAAAAATGTAGCATAAATACACGAATTAAACTAGTTTGTGTCTGCGACTTCGCCCTGATTGTTTTCGATATTCTGTTAGGGAGAAATAAATAACGTGTATTTAAACTAATAAACATGTCCAATTAACTGTTAGCGAGAAAGTTACATCAAGTACAAAATCCGAATTTATTCAACTTTAAAGACCAATAAAACTCCATAAATCCCCATAAACTACAGTATTTATATTATTAGTTGGAAAACTCTTACATAATTGGTATAGTGATTGGAGTACAATTTTTCCATCATTTAAGAGAGACGAAACCTCTTAGCATTCAATGGATTCACCGTGCGGGTGCCGGGTCCATTGCGTTGCAGGGAGAGGAGCTTCAACAGTGCCTGGGACTTGCGACCCAGGTGTAGGTTTAAGGGGCCCCTTAACTAATGCGCGTTATACGCTCACCTCCACTGTCCAAGTTCCTCTCCCTACCTAACCAAATTTGAAAAGAACCTACTAGGGCTGCCTTCGACGTACGTTCTAAGAATGAATTAATGTTAGTTCTGGACAGGCCCAAGTCTTTTAGTAGGTTATAGAGAGATTTAGCTGTTATACCTCTCGCTCCCACCTCTACCGCGTACAAATCAACGACGAACCTATTTCGAGTTAGTTCGTTAGTGAGCTCGTAATACTTATTGACCTTGATGGCATGGTCTTTGGGGATATTGGTTTCCCAAGGCACCGTAAGCTCTATCATCACAACGCGCTTTAAAATACGCGAATATAGAAATATGTCTGGTCTGGAGGCCGACGCACAAATATCCTCGGGGATTTTGTATTGTTTCTCATACGTATCCATCATGATAGTCCAATCCGAAGCCGCTTTAAGGATAGAGTAAGGCTTGACGTTTGATTTTATAGCCCTGGTGCCCTCTCTCACAAAACCTATTGATCGCTCGTTTGTGGTTATTTCCCTTTGCGCTCTGGCTACCGAAAGACTAACCGCTTCACGTATGATCTCTAAAACCCTATCGTGACGACGAAAGTATTGACCGCTGTCCAGGAGAACCTTACATCCCACCAGCAAATGCTTGGCAGTTCCAACTGCCTTTCCGCAGATATAGCAAGTTTTTTCGGTACCTTTACCCCATCTTACTAAATTACTCTGATCTGGGAGAGTCATCTGGAACGCATTGAGATAAAATTTTAGTAAGGCTGGCGACCAGTCATGAATTAGGGTGCGCCATTTTAGTGCTAGTGGAATGCAAAAATCTCCTATGTCTAACCACTCGTTCTGCATTTCTAAACTCATTGCATGGATTTTGTATTTATCGTTCTCGTCTTGCCGAATAAAAGACTTCAATATATCCGTATCTTGGACTTTCCTACTTGATCCTAACCCTACTCTGTTATTTTGCGCTCCGATCATAAATTGTTTATGGAATTGAAGTCGTGACTCTAGCTCTGGGGCATCATTGTCTTTTGGGAGTGATGTAACGACGTCATCATGGGATTTTCCCAGGATATGTCTCTTGGAAACTCTTAGGTGTTTGTAGAGCTCCGATGGTCTTTTTAGATTCATCCCAAAACTATTACGATCCCTGAATAAAGCCGATGAATCAGCCGTTAGCGCGAGCCCGAGCCACAACTTCAACATCTTTATGACGCCTGCATCTAATTTAGATAAAAGGGTTTTACTAAAATCATAGACGAGGAAAGGCCAATTCAAACGTGAAGTTAAGTAATTATCGTAGATCCATGCTTTTTTTACGTTACTGATCTGCTGGCTATCTACCTTGTTAAGATCATTTAAAAAGCTATCTACTATTCCTTCTAAAGATGGAGTACGACCTATATTATCAATCTTACGACCGAGAAACTTGAATGGTGCATCTTCCGTAACCGTAGAAACGCATTGACCGCCTATCGATAGTCCCGGATCATATGAGGTGTATCTTGTATTCCGCCTACCAAGACACAAACAGTGACATTTACTTGGTTTTGTCCTCAATCCATCCGTCCACTCACAGAATTTATCCACTTCATCCAATAGTACTTGACAGTGTTTGGGGTGACGTGTCAATATTGCGAGATCGTCAGCGAAGGCTAAAATGGATTCCGTGTATTTATTATTAAACTTAAACCGATAACCCCATTTTTTCTCGTTACAGATTAATTTGTCTACTAAGATGTTAATAACGATATTAAACGTAATTGGAGATAGACAACAACCTTGAAACAGTCCTACATTATAACTCAAACTTTTTGAAGGGCCTTCTTTAGTTATTATAGAAAACCTTAATTTTGAGTAATACGACGCGATCATATCTCTAACTAGGGGTGGAAAGTTGTACCATCTAAGCGCGAATAGCATCAACTCGTGTTGTATCGACCCGAACGCGTTCTCTAAGTCTATCCAACAAACTGTAATTTGCCGCTCGCTTTTTCTAGCATCTTTCAAACTCTCCGACAGCAAGGTGTTGTGTTCTAGGCATCCAGAAATCCCGGGTAGAAACCCTTTCTGGTGATTTGGCCTAAAATACTTGTTGCTGAGCATGAATCGCGTCATTCTCGTTTGTAGGACCGAGAAAAAGATTTTAGAAATTGTATTTGTTAAGGCTATCGGTCTAGTATCCTTCGGATCGGTAACTCGATCTTTTTTGGGAATGAGGACAAAAATTGCTTTCCCGAAACACTCCGGGATTTGCTTCCTTGACCAGATTTTGCCGTATATATTTATGAGGTGTTTACGAACCGATGGACATTTTTTAAAGACTATATATGGGATACCATCGGGGCCCGGTGCAGATTTAGATGATTTCCTCTTTATGTGACTACTTATTTCGTCTAACGTTGGTGGTATGCCGTGAAAATCGATATGAGGAATTTCCGGTTTTTGTTCGTTTGGATCCGTATAGAGCCTTACACTTTTAGGCACTTCGTATGTGCTCTTGAAATGGTCGTAAATTTGATCGTTGGTCAAGAGAAGCTGTCCGCGTTCTTTCTTAAAAATGGTTTTCGAATACTCAAAAGGGTTTTTATCAAAATCTACTTCCTGTTTGGCCCGGTCAAAATTACCGCGATATTCTGCAGTTTGTGCCGATATTCCTTGAATTAATTTAAGGATTGACCTTAACGCCCTAGCTGCTGCTTTTACTCTTTGTCTTCTTATGTAATACATATTACACTTACTACACTCAAAGGGCAGACTGGCTAAAGCTGGGAAATTGCCAGGAAGAAGAAGAAGACACTCAAAGGAGAAGTCTTTTTTGCCTTAAGTGTGACAAAGATTATTATGCATTGTACGTTTTGTAATGAAACTACATAATGTTTTAGGTACGCTGGTCCAGAATTAGAGATGTGGTCGATGGGCATCACGTTGTACGTGCTTACATTCTTCGTGAACCCTTTTTCTGATATCGAGGACACTATTCAGGGACCTCTAACCTTCCCGCAAATTGTATCAGACGGTACGTATTAATTGGATTTAACGCTTAATCATCATCATCATCAGCCAAAAGACGTCCACTGCAGGACATAGGCCTCCCCCAAAGATCAACGCTTAATAGCTATAGTATATTTATAAATAGATAAAAATGGTCCAAAAAGAAATCAGTAGAAGAATAGATTTTATCATATTAAGTCAGTGGTGGTCTAGAGGTTAAAAATGCCCGCCTCTCATGCATGAGGACGCGAGTTCAATCCTGGCAAGTACTGGTGTGGACTTTATGAGTCATATATACTTTCTGCGAGTATTTAGACACCACTGACAGACAGATAAGTTTGAAATCACCAACACGTCTTGAGCAAGCGTGGTGATTAATGCTCAAACCTTCTCCATGTGAGAAGTGGCAGCTCAGCAGTGAGCTCTGATAGGCTGATGATGATGGGTATAATAACAATACTCAAGGATCATCTGTTTGTTAGACCTGGAACAGCTGTTACGTCGTATGCTCTGCAAGGAGCCAGCAGCGCGCTGTACTGTGCCACAGCTGATGGCTCACCCTTGGATACGACAACCTGTAAATCTCGCTTCATACAACTTCCAGGAGATTGTGGATTGTGGTATGTGTATTGCTTGTTATATTCGCTAGTTCTCGACAAGTATCTGAAGCATTAAAAGTCAATATATTAACATTTAGTAATTTATATTAAGCTCTATTTCCATATTGCAACATTCGTTATATTTTTCACGCCAGATTCATGTATTACGCTAGTTTATCATGATTTCTAGATCGTCATGAAGCAAATCCCGAGATGTACTTCAGCGGTAGTCTGGAATCTCCGAGGAGTAACTCTCCAGTATCCTTAGCTGATCCTCTAGCTAAAGGTGAGATTCCATATTCTTAGTTACGCTAATTCTTCGAGATTCATATCTGTCATAATTTAGCATACATTCCCAAAGTGGGTTGATGTCAGGCAGGCGGCCGGTCGTGAAAACTATTAGCCAAAACTATTCACAACATGTAAGGCAGACCCTGGCTAAAGCTGGGAAATTGCCAGGAAGAAGACCTGTCATAATTTATCATAATGTTAGATGATATCTCTTTATCATCAAGTTACACTGAAAGTAACCAATGTTATCCAAGTACATGACCTATATAACATTCACTTTTATGATTACATCAAAAATTCTTACTAATTACTTGCCTATTAAATATAAGGCTCATTAACAAAATCGTGATAGTATTATGTTAAACACAATGAAATCGTCAATATATGTAAATGAGACAAATTATTAATAAAACTGTATTTCAACAGAGCGGTCGATGCGTTCGGAGGCGGAAGCGGCGGGTCGGTCGGAGAAGGTTTCTAAATCAGATGCGCGGCGACCGGCACACCAGCTGTCTGACAACTACAGCCTGCGATCGTCCGCTGACGTATGAACACACACACACAAACAAACAAATAGACACCTGCGTATATACATATGTGTATGCATTCATATGTTAGCACACCCAAACACGCACATGACAAAAAATATTTATCACTATTTGGTTTTCTTTTTGTTAGTATGTACATAAAGAGACAAGGTTATTAGTTCTTTTCATATTTTAATCATGCTTTCAATAACTCCAATTTTTGTCAAATTGATACTAATGAATAAAAATTCAGAATAAATAAAAAATGTACCTACAACTTTTAAACTTATAAGAATAATTTAAATTTTATAGATATTTTTTTACGTTGTACATATCGACCTGGAGTTCAGAAATGTGTTATAGATTTTATCCCACTAATATTATAATTGCGAAAGTTTGTGAGTGTGTGTGTATGTTTGTTACTTCTTCACGCTCAAACGGCGGAACCGATTTTGATAAAATTTTGTATGTAGGAAACTGACGTCCAGGAATAACACATAGGCTACTTTACATCCCGGAAATCCGCGGGTAACACCGCGGGGCGCAGCTAGTTTATTATAATTCATAAATAATTATGTATATATCTTTATTTTAGATACTAGATATATCTTCGAAGCCGGTGTCAGAGGCGGCATTGACGGATATAAGTTCAGACGCGACCGGCCACGCGGCCTGTGACATCGATTATGATTGTGACCAGTACGAGTGTGACAGCTGGGATGAGTGCGAGCAGGACAGCTTCTCATAAACCCTACAAGTGCGAGCGAGACGACAATACACACGACGGTGTTGGAACTGAGGGTGTCATAAATGTATCATAGTATATTGGCTGTAACGGTCGTTGGTAACTGATCATAAGAATTATTACCAAGATATTCCATTAGACTTTACTAAGCGAGCGAGACGACAATATACACGGCATTGTTGGAATTGAGGGTTATATGTGTCTTGAATATATTATATTGGCTTAAAGAGTCCTTGCTAATTGATTGTAAGAATTATTATGAAGATGTCTTCTCATAGACTTTAAACGAGTGCGAGCGAGATGAGAATATGTTATGGCAGTGCTGGAATTGAGGGTGCCAAGTGTCTTGACTGTAGTATATGCCTTTAAGAGTCTTTATGCTAATTGTTCGCAAATATTATTACCGAGCTACTTTAATTAACGCTTTGTATGTAATTATCATAAATGTCCTAAGTTTTTTTTGCAATAATCTCGCTTAAAGGCACCTTAAGTAAATTTTGTTCCTAAAACTCCGCCCTTTTAGCTAGGCAACTTTTTAGCCTTTAATATAATTTTTGTACAATTACGTCATTATCGACACGTAATAATTTGCAAGCGTTTTAAATTGTACCTTAGCATCTAGGCACTACAGAATAGTCGTTATTAGAATGCGAGAAGCATAACAGTGAAAAAAATTAAAATATATATCAAGACCTTACATCAGTACTATAAAGAAATTTAAACAATGGTTGTGCATTTTTTAAATATAGTATCGAACAATAAAACTAAATTTACATTTCAAGTTTATACTCTGAGTTACAATTGACATACATAGATTATATAATGACAAAAAAAAATAAGTTTCGCCTCTGTATTTAAAGATAAAAGGAAAACGAAATAATATTTTAAGATTTAAGCACTCTCACTATCATGTATTTGAAATTCAATTACAATAATAATATTCTTTATATGAAATTTGACTTTGCATACATTTATAACTGCTATGACAGGGCTGGTCCGGATTAAATGTATGTGATCACCTTCAGTAATAATACAAAAAAAAAATCTCAACTTTTAAATAAGGTCTAAATAGGGACATTTTCAGTAGTACCAAATAGTATGCTTCAATCTTAATAGAGTAATAAGTCAAAGACAATAGCTGAATTTATTCTTCCACTGTTCCAATTTCTTTAATAGAATTAGGCCATACTTTCATAAAACACTGGCTTGTAGATTATTATTAATGTAGATATAAAATAATTAATAAATAAATCAGATTCTTATGATTAGAACATTCAGTATTAGTGCTACGGATTAGTATTTTCTTATGTAGATAAAAGAACCAAAACTGTTTTTTTTTTAGATATGAGCTGTAGATATCACGAGGAAAATATTACATATCAGTTGGGTTCAATGTTTGTAGGTGTTTATTGTATAGACTGTGTCCACAAGTATACATAACTATATATGTTAAGAATTATTTTATTGACTTAAAAATTGTGTCTATGCTTTTCGTTGTGATATATTAGTCCTATATAATTAAGTTACCCAAGAAGCAAGTTTAAGAGGCTATTGTTTTTATCACCGACTACGTTTTACAAGCGAAGTAGAGGAATAATAATCATTTTTTAATTATTTTCACATTTTTATGTCAAAATTTTTTTGTAATTGATTCTTATCTGCAACTTGAATATAAAATGTATTATATAATATATTGTATCTTAGGATCAGACATTTTTTTTTTTGTAATGCATATTGTTTATTTTAATTTCACAACATACAACCCAATTTTGATTATTATTATTATTATTTCACTATTGTAGTTAGTGCTACTAAAAATGGTGACAACTGACAACATTTATTGTGGACACTTGAAAAAGACAATTGTTTTGTTGTTAACAATGTAGATTTAACACATAATATACAGACGTATTAGAAACCTAACAAAACTTATGAGAAATTAGCCAAAACTGCTTTAGTAATCTTAGCTTACACGTTATATTTATTTAGACTTCTAAATATGTGAAGGCTAACTGAGACACTTTAGAAATATAATTAAATCAATAGTTCAATTAATCAATTTAATAAGTACCACATTCAGTGCTTATTGAAGTGAAAACTATATTTTTGTAGTATTTATTATGATTTTTAGTTAAATGTGGTTAATGTCACACGTCCGTTTAATGACTAGTGCCTTACGGCGGACGGCAGGTTGCGTTGCTCGTGGCGGATGTTGTGGCTATTTGTCGTAATAAAACATTAATATTATATGAATTGTTTTATTTTATGAACACCTAACAAAATTATTACTTATTATTTCTATTTGTTGCTGATATAGCTGACATTGAAAAATTTATGGTTTCTTAAAAGGTATGTTACCGTGTTAGTCAATAAAGTTGTGAAGTAGTTGCGAATACTTAAGAAATAATAATAAATTACATATGTAACATTGATTAAATCAGTTTTAGCGATGGCCACGGAAGCTTTGTTATAGTTTTGTTTTTCATTCCAAAAAAAACTCCCATACATGCACTATATCAGTATATTTCGACGGCAAAACTATATTATGCACTATTAAAGTTAACTGTCTTATAAGCAGTTAAAGTTGCAAATCTGAAGTGATAGTGACCTGGTCATGTGGCCTTAAGACTCTTTTAGATAATGGTGTTTAGAGATCCTCAAATAGTGTCCACGCGCGCCTAAGCACAGTGCAGTAAACCCGTCATTAGACCTGAGAAGCTGTTTATTGTGGTGAAAGTTTTCAGACTTAGAAAGCTCAAGGACCTTTGTAGTGCCAGTAGTCAAGAAAAGGCCTACTTAAAACAGAAATTACCAAAGCAGATCTTGCTGCTGCTAAATACCTACCTGTAATTTTAAATAATAGGCGACGTTGTTTAAATCTTGATTTTATCAAGTCTTTCCTTACACTAATAAGTATAAATAGGTTTTTTGTTGTTTTCATAAATATCGTTGCAGGAATGAAGCTGTACCTATTTAATTTATTATATTTTTATAAACTTGATGACACATGATTATAAATTCTTTCATCACTGAATGATGAAATTACCAGAAATGTTATAATTTTAATAAGAGTTCAATAACATTTTGAAGAGTAGATTTATCAGATAAGGACCTTTATAAATCGATGCAATAAATCTTGTAAAATATTTCTATTTTCTATTGTTTTATTTGAACACTCTTGTCTTGACAGCATTCTGACGTTAATTTTTTTACTTCAGGCAACAGATGTTTAAAATGTCAAATTGTGTGGCGGTGCGTCGGTTTTTGGCTAATCATTGCCGATTTTCCGCGAATTTTACTATATTCACACCGAAACCAATCAAAAAAATTGTTTATTCACAAACATCTTGTGAACTTTTTACACCCAATAATATATTGGTAAGTTAAATATTACTCAAGTTCTTATATAAGATATTTTAACAATGTGTTAAATTAAATAGGGATTTCAGTTATACCTTTCTTTATATAATTAAAAATTAAATTAGTCCTTAAAACCTAAACATGTTCATATTGATGTTTCTACAAAACTATTTTGAGAACACTATTCCATGTAGAAATTTATATTTAATTGTCCTTACCCTCTAAAAGTAATAATTGTTCAGAAAAATTGTCACTTTTAATATTTATGAACACCACACATATAAATTGCTGTTTAGATTCTTTGAAACAATACTATGTCTTGTAAGTACAATGGGAATTTAATTTCTTTCTTTTTTTTTATAAAAAAAACAGGTCTGTAAATGAAATGGCAGTGTAAATCTCAGCCAGTGACTTTTGTGTTTATGGAAAAGTCTATGTCAATACTTTGTAAAACATATCAATACTAAATTATGTAAACTTTTTTAAATGTATATTTCACTTGTATACATGTTCTATTTTCAATTTATATGCAGAAAAAATATAAAAAAGTGACTGAAAGAGATCTTTCTTATTAGATTTATTGGCATAGAATTGATTATTTGCGCATATTTTAATATTACATTGCATAGATTACTCAATAAAATTAACAATAATCCTTATTAAAATTTGTTTATATATTATATTAATGTTCTATATTTTATATACATTTCATTGAACTAGATAAGATAATTAGTGAAGTGCTATTGTTGCTAATTCTCTCTTCACTTTGTAAGTGTTATATGTTTTATTGTTTTCACTATATTATGTGTACACTTTGCATAGGTACATATTAAAAATGTATATTACCTCACCTGAGATATTTCTGTGTTAACAATAACCTTTTTATTAAGGTATAACTTACTTTTCTAGTGATTTGAAATACAAAAAAAATATATAATAACAAACATCCTGTAATAGGTGACTATATAGAAAATTATACAAATTTAATACTAATATACAAAATTGAAGTGTCTGTTTGTAATTTTTAATAATAAGTTTGAATATGTAACTGTAAATGAAACCTATACCTATCAAAAAGGCTTATCTTTAAAATCTTTGTGTCTATATATCTGATGGTTCCAGGTAATGTTTAAAATTTCAGCCTAATTTTAACAAATTTTCATTGAGTAGTAACTTTTAGATTTTTAACTGCTTTGAACAAGAGATAAATTCTCAATTCGATTATACTTGCCATCCTATTACTCTTCCAAAGACATCCGAATTGAGATTACACAAAGATGTCCCTAAGAAATAAATGAAACCTAATAATGATGATAACCCCATATATCAAAAGTGGTTTCATTAATGTGTGTACCTGTATTGAAACCATTTTAAAATTGAATCATAAATCCAATAAGAAATTAAGTGTATACTTTAGAGCTGATTCCCATTTAATTTTATGCTCACCATATAAGCTACAGTTTACCGAAGAGTTAAACTGAGCAGGTATGCCTGCATAGGTAACCAAACTATGTTTAGTGTTCAAATTACTGTAATGGTCAGTATTATATAACCTTGTAAGATTGTAAAAACCTGATTGAAGAAATATTATTAAGGATGAGATCTTCAAATATTTTACCATAACAAAGCTATTGAGTTTACCATTATACAATACACTGAAGACAACTGGTGTGTAAAAATCAAAATATTTTGTGTTATGACTGATTTCCAGATTATATTATGGTTAGTAAGAATAAATGTTTTTCTTTTAAATGAAAATGTTACAAATAAAATGAAAATCAGTACAATTTTTTATGTTAAAAAAGTTAGTAAACAAAAGATTCCTATATAGGTATTACAACAGTGTAAATGTGAAATTAATTTCTTTTCAGAATTCATAACTATTAGTTATAAAATATAATTTAAATAAAGATAATTTAGTAATAAAACAAATATTTCAAAAACATGTAGAAAATCGACTAGGTCTTGTGAAAATTTAAATAGATAATAATGTTCAAGATACAAGTCCGATTGCTGGAAATTTATAAAGGTGTAACTTGAATATATTTTTCAGTATATTTCATTGATTCTTACCAAAGGCATCGTCCAATGCAAGAGTTTATGAAATTTTATTTGAATGTTTTTTTGTCCCTCTTTAAGTACCGTACTTATTTAAATAAATAAAAAAATATTTAAATGTATTTTTTGTCTAATTGCCGTGAGCGGAACCGTTTTTGACATCTTATAACGTTTCTATCGTAATATTAATGGTGTCAGTCTCCATAGTAAACAAACAAAACAAAACTTTGTATGTTGTTAGAAATATAATTTGTATTTGTATGTACTTATATCAGTTTGACATTTAAACTAAATTTAATAGTCCTGAAACTGGGACTTTGGGCTATAAATCTGTCGAATGCCGTAATTAGAATATGGCAGATATTTTAATAGTACAAATAACACTATTAATAGTTTACAGTTAGAATTACCGCTCGTTGCGACGTAGATTTTATTGCCAAAACCGTTCTGCACAAAAAACAGTGATCAGCCTAGTAATTATTTAAAATATTCTTAGTGGAATCGAGGACAAACATTTTATTAATTAAATCGATCGATTTACCGTATTATCGGCAATTATATTAATTTCTAGATTACATATTAATTATGTAAATTGTTTATAATTCCCAGAGCCATTATACAAATGAATACAACTATTTATAACATGAACGGATGTATTGTTTTAAACACGTGTCTCTTTTCCGGGATATCAAGTGGCGTATGTAGTGTTCACCTTCTTAGTTTTGCCCATCTGGCTGTTTGTAATAAAGAGTAACTAACGCAGAAACGTCATTATAAGTTCTATCTGTCAGGCCGTATGAAGTGATATTCTAGTACGGTTTTATGTTTAAAAGAAATAGTTGTTAACAGCGTTCGTTTTAAATAAAAGACTAGTGAGTTGTACGCTGCGTTCATTCTGTTGTTGGTTGTTGTGGCGCGGTGTACTTCGATATGTTCGGTCGTGTTGTATTGTTGGTGTTTGTGTTGCAGTGCTCGCGCGCATCAACGCTCGCACCGACTTGGAATATGACCTTCGACTATCCAGAGGCGAGGAGAGATGAGACAGTGGTTGACAACTATCATGGTACTAATGTATGTATAAGAACCATTCCTTACTTGTTATACTGTTTATTTGTTTCTTTCCTTCTTCTTCTTTAGTAAGTGGCGTTTCCTTATAGATTTCGCCAATGTCGTGTGTGTTACTTATACACTAACTTTATTATTATATTTTACGATTGAACATCAAATCTTTTTGTTGTAACCATAATTAGTTCAGTCATAATCGTCTTCACTAGCTCAGGGAATAAATTGAAAGAAATTTAAAGAATTAATTTCATATTATTTTTCTTATCATATCATTTGTGTATGCGTAAGGAATTAAGTAAATTTTAATTGGAAGTTAATATATTTTTAACAGATAATTTATTTCGATATAAATAACATATATGTATCTTCTTCTTCCTCTTACTGGCAACCTCCCAGCTTTAGCCAGGGTCTGCCCATATATAAACAAAACTTTGTCCAAGGAAAATCTAAAAACCTTCTCACGTGTGATTAGTATTCAATGCAGTACCGAAACTTGTTATTCTCATTGCGTTGATAGTCGCGTTTATATAGACGCGAAAACAAATTGTTTATAATATATTCTATATAATGTTCATTGACCGCTGTTGAAATTATTTTACAACTTTACTAACAAATAGTTGTTCACGGTTGATAAACTTATCATTATTTATTGTGTTTTAATATCCAAATCTAATAATGTTAGCCTTGGACCAGTTTCAATTAAAGCCTTTTTGTTTGCAGTTTTTCGTACGATTTACTTTAGATTTATATAATTAAGGCTGAACTAATTTCTTCATTCGAATGTGACCTACAGCTTTTCTTAAGCGTGTGGTTGGATGACGCAATGTTCAACAATTTATACTTTAATTGATTTTCTTAATATTCTTCTAGATATCGGACCCATACCGCTGGCTGGAGGATCCAGATTCAGAAGAAACTAAAGCGTTTATAGAAGCCGAAAACAATATTACTCGTCCTTTCCTAGACTCATGTCCCGTTAAAACAGATATAAATAGTAGACTAACAGAGCTCTGGAACTATCCCAAATACTCGTGTCCATTCAGAAGAGGAGATAGATACTTCTTCTTCAAGAACACTGGACTCCAGAATCAGAAGTAAGCGTTAACGAAATATTCCATACTAGCTTTCTAGCTTCGCCCGCGTGGAGTTCGGTTATATCCCGTTTCCAAGAGAAACTTTCAAAAGTCTAGGATAAAAACTATCCTATGTTCTTTCTCAAGGTCAACTCTATCTCTGTACCAAATTTCATTAAAATCAGTTCAATGGTTTAGGCGTGAAAGCGTAACAGACAGACAGACAGAGTTACTTTCGCTTTTATAATATTAGTAGGGACTAGCAGTTCAATTTCTGTACGAGGTCAATGACATGTATTAAAAATACGTTTAAAAAGAATAACAGTTGTTTTACGTGTTTAAGAAACAAATAGCAATTTGTTATGCAAGTGATACTGAAAGAAAAAGACTTGTATTTTTACACAAATTAACCAAGCGTATTTACGAATTAAAGTAATTTGTAAGCTGATACATAAAGGCAGGTAATAGGACAATGAAATTCTTGTTTCATGTTATACAGTTAAATAAGAAAAGAAATTCAAGCCGAGAAACAAAATATAATTACAGAATTTATTTCAAATTTTATCACAAATTCCGTTAAAATCCATCAAAAATATTTAATAATTTATTTATACAGTGACAAAATCGTAATTTAGGTCTTTTAATTATATTGAAATGTCTTTTTTATCAATATTTATAGTTATAAACACTTTTACGTCTTAGCTTTAATACTCTTACAAACATGACTAATTTCTTTGGTCATTAACATGCAGCAATGTTTAATTCTGCTATTACGTATATATTAAGTTTTATGTTCATGTTTTTCGCAAAAATAGCGAAACTGATTTGGATTGGATATCCATTATTTGGTCTCTTAATATTCGAATATTTTATGAGAAAAATGTATTAGTTACCAAATGATGACTACCCTCGCCATTAGTTCGGAAAGACACTACAGATCGAGCGTTTAAAGTTTTCGTCTTTATTATTTTCTAGCTGCGCCCCGCGGATTTCCGAGATTTCCGGGATGTAAATTAGCCTATGTGTTATTCCTGGACGTCAGCTACCTGTATATAAAATTTTATCAAAATCGGTTCAGACGTTTGAGCGTGAAGAAGTAACAAACATACACACACTCACAAACTTTCGCAATTTTAATATTAGTAGGATGAAGGCAAAACTATCAATGTCCCATATGGAGTGTGATAACAAAATTGTAGTAAGAATTAATACTCCATATATGTAATAATTTCTTTATGATGAGTATATATTCATCAATTCCAGTGTGCTATACGTCCAAGATAGTCTGGACGGCGAGCCGCGTGTGTTCCTCGATCCCAATACATTGTCTGAAGACGGTACGATTGCTTTATCTGGGAGTCGCTTCACAGAAGATGGTTCAACCTTCGCGTATGGATTGTCAGCCAGCGGATCGGATTGGATAACGATCCATTTAAAAGATGTTGCCACTGGTAATTACTCAGCACAATTTTATTAACATATATATGACCGCGACTTCGCCACTTGGATTTTAGAATTGGGTACAGAGAAAAAATTATAATGTATATGTAAAAAAATTGGTATGGTCACCAACTTGTAATGCCATTTGGTCTTAATACAACTTTCCATATTCCATATGACAACTGTATTCCATATACTACTAATTGCATGTTATTCTGAATTCTAAGCTACATCACTGCAAAAGTTTCATCACAATCGCTTCACTAGTTTTCGCATGAAAATACTTCAAAATCTAAATAACATAACAGATTTTCGAATGTATAATATAAGATTCTCATGTTATAAAGTAAATTATTAATTTATTTTATAATTAATTTTTTCTATACTGGCGACCCTGTAGGTGTTTTGGGTGTTTCAGAATTGATTTAACATTATAAATTTAATTAACAGGCGTTGACTATCCTGAGGTGTTAGAGAAAGTTAAGTTCGCGTCAATGTCGTGGACCAAGGACAATAAGGGACTCTTTTATTCTGTAAGTAAGAAGAAAACATATTTATTGAAAAAAGACAAATATATGAACAAAAGTATCAATATACAATAGTTATTTATTTCTATACTTCTTTTCTATCATTATACTTTCAGTATTGAAAGATTAAATCAATTTATTAAAGTACTCAAATATCCAAAAACATATTGAAAAGGTTTAGGACGATAAAACAACAAAAGTATTCATATTTTAGTGAAATCCCCATATATAATACATATTATAATATTCCAGCGGTATCCAGAACAGACTGGCAAAACTGATGGTTCTGAGACAGACGTGAATAGAGATCAGAAGCTGTGCTACCACCGGCTTAACACGCCCCAGGAGGATGACGTCATCGTGGTGGAGTTCCCACAGGAACCTCTGTGGAGGATGTGAGTACATACATTAATATGAAATATATTTTCTATACTGGCAATACTAACAAACAGTCAAAATATATTTTCAATTCTGGCAATACTAATAAAATAATCATTATTTCTTTCGTTTAAGTGATGCTAGAGTTGAAATCAATATTTATTAATTATGTAATTGCTTTCTTAAAACCATTCATAGCCAGTCTGGATATATGTTAGTAATTTCGGTGTGGCCAGTCCAAATTATTAATATAAAACAACACGTTATTTAGTACAATTACTGTTTTTGTCATGATTTTGTGTAATTTAAGTAGAAATTGTACGGCAAAATTCTTTTACATTTAATGTCAATCGGAACGTTAGCGTTGATAGTGGTCACAAAAAATGTCTCTTAATATTTTCTTATTCATCTAGTAATACACTTAAAGATGTCTTAAATCCTTTTTTAAATTGTTAAACGTTATAAATACGATAATGTTTCTTACTTTGCATTAATAATTGCAGTGACATTCACACGCAAATGCAGTGCGAAGATCGCCGCTCGTACGTTAATATATTATATCGGATCGTTATATGTACATCTAACGTTGTATTTAATTAATATTGGTTAATTTTTCGACACATTATACAGGGTGACTGGTGAATTACTATCAATATTTAAGGAGCATACTCGGTACATGATTCTCATTCGAATTATGTAAAAAAAATAGGCACTTAATTTTTGACAAAATTTCCGTATAAATAAATAAAGTGTTGACACGTTCCAAGTGTTCAAGTGTGGACGCGTGCGGCGACATGTTGATACAACACCACGTCACGATATGCGTATGTGTGAGTGTCAGTGTATACCTAATCTGTAGGGTGTTCATACGATGCGTAATTAATTACATAACTTTTGGTTAACTTTACTAAGAAGTTTATTAATATTTATGTTATATTAATTTTTATTTTGTCATATATGATGGTCAAATATCACGTCCTCAAATATCGATAGTAATTCACCAGTCACCCTGTATAGAAAGTAATTTTTTTAGATTAATCATTCTTTTTATTATAATACAGCCTGTAGCTAATTAGCTAATGGTAGTATTACTCAAATGGTAAAGGTATTACATAGCTTTTGTTTCATTTATTTTATTTTCTTTTGAAATAAATGTAAAATTTTAAATTATAATTCCTTAGATACTTTCCGATTGACAAATTCCGTTTGTGTTAACATTAAAATAATCAAAATTCATTTATTTAAAGATATATATATATATTTTAGTTGAACACTTATACGTCATGTGATATATGCAATTTATTTTATAATATTATAATCTTCATTATTAATTGATAATAACTATCAAAGACGAGACAAGCAAAAACGATGTATCCTTCAAATTATCCCCACCAGGTCTTTGTCTGTCTATCGCATGTCACGTTACAATGTATGTACTAACCTCCCCCTCCTTCTCCTTCCAGCGGCGCGGAGGTGTCAGACTGCGGCAGGTACCTCCTCGTGAGTCCAGTGAGAGACTGTCGCGACAACCTGCTGTTCTTCGCGGACTTATCCACCGCCTCGCTCACAGGACACCTTCAACTGACTCAAATCGTTCACAAGTTCGAGGCTGACTATGAGGTGAGTTTTTTTATGTGTGCGTATCAGTCAGTGGTGGCCTAGTGGTTAAAGGGCCCGCCTCTAGTTGCCGAGGGCGCGAGTTCAAACCTGGCAAGTATCAAAGTGATTTTTCGGAGTCATATGTACTCTCTGAGAGTATTTAGACACCACTGACATACGGTGAAGGAAAAACATCGTGAGGAAACCTGCACTTATAGTTTCATAATTATAAGTTTGAAATCACCAACCCGTCTTGAGCAAGCGTAGTGATTAATGCTCAAACCTTCTCCATGTGAGAAAGAGGCCTTTGCTCAGCAGAGGGCTCTGATAGGCTGATGACGACGTATCTGATGTGAATGTTTCTATGATTACAAGTATTAATAAGATTAGTGTATGTATATGTGTATGTAATTTTATCTATACTTACGAATCTGTTCACATCTCTGTATACAGGGTGACTGGTGAATTACTATCGATATTTGAGGACGTGATATTTGACGATCATATATGACAAAATAAAAATTAATATAACATAAATATTAATAAACTTCTAAGTAAAGTCAACCAAAAGTTTTGTAATTAATTACGCATCGTGTGAGCACCCTACAGATTAGGTATACACTCACACTCACACATACGCGTGTCGTGACGTAGTGTTCTATCAGCACGCCGCCGCACGCGTCCACACTTTAACACTTGGAACGTGTCAACACTTTATTTATTTATACGGAAATTTTGTCAAAAATTAAGTGCCTATTTTTTTTACATAATTCGAATGAGAATCATGTACCGAGTATTCTCCTTAAATATTGATAGTAATTCACCAGTCACCCTGTATAATTTTGTGTGTATAAACTGTTATTTAAATGTAAGTGCGTTTGGTTTTAAAATATTTTCTAAAATGTATCTATATTATTTTCTTTGATATATATAGTGTTTGAGATTCATCTACACTTCAGTAGCAAAATAAAATTATGTAAAAATTGTACTTTGTTAACGTTATTTTATTTTTACTTCCAGTACATAACGAACGAGGGTTCCGTATGCATATTCCGTACTAACAAGAACGCACCTAACTACAGGCTCATAAAAATCGACCTGAATAATCCAGCTGAAGAGAATTGGGAAACTTTAATAGCGGTAAAAATTTATAAATACATAATTTTTCAAAGTACATATTGTTTTGGGTAAAGGATTAAATGAGAATTTTTCTAAATGAAATCTACTGGCTTCACATTTTATATTTAAATTATTACCTTTTACAGACGTTAGTTATTCTTTACTAATAGTAACTTTTTATTTCAAGGAACATCCCACTGATGTATTGGACTGGGCTTCAGCGGTCGACAAAGATAAGTTAGTCATACACTACATAAGAGATGTTAAAGTGAGTTCTCAATTTATATTTGTTTTGATAATAAATGAAATAGCGCAATATAAATCATAGTATGGAATAATGTGTTATATATTTTCTTTCAGAGTGTACTGCAGTTACATAGTATGAAGACTGGTGATTTGATGCAAAACTTCGATTTAGGTGTTGGCTCCATAGTGGGATTCTCTGGGAAGAAAGAACAGAGCGAAATATTCTACCATTTCATGTCATTCCTTACACCCGGCGTCATTTATCACGTGGACTTCAAGAAACAACCTTATACACCAACTGTAAGACCTATTTTACAATAAAAATATTTTATTGTTCTTTAAATAAATTTATATTTTCTTTATTATAGAAAGACCGTGTTGTATGTTACAGATATTTAGGGAAGTGAAAGTGAAAGGCTTCGACGCTTCGCAGTATGAAGCCAAACAAGTTTTCTATACCAGCAAAGACGGCACAAGAGTTCCTATGTTCATAGTATCTAAGAAAGTATGTCTTTAAAGCTCGACTTATAGATCTAGTACAATACTGTCGTGAGAATTATACAGGGTGACTGGTGAATTACTATCAATATTTGAGGACGTGATATTTGACGATCATATATGACACAATAAAAATTAATATAACATAAATATTAATAAACTTCTAAGTAAAGTTAACCAAAAGTTATGTAATTAATTACGCATCGTATGAACACCCTACAGATTAGGTATACACACACACTCAAACATACGCGCGCGGCGGCGTAGTGTTGTATCAGCACGCCGCCGCACGCGTCCACACACGGAACAGTTGGAACGTGTCAACACTTTATTTATTTATACGGAAATTTTGTCAAAAATTAAGTACCTATTTTTTTTACATAATTCGAATAAGAATCATGTACCGAGTATTCTCCTTAAATATTGATAGTAATTCACCAGTCACCCTGTTTAATAATATTAAATTTGGGAGACACATCACTACACTTTAATATCTTTAAATAAATTTAGGAGTATTTACTTCTTTGTCTCCATGGTCATATATACAGGGTGACTGGTGAATTACTATCGATACTTGAGGACGTGATATTTGACAAAATAAAAATTAATATAACATATATGACAAAATAAAAATTAATATAACATAAATATTAATAAACTTCTAAGTAAAGTTAACCAAAAGTTATGTAATTAATTACGCATCGTGTGAACACCCTACAGATTAGGTATACACACACGCGCGCGTGCGGCGGCGTGGTGTTGTATCAGTACGTCGCCGCACGCGTCCACACTTTATTTATTTATACGGAAATTTGGTAAAAAATTAAGTACCTATTTTTTTTTTTTACATAATTCGAATGAGAATCATGTACCGAGTATTCTCCCTAAATATTGATAGTAATTCACCAGTCACCCTGTATATTGTTTAGAAAACTTTTAAATGAAACTAATATTTTTCAAATGTACTACGCATGCTTGATTTTTGACGTCGATCACTGGCAGACGAGATGTGAATAATTCACGGTTGTGAATAGTAACCGAAGCATCGCTAGTATGTAGTTTTTTTTTTACAAAAATGAGGCACGCGTAGTAGATCTGCAAAATATTAGTTACATTTAAATGAATACTCGCGAGTTTTAAATCTCATTAAACTTTCTATAGGTTCTTTACTATATATTACGTTCAGGGTTTACCTCGTGACGGGTCCCGGCCAGCGCTGCTGTACGGCTACGGCGGGTTCAACATAAACGTTCAGCCTAGCTTCAGTGTCACACGACTCGTGTTCATGCAGCACTTCGAAGGTTCCGTGGCTGTCCCTAACATAAGAGGCGGCGGTGAATACGGCGAGAGGTGGCACAACGCCGGCAGATTATTGAACAAGCAGAACGTTTTCGATGATTTCATATCCGCCGGCGAGTATTTAGTGAAGGAAGGGTATACAAGACCCGGCCTGCTCGCGGTGCAGGGCGGCTCAAACGGCGGGCTGCTTGTTGCAGCGGTTTCCAATCAGCGGCCCGACCTGCTGGGAGCGGCTATCGTTCAAGTCGGAGTACTGGACATGCTGCGCTTCCAGAAGTTCACAATCGGACACGCCTGGATATCGGACTACGGCAGTTCGGATAATAAGACACATTTTGAAAACTTACTCAAGTACTCGCCGCTTCATAACATCCAGTCGCCAGATAACGGTTTGTGGATTTATTTTTATTTAAGAAGTAAATTTGTTTCCTCCTGGTATATATTACTCCTAATATTTTTTTCAAATATTTTTGTTAGTTGATCATGTTGACTTTGCTATTAACTCGGCGGGAAGCGCACCCCATATACCAATACTGACTGTCGTTACTGGATAAAAAATACCACAATAATATTAATGTAAGAACTAGAGTTATTTTATGAATAATTAAATATAACCATTTTTATATTATATTGTGTTAGATTTTCAATCAAACATGACAGCTTTGGAAACTAATAAACTTGGTATAATATGTAATATTTGAAATTTTAAAACATAGCCCAAAAGCTCAGTCATTTTGTGCACAAAAAGAAATATTTGCGAGTGTGGCTGGAGGGCTGTTTCCTGTTGTTTATTCGGAATATTATTATTTTGCTCGCCATTACAAGTAAAAGTATTATTTTCCTTTTCATAAATGTATGTAGGCAGGTTTAAGATGGTCGATCACACTTAATTTGTGGCAATACAAGAGACAACACCTTCAAGTAATCTCTTCTAGGTCTCTTTCGTCACGATTTTCTTTATTAGTCGAACCATCGAACATCTGACGAAAGGTGTCTAAAACGGCGCTGCACAAAATTACTTACAAAAATAAATATTTTCGAAAGTATGCACTATGTGGTAAATTTTACCCGGTAGCCCTCCCGCCGAGTTAATAGTAATATAGCTTAATTACTTTGTGCTATCAAACATAATGTTCAAACCTGTACAATATATTTTAAAAGCTAAAATTAAACTTAAAGTTATTATTTTTTTACTAATCAATGATAACACTATAGAATAATATCATATGTATATATATTTTCTAGTAAGTCGTGCGGAGTACCCAGCAACGTTGGTGCTAACAGCCGATCACGATGACCGAGTGGTGCCTCTTCATTCCCTTAAGTATATAGCAACATTGCAGCACGCTGTCAGAGGCACTCCGCAGAGACGACCGCTGCTAGCACGGATCGATACGAAAGCTGGCCACGGGGGAGGAAAACCGACCGCGAAAATAGTATGTAGCATTCAAAGATTATCCAATTAATATTCCAATTTCCAAATGTATATTCGTGATCTGCCTTGTAGTTAAAAAAATAATTGTGCGTATAGTCCCTCCGCGCGCAAGAAGTGAAATTTCTTAATATTGGAATGAAAACAGGAAGGGGAAGAAATTGATTTTTAAGGAAATTTTAGTTTCACATAATGAGATCTAAGATTTTCGCGAGTACACATTTAAATGAAACTAATATTTTCGGATTTTACTTCGCGTTTTATTTTTAGAAACTACATACTCCCGACGTTTCGGCTACTTTTCAGCAACCGTGATCACGGGCAGACGAGATGTGAGTGTCTGTCAGTTGGTCTGGTCATTTTATCTCCTACCGCCATCGATTTCTTAATTGTCTTGCGTACCGCTCTGGATGCCGGCAAAATGCGCTCACGGTGTCTCGAGGTCCTGCGGTGTGGTCACGGACATGGGATTTTATATTTTTAAGAAGAGGATCCCAGGTGTTTGATAGGTTCCAGCCATCTTCTCTATTGAAATTTGGGTGTTTTTTATTTTCTATAGCCTCGCGGATTAACCTTGGTATATATCTGTCTTCACGAGCGAGGATCTGTGGTTTATCAAATCTAATGTAATGGCCTGGTTTGTCCAATGCATGTTCGCACACTGCTGACTTCGACGCGCGCCTATTCCTGACGTCTGAAATGTGTTCCTTTCAACCACAGATCCTCGCTCGTGAAGACAGATATATACCAAGGTTAATCCGCGAGGCTATTGAAATTAAAAAACACCCAAATTTCAATAGAGAAGATGGCTGGAACCTATCAAACACCTGGGATCCTCTTCTTAAAAATATAAAATCCCATGTCCGTGACCACACCGCAGGACCTCGAGACACCGTGAGCGCATTTTGCCGGCATCCAGAGCGGTACGCAAGACAATTAAGAAATCGATGGCGGTAGGAGATAAAATGACCAGACCAACTGACAGACACTCACATCTCGTCTGCCCGTGATCACGGTTGCTGAAAAGTAGCCGAAACGTCGGGAGTATGTAGTTTCTAAAAATAAAACGCGAAGTAAAATCCGAAAATATTAGTTTCATTTAAATTTTAGTTTCTTTAAGACAAAGTTCATTAACATTACTTATAAGTCACAATTGATTGCATTCGAGTGCCACGCATTCCCTTTCGCTCTGTCACTTTGCCAGCCTACCCCAAGAGCGTTAAACGTTAAACACAACCTTGGAAGTGATACATATATGTTAAAAATATGCAGCAGCTACATAGATTTTTAAACAATTTTGTATATTTTTCAGATCGATGAGCACACGGATATCCTGTGCTTCCTCTCTCAAACCCTGGGACTAAAGTTCCAGAAGTGATACCATATAACATAAGCTTTAAAACTGCCATACATTAAACAAAAAATAGTTTTATTGCACTGAGAAATTGATATAAAGAGATATAATGTAAATATAATAAGCTAACCATCCCCACAATCTGTTGATTACCTCAGGTCCAAACGAGACTGGTGATATTGTTACGCATTGCTACTATTTTTATGAAATAAAAATTGTTTTTATTAATTGTTTTATTTATACTACACTTGTGTTATTTATATTGAAGGCTATGGCTAAGAAATATTGAATTTAATCAAGTATTACATAACAACTTGGAATAACAAATATTGTTGGGGATTTGTTTTTGTTATTTATCGACATAGGACATTAATACATTATTCTATTACATTTTTTTCTATTACAATATAGTCCGTTAGATTTAAGCTGATCTTTGCATTTGTTGAGTGAAAGTAAAAGTAGAGTTAGACAGAAAACGTTTGGAATTAAATTTTATTATATTTAAAATAGATACATAACATAAGTGCTATAAAATAAGCAAAACTTGTAAAAGGCCAGATGGAAATATGGAAAAAATTTTAATTAATAAAAATGTTGAAAAAACTATACAAATTCTTCTTCACTTGACACTGCGTTTTCTACATTTGACGCTGCTATCAGTACAAAGGGTGAAGTGCGGGGCGGAGTGAAAGCAGTATAAACAGTTCAAAACTAGAAAAGAACGTGGCATTCAAAAATTTTACATAACATCTACACTACCCGTGTATATTCAACAAATGCAAAGCTCAGCTTAAATCAAACGCACTATACCTTTATTTAATGTACATATATTGATTATCATCATTTTAAAATATTTAACAGTGATACTGTTGTGGTTTCAATTCGACAAAACAGTGTTTATTGTCTATTATTCCTTATCCTTCTTTTTTTACATTTACATTTTTCCATTGTGTAGTCTGTATAAGTACTGTTAAAAGGATTTCTTTTTTTTGTCACAAAAGTTTTTTTATCAATCGTTTGGGTTGAGTTTCAAGTCTTAAAAATTTCAGTGTTCTTTATATTGAAAGTAAAAGTAAACTTCGTAGTAAGAGACTTATGGCAGAATTTTAAAAACATTCAAAATAATATTACTTATTGAATTTAACGTCCAATAACAACGTATCATAATATAAAAGAAAGGCTATACAAAGTAACCGAAACGTCGGGAGTAGTTAATTAAAAAATTATTATAAACGCGTGATAAATCCGAAAAATACTAGTTTCATTTCAATGAATACTCGTAGTCGCAAGTCTTAGATCACAGTATTTATCATATAATATGAATATCATCTTTCATAACATTTTAATAAAATAAAAATTTGAATAGAAAACTGAATGAAATACGCATTTGCGGGAACTTAATTTACTTTGTTTAAAAAAATGTTCACCGATTCCTTGTATATAATGAGAACCACGTGGTTTTAAGGATAATATGTCAAGAGCGGTTACAAATGTTTAAAATCAAAGAAGACAGATTCCAACGGCAACCCGAAATTTTTAAAAAATATGGAATTGCAGGAAATTTATAATTAATGAGTACAAAACAAATTAGACATTTGCATTTAACATATGATGAGTGGTTCTCTTATGTGAAATGCTTCCCCGTAAGCAGAAATTGTTGTAAATACTATTTGAGAACAACTTTAACTTGTTTAGGAAATACTACCCCACCAGCAGACATTGCAAAATACGATGTCTGTTTCGGACACGTAAATTGTCAGTGTTGCGCTCATGTCACTTGAAGATATTAAAAATTCAGACTAACATACATAACTCAGAATATAAGAAATTCTACAGTAACAGTATTTCTTAATGCTAAACATTTCTTCGATAAAAATGAAACTACAGTTTCCCTCGCAATAAAAATGTTTCTTTTGATAAAAAGTTCTTTGTACTTTTACATTACAATTCCATATACGATTAAAACGGTAATATATTTCAAAGAGTATATGTCATGTCTACTCTTAAGATAAAGATTTAGGTAAAATATTTTACAACTTAACCCTTAGAATGTAATAGTAGCAATAGTTACTGGCATCTTATTCCATTTGATTAAAAAGAATATATTAGGAAAGGAAGGTCAGTGGTGGCCTAGTGGCTAAACGACCCGCCTCTCATGCATGAGGGCGCGGTTTCGATCCTGGCCCGGGCAAGTACCAATGTGATTTTTCCAAGTCATATGTATTTTCTTAGAGTATTTAGACGTCACTGATTAATGTTGATTCCCAAAGAAGATTGATGTCGGGCAGGTGGCCGGTAGTAAAAACAAATAGCCAAAACTTATTCATAATAACTGGCTATAGCTGAGAAATTGCCAGGTAGAAGATATTAGGAATGGAAAATTGACAATTCTAAGAAGAATTATATATACGATTTTAAAAAAAAAATTCGACGACATGAAATATTATAGTACCAGGATCCGACCAGTAAAGAATTTCAAAAGGATTATTTGATATTGTAATTAATATTTATTTAATCTATAAAACCTGATTTATAAAGAAATTCAATAGGAGATTAAAATTCAACTCAGTATCTAAAATATTAACCAATCTGACTCCTAACAGACATGGAATGCTCTTGAATGTTATATGATATACCTACAACCTATCAACACCAACGTATGAAATCGATTAGTTTCTGTCTCGACTGATAATATGTGATAGAACAGTTTAACTCTACCAATACCCGAGTGTAATGGGAAAATTATATTTTCGTGCTACAGGAACTAGGACCTTAAATGCATCCCGACTATGTTACATGTTAGCGATATTGATTTCGAAAAAATGTTTGTCTAGACGGAAAAAAGGGAAGTCAATAAAAAGGAGGAAAAATCTCTACCTAAGCACATAATATTATGTTTCTAGCTATAAGAAATGTTTAGCATTGCACTCTTTGGATTATAAATATAAATTGCCGTATCGAAAAATTCTCGACTAATAATTTAAAAATAAAAGAATAAATGGAAAACCATTTAAGAAAATCTAGATTAATTTGAAATTCATTTGGGGAAATATAACAAATGTAACATTTAAAATAATAAATTATAACAGTTCAATATAATTTTAAATTTAAAAACTTTAGTTACGAATTTCATAATTTTCAAAAGATCCCAAAATGTAAAATATTATCCATTTTCCCTTACTACTAAATATACTATTTCAGATGAATTATGTTTTGATATAAATTTAAATTTTATTTTGGGGAGTTTTTAAATATAGCAGATGGCAATCTAAACTTCGTAAAAAGTAACCAGACAGTAGGCAATGGGCAGTTCGCTGTCGGCTGTATGCTGAATTGGTTTACGATAGTTTTTTGTTGTGGTACTAATATATTTTTACATTGTGACGATCAAATCTTATTTTTGTGAACTATTAAAGGATAATTGTTTTGCAACAATATATTAGTAATAGAAAAGCAGTTTATTAATTTTAAACCAAGACAAAATTTTGTATAGCTTTTAATATTTTCCAAGTGCATTTTCTGTTGCACATAAAAACATATTTGTTTGACCAAAGATCTTTATTGACTTCTATTAAAAATGGTTGATTATACGGGTAATACATTATTAATTTACATTACTATTATTATTTTTCTGTTTCATAATTGAATTGTAAATATTTGTTAACATAATAATATTATTTTGGATTCTAGATTTGACAGTATCAAATAAGGAAGAAAACAAGTTTTATAAAATCGGAAATTGTGCTTTAAAATTTTCTGTTAAAAGCAAAGGAGGTGTTGCTATTGGGCTAGCAAGCTGTCCTGCAGATGATACTATTCATTGGGTAACTATACAAAAGTTTTGTTTATTATAAGTGTGACATATTTAGTTTATCATTTTAAGACTATCAATGTTTTCTAGATCGTAATTGGTAACCGATTTTCCTGGATTGTTCAAACTAATAAAATCAAAACGCCAGGTATTCTATCAGAACATGAATACCGACCTTTTTGGGTTAGTTGGTATAACAATCAAATAAGACTTGGTGTGGGCGGTTCATCTACACCTATAGCGGAGACAACCAAGTTTAAAGATATTAAATATTTAACATTTTCCACATTCAAACGAAACATAGTGAAATTTAAATTGCAATGTAAGTATAAATCATGAACAGACACTTTTTAACAATATTTAAAGCATTACCAATCTTTCACCAATACATTCAATGTTTTCATAATTACTAAAAATTTTATATATTAAAAGTTCTTTTTACATTATAAGATGATTTTCATTAAAAATAAGAATTATTATGAAGTTAATCTATGTAATATTTCAATTTGTGAATTTTTCCTAAAACATAATATTCAAATGATAATGCATGTATTAACTGGAGCGCTTATATGTTAGTAAGTCATTACTTTAAATGTTTTTTATTTTTAATTACAGTGCCTCTTGATTTGCCCGATCCTGTGTATAAGGAGATAGATACTGGCAAACTCAAGTGGGTTAAGATGACTAATGGTGTCTTGCCAGAAGGTGCTTTAATTGGAGGTTTTGAAAATGAAATTCTATATATAATGAGAGTTATGCATGAGAGTGCATTGACACCCGGGAAGTATGTACCTTCGGAGAAGGCTGGATTTGTGGCCTGGGGATATCGGTCACACCGAAAAACTGAAGACATAGAGGTATACTTACAAATTATATTATGATATAATATAATTTATTATAATAGTGTTTTGCATGTTATATATAATTCAATAATAAGGTTTTATAGGTTTTATTACATCCATATTTATTTTTTATTTAAAAGCTATATTTACTTTATATTTAAGCTAAATTCTTGTTAATAATAATGTTAATTGTTAACAAGTCTACTTTTATATTAGTACAGACTTAGGACTATATGTTCTTTTATTTTTTGAATAGAATATTTTTGCATGTTTTTTTTTTATTTTGTGTGGCTGAGTATAAACAAAATTAGAATTCTAATGTTGCAACAACTAAAAGAATGGTTCATAGTAAGGTAATATTTATGTAATTGTCATACATTTTAACTTAAATTCTCTTATCATTGATGAACAAATAGAAAAGTTAAAATTACCATAGTAATTTGTATTTAAAAAAATAATAACAAAATTACATAAAGTTTCTATTTTAAAATCCCCTATATCGCATTCCCTGTGACGTCAATGCTTGCTGATGTCAAATACAGTGAATTAATTTCAAAATGGCCGCTTCTCTTATATATTTAAAATGCATTTAGAGATTTTGTTTATTATCAGTACATTTAAAAAAAAATTCAAGTTTTGTTTAGTATATGAGAGTTTAACAGCGAACAGCAAACAGTTTTGCGTTGCGATATTACTTGTAATATGTGAAAATACCATAGCTAGCGGCGATTATTGTATTCGCAACGCATACTGTTGGTTTAAATAAATATGTAAACAATTAAAATATATACTAATAGTAGGAAAGACATTTTACACGCCTCTAACGTCCATAAATAATACTGAATGGGTTTACGCTTATGTTTTTTTTATGTTTATATTCTTATTGTTTTTGAATCTAAGATTGATTAATCTTTTGATTGGTACATACAGCGAGTGGTTTTGTGCATTTCCAAAATTAAATCTTTTGTCATTCAATTTGTTTAACCGACAGGAGGGTTAAAATATAAAGGAGAGTTTAATTAAAAAAACAAAGTTCGAAATAACAATATAATTTTCATGGAAAAAAATTATTCGCGGTGTAAATAAATCTTTGTTAAGTAAGGTCAAGAACGAGGGGTTATTCTGAAGTGAATCATAAATTGCTTAATGTTCCACACCAGTTGCGGACAAAGTTCATGTCTTATCGTGTATGCAAAAAAACAAATTGAGACTAAACCCAATTTTACTTTATTAATTGTCGTGCCTATTATAATTAAAATTTTTGTCGAGTCTGCGTGCCAAAGCTTATCACTACATATTTTAGATTGATGGCTTATAAGCATCGCATTGCTTAACAAGCCTTCTCTTAATGGAGAAATATTTGTTCCTGAAAATAGTGTTTCTAATACAATCAGTAACCATTTTGTTACAGATTTTGTGCGGGTACGATGGTATTTGGGTCCCAACTGAGAAAAATATAATTCCTCGTGGGGCGCCAATTTGCGGTTTTACAGAATACGGGGAAGATATGTTTGTCGGTCGGGCGCTATATAACGATATTTTTATGCCGGGAAAAATAGCTCCATCGCACAAAGTTTGTTATTTGGCATACGAGGACAATACTGTATCGAATCCGTCATACGAAATTTTAGCGTTACTAAATTGTCGTAAACAAATTCGTTTGTAACTGGGATAATTATAAATCAATTCCTTCCTTAACTTATTTGTAAACGAAATTCCTCTCTGCCAAACGCACTTAACACACGCTGTGGTACCTAAAAATTATAATTGGAATAAAATTTTTATTTTATTTGGTTTTTGTTTTATTATTTTATTTTATTTTCTTTTTAGCGTTAGACAATCTTCTTGTGTTATCCTGATTTTGAGATTATCACGGGTTTTTGGTTCCGGTTAAGCGCCATTCACTAGTAGTGTTATTTAGCATGGAGAAGAATACTGTCCAATTCGAGCCTCCCATCGAATTGTTCAAGTGACATTGCACTGATAGTAAGTCATTACATATATCGATTATCGGGTTATCTAAATTCAATCCAGACTATTCCAGTAAGATAAGTACGTTCAAATATATTTGGGACCATAATAGATAAATGCTGAATAAAGAAGATTCAATTATAATCAAATAATATCGTCTATGTTTATTATCATATTTTTTGGAACAGGTTGTAATGAAAATATCGTCACGTTATTCATTTGCAAGAATAATTTTACAATAAGTGGCAATCATGAATTTTTTTGGCATTTTAGGGATGGTTAATTCATATGCAAATAAAATGATTTGTAATTATTATTCTACATTTCTCGATTTATATAGAATGTAACAGATTTGTCAACTTGAGAACGTTTTTTACAGATACTTTGTGGATATGACGGAATTTGGAAGTTGTTGCGACCTACTATTAAAAAAATGTCCTTGCCGGGTGCAGTACAAGGTGGTTACAAGTTAGTTCAATCTGTGTCCGGGATAAACCAGGAGCCACTCTTCGTGTGCCGAGCTTTAGATACCACCGGTGTGATTCCTGGTTCACTGAAAACACTAACCAAGTTTTGCGACTACGCCTCTGAGGAGAAATCTCAATGGAGCTCGACATACGAAATTTTGACCGTTCTCAACCCAGAGGAATAACCGTACTACCATTTTAATATTTATTATTAACAAACATATGTAACCGTTTTACCTTTAAATATAGGAATAGTTTTAATTTTGAGTCATGTAATCAGTATTTAATTATTTCAACAATAAACTATTATTATACTCAAATTCTCTTTTATTTCTACAACCCTCTTATGATCAGCTCATTATGTGTTGTATGAGAAAGAAAAGCTATTTTTACTCTGCACAGTACGACTTTGAATGCGTTGGCGAATTAAATTCTTTTTTTCTTTGAGTTTGTATTATCCTTGTTTGAAGGTGGATAAATTAAGACCGCGAATTAATGAAGTTTTCGGCGAATGTGATCTCCCTTAATTTACTTAAATTAGTCAATTTACAAATTATTTATATTAGAGCTACATTTATCGATTTGACAACTTTATAGAAGGAACGTCTACTATAGCTTTCCGTTGTTTCTTTAAAAGTTTTCATATTCGTTGTTGACTGTAGAACCGCCTATTATTATTGAAGAAAATAAGACGAATCTTTTAAAACGTCTAAGGAGATTACTAAAGGAATGGAGATTGCTGTGCGACGTGACAGAAATCCGTTAACTCTTAGTACAAAAATGCTAACTGGTGGAAATTTGTTGCAGATATTGTCCGGTTATAATGGTATTTGGGTTCCAACTGAGAGAGACAACATACCCGCTGAGGCAGTAGTCGGTGGATGTACAGAATACTTAGAAACAATGTTTGTTGGTAGCGCAATACATGAGAAATATATCATACCCGGGAAAGTAGTCCCTTCACACAAAGTTTGCTACGTCCCATATGATGGGAGAGAAATCGCTAAACCTAAATATGTGACTTTAGTTACAGCAAGCTAGAATCATTTTGAGATATCTGTAGAAAGTGGTTTTGTTGAAAACCTACAATTAAGCAATATACATTTACAATGACGAGCTATGTACAATTTTAGAATATGTGGCGGTAACAGTAATGGATTAAAAATATTTATCAGGCTATTTATATCTTTGTAAACGTAATCAATTTGTTTTATTGATGCAAATTTTTTTTGGTCTTACCGAATAAAAAACTATACCGAATAAAAATTTATAACCTAATTATGTATACTTTAGTGACGGCTTTAGAATTAGTCCTAAAATGGGGTACAATGAGTTTCTTTCTAGTGATATTCAAGTAATTGAATCCTGTGGCTAAACATAGTATCTATCAAATCCTTATAGGACTTAATCCTTGTAACAAAATATCAATTTGATGCTGAAAAAAATTATTATAAATTGAATATCTTCCTATAAAGAAAAGAAATGTTATGGAGCTAATAAACTATTTTCTATGACGCATATTATTATTAATTATTGTATTAGTTAAATATATTTATGACATAACCAAGTAATAGCATTAGATTGTATTCACTTGATTTGACGTTACTTTATTACATTTAGGAAGTTTTACGTCACAGAATTTCTACACATCAAGGTTGAATTAGGGAAATAGGAAATAACACAAAGAGATTAATCATTATTAAAAATAATTTAATAAAAAATATATTAAGAGGCCATTGTGTAACCAAAATAAATGTGTATTATGCAGTGCATTAAAATATCATCCAGGCACGACGTGATTACATACAAACACTAATCTGCACAGAGTACCAAAAGCGTAATTTATTGGACGAGGATTTCGTAGTCAGGGAAGCCGAGTTCTTGGCCTCCAAATGCAATATAGCAAACGCCATGAGACTGCTGAACTTTTCCAGTTGTGAGACTGCCTTCGTGATTCACTCTGCCCACGTACAAAGTCTCGCCATCTTCCGATTGCCCTCCCGGTAAGGCTCCGGGGGGAATGTTGGAACCGCTGGTTGCAATCCAGTTGTTAGGACCTCCAACTAGAACCTATAAAATTAAGATATTTTTACACTAAACTTATTGCCATTAAATTTTTTTCTTTTGACTATTTATTTTGGATATTTTCTTTCAACTAACTCTCAATAATTACCTTACACACAAGATTTTACTTTAAGTCCTTTACTTCAAAATGTATAATTATATATATCGTTAAATCATCGTACCTGATATTCAGGTTTTCCGTGTTCTTGTCCACCCCACGGAACATAGGCGCAGCCGTGGGACCCTACAAGTTTTCCAGGGAGTAGTGCCCCTTCATGTTGCGCTCTAGCTACGTATAAAGCTTCGCCGGAGCAATCTTGGCCGCCTACAACCGCGCCTGGAGGAACTTGTCCGGAGGTAGCATCGACCCACACGCCAGAAGCACCTGATCCAGGTACTGGAGCGACGCCGGGGTAGCCGGGAGGAGGGCTGTATAAAGCAGCAGCGGAAGGAGCCGATGGTGGTGGGAGCACTACAATAACAAGATATTTTTAGTACATAAACATTAAATTATACACATCAAAGCTATTACTTTCTGATTGAGACAAAAAGCATTCGGATGCAAATGAGACGAAATCAAAACGTGAATAATGAACGACAAATAACCAAAACAGGAAGAAAATTTGTTATATCAATAAATTAATAATAAATAAGTTGCGTAGACAAACATGGAAAAATTGAGATATGAGTAGTAGATGAAGCAATAAAACGACAGAAGTATTAGAAGGTTAATATTAGTAAAATAGAACGTGAGAAGAAAATAATAAACATATTAAAAACCAACAACACACAAAATGTACCCAACCTACCAGATCACAATCCATCTCGAGGGCAAACTTCTTAAAATATTTAATGGATTTATTGAATAATCACACATATAAAACACCATCTATGTTTAATTTGTTAGTTTTCAACTAGTAATATGCTAACAGGCAAAATTGTTGTATACATAAGACATTCTATGCAGTGCCAGCAATTAACATTAAAGCACATTCAAGATCAAAGGTCACTCAACGTGGCTGCGCGTTCCCTTTGTAGAAATGAGAAATACGCCAATTGCCCCTTGCACCATAACCGGTGCGGACACCGAAGTGCAATACAGGGAAAGGTGTTGGATCCACCCATTCCATGAGAATTGCCCCGGTTCTTCCGTCGCGGACGGTCAATCTGCCACAGCGCCATTCGAAGATAAACTTCCTAAACTCATTGGCGTTCATAAGACTCGGTGTTGGAACGGTAACCTACGGAGTGTCACAGATATACTTGCTAAGTAACGATGTTCCACTGGATCACGGTGTCAAAACGTTATCTACCTTATCCGGTTTTTGTCTGCAGTGTCTGATCACAGATTGTGTATTTTCCCAGCCGCCAAGGATGACTTCGTACATTGGATCGATTTCTGCGGGTGCCGATGTCAAACAGACGTGGCAATTGTGAGGTCCTCGATATTCGAATTCCAAAGATCCTGCCGCCACTGGCCCGAATTTATACTCTAACTTGTCCGGAGTATTGAACTCGGCTCCATCTGTGCCGTAAATTTCCGGGAATGAAATGTTGGGTACATTTTGTATGTCCTTAAATGAGTAAAATGATGTAAGCTGACTGACTTACCTTCAATCTTCCATGTGCCACTAGCTCCCCAGCCGGTGCAGACACCGACGAAACCAATGGGGAATGGTTCTGGATCTTGCCAAGAAATGAAAGGAATGGCTTCTCCTTCGCGACCAGCTGAAATAATGCCACCGTCCCAACGCACCCAAAAGCCACGGAACTCTCCACCGTTAAGAATGTTGGGTGTGTCGATTTCAGCCTTCTCAGGTTTTGTTCTGTTCCTCCTGATTACACTCTTTGTGTTGCCCCAACCACCGATGAATACCTGTAATCATTAGTTTGATTTTATAGGATTGGCTTTATTTAAGTTTATATTATTTGGTTTATTCAAGTCAACACTTTCAACTAAATCTTCAGGTAGCCATTCTTAAATGATTAATATAAAACTTTGAATGACGTCGAGCATGTTAATATGTAATAAATTTAAAAAGATTTCTATATATCGAAGAAATACAACACTTATCAAATTTCCACATAAATATAGGTCAAGTGTGGGTAATTAGGTATTTTTACGATTTTTACTATATATTATTACTGTTGAATCGATTTTAATGTATATTTTATTTAAAACTGTTTATTTAGAAACAGTGATAAACTTTATAAATATCGCAATATAATTTTATATGTAATTCAGTTTATGACATTCGGTGTCTTTTTATGTAGACTACGACAACCAAACGATAATTTAAGCTAATTGATCTACCTACTGCTTACTGATCCTAATACGTTTAGCAGACACTAGATATAAACAATAATAGGATTACAGTGTATAATGGGTTGGGCCAGTACGAATATCGGTTACATTCAATGTTATTGGTGACACCGAGGTAATATTCACATTCATTACTATAGGATTATGTACTACATATTATACAAATGTATTTCAATTGTTTTGTTGGAATCTTAAATGCATCAAGATATATATCATACCTCAACCATGGGGTCAGATTCCTGAGGGCCCATGGTAAGAGCAATATGAGCGTCATTGGGTGCTCTTATCTTGAACTGGACGGAGCCACTTGCAATCGGGAAGAAATGGTATTGAAGGTTGTCCTCCGTCGCAACATCTGTAATGTAATTGTGGAAAAAATGTTATTGGGTTCTGTATTTAATTTATTTCAAAGACAAAACTATCAGTTTTCGTAAGAAACTTATCGTGTTCATACTTTTAAAAAACGAAGGTATATTTTTGTTATTTGTGATATTTGCAACTAAAATATCTATTGTGTATATTCTACACAGAAAATTTATAGTCTTTGATAAAAAAAAAGTAATATTTTTCCAGCTGGTTAAACAATAGAGAAAAAAAGACAATTAAGAACTAATATTAAAACGAGACAAATGCTTTGTTTCGATCAAATCTATTATATAGCCTCTTAAATCATACACCACAATAAATATAGATAGGCAAAGAGAAATTTTATGTATGGATATTACTTTGATAAAGCATTAAAAGTTTCTAATAGTTAAGTACATTGATCAGCAGAATATTTTATTCACAATGAAAGAAAGGGGATATCGATCCCATATATAACATATCGTGTTAATATAGTTAATACATATTATATTAAATAGCTATTCCGGTATTCCATTTGTAATCAAGTGGGTCTCCTAACAGCATACCTAAAAATAGATCGTATTGGTATGCGCAAACAAGCCAGAGAGGCGCACCCCGCAATGCGCACACACGTCCATCGACTTTAACATTTCTTTTTAATCGATTATAATCTTAACTTGCGTACTAAGAGACTTCGAGAACATATTTTTCAAATAATAAGCGGTTCTTTTTTCTATTTTATGGTTATCTGACAGACGTGACATCCAAGTTAATAAAAAAAACAATATAAGTATATTACACGCACAACCTATTAAACAATTATAAAGAAGCGTCATAAATTATAATAAAATAACAAGTAGTTTGCTGAATAATTGCGATTGAATTCATCTTACAATAATTACTTGGTATTTTAACCATATAATGTAGGTATCTTAATCATAATAATTATTTAATCAGTATTTTAAAATAACGACTAAAGTAGTGTTGATTTTCATTTTATTTCAAGATTTGCTTGAATTTTGTTACTTCATACAAAATTATACTGCAACAGTGGTGTTACAGAGGTTAAATGGACAAATCAATAACGGTCCAATTATGTAAGGAGTCACCGTTTCCTATCCATGGAACAAATAAGGAACTGCGGATGTGATGTATATAGAATAAGAATTATAAAATATTTCTAACAAGACCTTACAAAGCGTATTCTACAAGCAATTACATTATTCTATTTCATTTTTTGTATGACTGATTTTGTCTTATATTTTGGGTGTTATTTCAAAGACGATTACGTAAATGACAAAGAATTTGAATGTATTTAGCTAACAAAAACAACTAATTAATTCATACTCAATAATGCTGGAACTGGAAATACATTTTCGCACGATGTTATCTGTGGAACTGTTTATTTATCTGCATGGAATATTAATGAATCAAATATTTATTTAGGTTGCATACTGAATTCAAGCTGGAATACTTCGCAGGTCTAGCTGTAATTGTGATTTGTGACTAACAATTTATTGTTGATGACCTCATTCTACTTGGTGCTATTAGTTTACAATGTCACAGCTCCTACTCACAACATCTAAGGTCTGACAATATTGATGTTGTTGTGATGATGTAAGCTGTATTTATAGAGTATGAGCCAATCAGATTTAAGCTAACCAGGGCTATACTATCTACGGTTTTTTGATTACAATCATGCCACACAAAACCGCTTTGGCTAGCAATAGTTTTATTAAAAATGAAATTAATCATTTGTTGAAAATTAAAACGAACACATCGCTTTTTGGCCCCGAGCCAACATAACGCCGGTTATTTGTTTCTACCGGCTTGTATAATAAGAATTTCTAGATCAAATTTTTTGTATAATCATCAACGGAAAAGTAATTTGAAAATATGGGCTACATAAACGTGGTATATATAAAATTGTTTGAAACTTACCGAGAATGTTTGCCATGTTTGAAGTTAATAAACTTTCTTTATATGAAACTATTATACGTGATTGCTGGGTGGAAGCGCAGAGCCAACTGCCATTTGCCAAGCGATGTTGGTACTTGGTCGATCTCAGGGCCGCGATTCCGAGACTACGTAACAGAGTATGATGTCATCTTTACCTGATTCAACCACAGAAGTATGTCTGTTTTCGTATTTTATTTAATAATTCAATTCAAATTATGATTAGGTCATGACGAATTTTATGGCTGCATCGTATTTGTAATCATATTTAATTTTTATAATTAATATTAGCTAACCGGATTCTCTGCATTTTTTTCGACTAGCAAAAAACATATTTGTTAGATGTTATAGCATGTTAGATTTTTTTTAATTTATAAAAGTATATTGGCCTCTTGATAGAAATGGAAAGCATTGAAAGAAAATATACAAAATTTTTATTTGCTCCCATTCTTAAAATTATAAGTATTTATGTAGAAAACCTAACTGAATTTAGGTGCATTAGGAAGACTGAAGAAAGGCTTGATAAAATTTGCAATCAAAGGGATAGGCAAAAAAAGTGTGTACGGAAAAAAGTTTGTTGCTCATTAGGTTTTTCTTATCGTTCGAAATAATTTTTGACAAAAGATGTGTGACATTATGCATTTTCAATTATTAAAGAAAAATAAAAAAAGACATTCCAAAATTCCTTTTTTATAAACATATTCTGTAATCTTTAAAGATTGAATAGATATTTTATCATAAAAATTTTATAAATAAATTTTAATTTCAAAATGAAGATCAGACAGTGCGTACTGAAATCTCTCAAGCGGAACAGTCGGTTTAAGTTAGTGAACAAAATAACAATAAACTATTTAATATAACCTTCACTATCGTAACGGGTCAAGGATTATCAGATATTGTGTATCATTTCACATGTAAATATAAATATTCTTTAAGTAAAAATGTGAATTTGCTTTCATTTGAAAAAAATTCTCGTTGTTTGAATGGTTGCCAGTCATTCTTAAAATAATGTAAGTCTGCTATAAAAAAAATATCATGCAATGGTTTAAATATAATACTAACGATTCTTAGAAGTGGTCTATACAAAATAGAAAGTCTATTTATCAAACCAAAAAGTATTTTCAATATATTACTTTATTATAATAAGAAGAGAATTAGACTTTACCTCAATAAACCTTTGAAGGACAGATATTTATCAAGGGTGACCACTTTTGTACTTCAAGGCGTTCTGTAATCCAATTCTATGGCTTTCAGGGCCATTTATTATGTACGTCAACCGGTAACAACATCGAGATGGCCGAGGATTAAATAAAAGTGATTTGGAATAATAAGGTGTGTTATAAATTAAAAAATATGATGTTTCATTTAAAACTAATAACAGAAATTATGAAAGCATTCAAAAATATATCCCTATGGTCAAAAATCTAATTACGAAACTGTTGGCCACTAGGAAAGTGGTTATAAATGTGACATAGTCGGTTTAATAACCACAAAATTCTATAAATATTTCGACTATATACAGTGGAAATTTTAAATAATTTCTATGATTCATCAGATGAAATGAGACAAAGGTCATTATAATTGCGTGTCTCAAGATCTGTACGCTTAGCATAAGTTTACAATTTCATACTAAATACATACGTATAGTTTCACGTCTCTCATTCAATACCCTACGTGTAAACTATAATATACGAAGATTTATTAAAGAAAATTTTAACGCTCCGTACTTATACGGTGTAACGATGCATACAGTGTCAAGCATACTGATTTGTAATGTGATCTGTAAACAATACCAGCCTTTAATATGGTGAAGTATATGTTTGATAATAATCGATCTACACTTTAATTAAAATTATGAAAGGATTCCAATTGCTATTGGAAAAAAAATTTTGAACAAAGTTGGTATTTTTTATCATCGAATGAACATATATACACGGTGGGCCGTCTACTCCTTCGTTGTAGACTTATTTTACATACGAATGAAACGATAGATACGTGTCCTTAATCCTTATGAACACACCAAAAGAATGGAACAGTTTTCATCTGATTCTGTGTTTCCTTTCAAATAAAATTGTTGTATTTTAAGGCTAGAGTGAGTAGGCTGTTACTGAAATACTCGAGCACTATCTAGTCAAAAGTTTAAAAAAGGTCCTAACTGGGATTCCAAATAAATGTGATATAATTATGACACTCTTTCAATAGGAATATAGAATTTAAGTAATAGTAGGCACATATTTACATTATTACATTTTTTTAAATTTGAAATTCAAGATAGCTTGCTTCATAAATAAACCTACGTTTTATAACCGGTATTTGATTGTCACAATACCTTTAACAACCATATTAGCAGTAATATTTCTATGAGTTACTTGTTAGAGAAAATAACCAATTTATTATATTTTTAATGTAAATGTGATTGTTTTTGTGCAACGACACACTTGTAAGGATTTGCAGAGAATTCGTTTTTGTTTTTCTCGTATAAAATATATCGTAAATAAAGTTTTGTTTTTACGAGTTTTCCTATAATCAGTACATCAGCACAAAACATATATAAATCTTGTTATAACTTTGATTTATATGCTTAAAAGACTAAGAAAATTTAAGAGCGATAACGAATGCAAAACTGATTTGTGGAATTATAATGTTAGAGGATATTAAATAAATATTCGTAATATAAATATTATAAATTAAAGTTTTATGGTAGAATAGATTATTTCATCAAAAGTATTAAGTATATTCACTTATATTTACACAGTTGACACATATTTCATAGACTTATAACCAACTATAACGCCATCTATGAATCTTTCATCAAATCACATCTTTTGCATGGTAGTATTGAATACAAAACGCCCTGAATTTATTTATGTTTATAAAATTTGAGAGAAAACATGGACTTCCTATCAGATTAATAATATAACTCAGCAATTTTAAGACTCAAAATCAAAACACTTCTACATATAGGTACTATCACAATGCTACAATTAATTTTTCATCGTTCAACCAGTGTTACTCACAGAATCAGCTAGATCTAAATCCATTTTTATTGTACTCAGACAAACTTAATCACAAGTTCGACAAAGGTTAATTCATTAACTTTTTATTCAATTATTCGCAAACCTTTGTTTCATTTAATGTGAGTGGAATGCCGAGTGATCGGTTTTATTCTCATTTTAAAACTAAAATGTTATCATGAGTTATAATAGACATTCAAATTAGATATTTATAAACATTTTTAAGGACGACAATGTTTGGCACATTAAATTTAGTTGTAATTTTTATCTTTTATTCGCTGCTGGGCGATTGTTAGATGTGTGAAGTTAAAGAAATGGAAAAAATATTCAAAATGTATTCCAGGATGAGCAGAGGCATGTGAGATAATGTTACAAGAGCCGTGTCCATTGCTTTTTTTAAAATTCAAATAGTAATAATATAAAGAAATGACGTAAACTTTCAATGCAACTTTTGTTTTTGATCATATATGTATACGGATATACAAAGATGTCTAAGACTATATGTACACCTTTCTGTGTTAAATGTTATAAGAATAGAGTCATATACATATACATAAGCTGTTGTTTTTAAATCTATCTTCTTATTATATTATCAAAATATTCGAACAATTCGGTTGGAAAGTCCATGTTTCAATGCTTATACAGATAAACCTATATTGTTTACTTCTTAATTACATATCTACTTTTAATAATACATTACGGAATACGAATTTTTACAGACATTTAAAATGTCATTTGATTAATGATTTGGTAAAATTATTAAAAGTTCCATTTAGCAAAGTACATATAAAGAAACATTTCATCGGCCGTTACTAGCGGCTAGTCCCCTTTTCAGCCACGGCACGAGAGGCACGGCTTCCTTTGACCCTATTCCTTTAAGAAGTCATAGAAACCGAATTGATTGTCAAATGAAAAGGGACTATTTAATTTATCGGTAAACAGATCAAATATTTTATTCGCCATTTTGTTTTAGTTTTCTTTCTAAGCTCAAGTGGATAAATTTGAAGAAGCTCATTAGTAAATAGTGATTTAATTTGTTAACGAATTATGGAAAATTATTACTGTGAGCTCTGTACTGGTGATGTGTGCTTAATCATATTAATTAGGAGTATATTTTCAAGGTTGTGGTTTGGTTATAAAATTGAAATAATTACAAAGGGAAGGTTTATGATCAGTTTATATTTAACTAAACAGGTAATGTTACTTTTTTAAATAAAATTTATTATGGTAGTTATAATTACCTAACAGGTTTTGTATAATATACAAATAAGTTATTTGATTGCCTTGTTTATTTTTTTCAAAAAATAAAAGGAATATTTGGTACTCCACTGGATATTTCGACTTAAATAATTTTCATAGAGCGATAACGATCAGCTCGTAATTATTTTAAAGTACTTTCGTGGCTCAGAGATAGTAGATTGATTTATAAAATATATAGAGGATAGTTCTGATTGGACTGCTGTGACTTTATGCGCGAATATTATCAATTTCTTAGAGGAGGAAATTATGATGACACATCTACCTAGCGAAGATTAAGTGTTTTCCTATTTAGATATGTATACTTCAGATGATTAGTACATACTGCGGGAAATTTTGTTGCACCGATGATTATGAATTTATGTTTTTTTATAAACTGAAAAATTATCGGTGTCGAGGCTTCGTGTGAAATTATCTTTTAGTATTATTAATCATGGTGGTAAGATATGGTTTTGGATTTACAGATTTACAGCTGGTTGCAGTTAACTTGATTAACTTTATTTTCATACCACGTCCGTTTCAAACATTCATGCGGGCTGTCTGATATTAAATAGTCACTGTAGCTTGGCGCCTGCGACTAAAAGAGTATCAACATGAGCAATGTGAACTTTGAAATTATTTTTCATAACTACAATTCATCCCATCGATCACGGGTCCAGTACTCAGTTTCTGTATTTTTATACTTTGGACCAGAAGATTTTTTTACTTTTCTTGAAGTAGGTGTTCATAATCGATTTTCTAAATAAAATGCTATAGCAAATATTGGTTGTCATCGTATTATTTTCGCGAACGGCATTTTTACAATGATAACACAGATAAGCCAGTGTTGCTAACATTAGGTAAACGAATATATGTACATATGTTTACCTATATACACACCTAAATATATAAGAAAATATGTATATCTATATAATATTTTTAACGGTAAAAATGCTCATATTAGAGATTATATTAAACAATTATTCAAATTATAAATAGTATCCACTATTCATGTAAACCAGGATATATTGAGCCTAAAAATACATATAAGTGATTGAATGATAATAGTGCCCGTTTTCCTATTGTCAGAAATATTTATGTTTATAACTAATTTGTTATTCTGAAAATATGTAAAACATTGTATCTTTAGCAGATTATTGTGAATTCTTAAGTTATTTTTATTCCGAATTTATTTCAGTTCGATTGTCGCATCTCAAGATTGCCTGTGTCCTGTCAGTCTATACGGTAGAGGCAATTAGCTCACACGTAATTTTTGTTGCGAAATTATTTGTCATTTTCAATAACAGTGCTAGGTAAGTTTTAAACTTCTTATCTTATTACTAATTAGTTAAAAAAAGGAATTTGATGAATATAAACAATTTTGATAACCATACTAGCAAGGTAAAAGAAATATGACATGAGTTGGCTTATTAGTTCTTATCAACGCAGTTCTTTTTAAGCTTTGAAAGTCAACAAAAAAGATTTAATGTCATGACATTTTTATCTTCTTCTTCTTCTATATATATAAAAATGGATTGCTGTTCCTTAGTCTCGCTAAAACTCGAGAACGGCTGAACCGATTTGGCTAATTTTAGTCTTGAAATACTCCTGGAAATTCAGGGAAGGTTTAAAAGGTGAGAAAAATTGGAATAATTGCCGGGAAAACCCTAAAAACAGCCTTTTTCTATTTCCCATACAAACGTTTTTTTGACATTAGATTTGACAACTAACTAATATGTCAATCATTCTGTCGCACTTCAACACACGGAGATTTATGGCTTTAATAGGTAAACTCCAAAAATATAAATAAAAAAACGTAATAGATATTTCTTGATTATAGGGCGATACGAAGTTCGCCGGGTCTTCTAGTATTACATAATTATTTTTTTGCTGTTGCGCTTGACGTGTATATTAATTGTATGATTGTAAAAATAGGACAAAATGAATTGGACAAAAATTCGCGAATAACAATATATATGTATGTCGCTCCTTTTTAGTAGTATTTTACGTACGAAACCGTAACTTTTTATTAGTTTATTTTATCCTCTTAGCTTAGTTTTCATAGTAATATTTGGTTCAAGTCTAAAATATTTTGTTAATTGTCGAATTACAACTGATCGATTTGCATAGCTACACACATATTCCAGGAAAATAACGAATGTAGATTAAATTGAAAAAAAATATTTTCATTATAGGGATTGAAAAGTTGTCATTTTTTATATTGATTTTCTGAATTTTTACAACAATTGCTTATACAAAAGAAACTATTATTAAGCTTAAATTGTAAGATAAGTTTTTGTTCTTTCTGGGACTTTCTAACCGAAAAACTTAACTAGGTAGTGAGTACAAAACAAAAAAATGTCACTATTTCGATTAGCGTATGAACATTTCTGCCAAACATACAACTGATTATGTCATTGGGAATTAAAATTAATAAAAGAAATCCTCGATATAAATAATGAAATACTAAAAAAAATTGAATCATGCGCTACTAACAAATAAAAGTGAAACTCACCAATAAGAAGTCCATGTAGGAAATTAAACATTGTCATACAAAACAGATCTCATGTCCAGCTTGTAAAATTATAAGTTTATAAGACTTAACCGTATCAGTCTTCCAATCTCGCTACATTCGAAATGTCACTAACATCATACCATCATTTCTGTAACAGATCTAGAAATTATAAATCAATACAATTAAAATAATTTGTATCTATGTATGTTGGATTATAATTTCAAATTATTTTTGACGATCGTTGAACTGGAGAGTATGAAAATAGTGAATTTGTGAGTTATTAACTTGTATTATATCTATTGGATGCTATGCTAGTTAGCAAGTTGTATATAAATATGTAAGTCAAGAAAATATATGCTTCCAGAATACTGAAGCTGTTCTCAAGCAGTGAGGACGAATGAAGTGGGTCGCGGCAAAAGACGGCCATGCGCCGCTAGGTACTTTGATGGCAGGTTTCAATAATTATTGGGAACCTATTTTCGTAGCAAGGGCTAGACATGAAGGCGCTCTGATTCCCGGAAAACTTATCCACTCCCACGGCTGTGCTTACATCTCATGGGGAGGGCATGAAATCAAGAAATACGAATATGAGGTATAAAATGTATTTGGTAGCTTTCTATAAATTATATATTACCAATTTGATATGGAATCACTTTGATTTTCAGGGATTTGAATGTTTCAAGACTAGAAACTTTAGATTTCTTTAACAGCTAATTTATAGATATTTATAAATAAATACCAAATATAAATGTAGTAATACCCCACATATGAGACGTAGTTTTTTGTGTTACTGTCTTTGTATTTATTTCTGGTAATCTCTGATAGAGCTTGACCGATTTTGATGGGCTTTCATTGCCGGATAATTCATGTTACGAATATTAATTAAAAGTGCTCTTGATTAAGTCTATTTAGTTTTTTGAATCTTGAAAGGGAACACATAAATTATGGCGTATAGTTGAAGACTAAGACGGAGATCCTATAAATTTTTTACTAAGCATTGATACATAATTTATAAATTACCTTTGATTTAAATCGATTTCACAAAATAAGATAATTGCTATACAGATTTTATTATTATTAGAGTGAAACAGCTGATTTCAACGTATATACGAAAGTCATATAAATACTGTGGTTTTATTTAAACAATATTTATTTTATATCTTATAGGTGTTGGTTGATGCACCACCAAACTGGATAGCTACGAGCGGCAATAAAATTCCCTTAAATGCATATCCCGGAGGAAAGACTGAAAATCATGAAGTTTTATTTATTGGAAGAGTCGTCGGTTACGAAGGAGAAACAATTCCAGGAAAAGTTCAACCATCACACAAATGTTTATATATTCCTTTCGATGGAAATGAAATTTCTTTTAGTGACTACGAGATCCTTTGTCGTTGAATCTTAAACTTATTGTTATTATCTTAAACTTAAAAAAAAACTGTTTGAGGGTTTTTAATGAAAATTTAACAAAACAATAAACTAATGCCGTGTAATTTTTATAAAAAAAATAAAAGTTTAGGAAAATTTATTTTGGTTTATCTGGTTTGGTTTAATTAAGTTTACTTCATGAAATGTCTTTTATTTTCTTGACATGTCCTTTGAATGTAATTTTAAAAGTAAATGTATACTTTTTTAGTCATATTCATATTCTACATTTGTATATCTTTTTTACTCCTTGTTTTTTCTTTCATGCATAATAAGAGATTTTTACTTATTCTCATATATTTTTAATCAAATTAAAGTACTTAAATTTACTTAGAATGTAATTCTAATTTATTTTAACATACTAATACTTTCATTTTCATAGCGGACTACTAGGAATCTTCTGGAGTATGCTACATATTTTTGGAGAGAAGTTCTAGGGAATAACGGTAATATTCACGTAGATTCTTTTGGCGTGTCAAAAACCTTTTTAACATAGACTGACTTGATCGTCTCATTGTCAAGATACCTATGACCTAAACTCTCTTTAGTTTTTGTCTTAGAGACATGCGGTCGATACTGAAGTTCCTCAGCGGTTTGTTCTCTTCGTAACTCTTTGTTTGATAAACCTAATGAAAAATATTTTTGCTGCACCGAGTGCTAGTAAATACCTGATCGTTTCAGTAACGCAGATAATAGCACAGTTCTTGATTTGTGTCAATCTAGACTTTGGGCCAACTGGAATCGAAAAAAGGCAAACAATGTTTAAATAATAATCTTTTTTTTTCGTTTTGGGATTTTTTTCCATTTTCGTTTCGAAATGGTCGTCTATGCCCTATGGCCCTATTATGAGCGACAATGTCAAAGGGCAGGTCATGTTTATTATTTCGTTTAATGAGTTTTATATTCTCCTTTTTTTAAAAAGACATTCTAATTGCTCTTGGAATATTTAAAAGCCATTTCGGTAGTTCGTAAGTTTCTAGATTGGGAGCATATAAAATAAATCTTTCTTAGATTTGCTTTGACAAATTACACGTTTTTAATTTTTTATTTAGGACTCAACCCTACAACTGTTTCATTTAAATAAGCCAGTGAATATAGGGGGGTTGACCTCGGGGAATTGGCATATCCACTAAGTTGAATAAAAAATCATAATTATAAGCTTAAAAATAAATTATAAATTTAATATTATGAATTTCAGATGGGGAATACCAGTTGACCTCAGATAATTCTCTGACCGCGATCTATTCCCTCTATCTCGAAAATTGTTAAAGCTGTAAAAAAATTCAATAAAAGAGTTGTCTAGAAATTGATTACCTTCAATATTGAATATAATACTTTCCTTTAATAAACCTAATTAGAGCAAAACTCGTAGAAAACGAAATATATGAAAAAACTGTAAAAAAATAACAATTTTGTGGCCTTTCACCCCGCACTGTAAAACTTCAATTACATATATTTGAATTTTGAGAAAAGTTTTAGGATGCCAAGATTCGAGTTTCTAAGTGGTAATACTGGATTTGTAGATTTTCCGAGAAACACCTAATGCGTGCACCTAATTTGGCCAAGAATGACTAGACTAAAAAGTATTTCACAATTTCGCTAAAGATTTAAAGAATACCAAATTGTTATACTTGTTCTAACGGGTAATTAGACAAGGGGAAAAAAATCTTCATAAATATGATGCTGGTCTCACAAGGGCTTTCGTTTTATTAATTCTCCTACTAACGGTTCTTTAACTTTGAGATAATGTCTTAATAAAATATTATACAATTTTCCAACTTCACACTTTAAGTACTTTGAAATTTTATATAGTTAACATACGTTTACCAGCTTTTGTCTTTCTAGTAAGTTAATTTTGTTACGTATACCTATCAGTTTTTTTAATAATTCTATTTCTAATTGTTTTAAATGAGCAAATACTACGTTTACGTTACAAAACATGTCATAGTGTGAATTAGATGTAAAAAATCTGTTTTAGTGATAACCTTTGGGCCATTTCAATTTTTATATCTCTATTTCACCTTTTGCTAACTGTTTACATGAAGTTTTAGCGAGATTTTTTCTTGGCATACTGTATTTGGCTGTTGTAGATAGATTACAAGTGTTGTTTTGTGATTTATTTATTCGACAAAGAAGATAAAAGGTAAGTTTGATTATTCTTTGCATTGCTATAGATTGCGTTACGCGACAAATTAGGAAACAGAATAGCTTTACAAATCAAATGTTCCACTAAAATGTTATCTACAAATTACTTCATAATATTGATAGTATTTTTTTATTATATTTTTCTTTTATTGAGTACTGTTTCTGATATTGAGTAGAGGAACTTTATAAAGCATTTGTTATAATATAGATGATTATTTTACACTACAGTTGAAATAGTTTGTAACAAGTTTTTTTAATGGTATCAAAAAAGAAATATCATAGTTGTCGCTACTTATCTTCACAGTAAGAAAGGGAATTTAAAGCTTTATTTATTTATTAAATTATCAATAATACTTTAAGCTTTTGTAAAAATCTTAGTTTAAGTATATATTAGTTGACTTAAAGCCGTAAATGTCGCCAAATAATAACAATATAGAGGACAATCATATTAGTCACATAAGCGATAACACAATTAAGTAATCCCTTTATTATTCAGACCATTTCGTACTTATTAAATATAATGACAAGTTTCTTTTAATATAATGAAACCGTTTCATATCTAATATGATAACGGTTTTTCAAACAGAGTTGTGTTTAGACATTATATAGTTAGGTACTTCAAAGTTATTTTGTATTTGTATTTGTAGCGTTCAACCACTATCAAGAAGAATTAAATATGCAGTTTATTCTAAATTTATAAGGTATTAATTGTCATTAGAGCTACGGTTTTCTGTTCGTTGTGTTTGGCGGTAGAAGTCATATAGAATAATGTGACGGCTGTAATAAATTCATAATGTATAATCTATTTTGAGGGCAAGAAAGTCGGAAGTTGCTTTTGTAATTAAAACTAATATAATAATAAAGCTCTTACATGTAAAACATCAATTATATTTTTCTTTCGCTGATGACTGAAAAACCTAATATTTTATTTATCAGCAATTTGCTTATAACGGAGAAATCAGAGAAAGTTCAAGAACCTTATAATGTTTTTTTGACCTTAGGGGTTAAGAACTATCTTCTATAGATTCTTTTAAAATACTCCGTCATTGAAGTCTGCACTCATTTAATTTATAGTTTATTTTTTTAAACCAATTTTCTTGTTATGAATTACTATACCAAAATTGTTTCATGTGAATATAAAATGTTTTTTATAGATTTAAACTACCGTTACCTTTAAAATAAATCCTCATAAATCATTTCGCCAGCTTATTAACAGTTTAATATATTAATGGGATAACTAATTTTAGTGTTAATCATAATTTAACATGTGTCTTGCTCAAATTTGGCTGTTTCCTTTTGTGTTGTATTAAAATATTACTGTTGTTGATTAAAAAGTTTTTTTACCTGCATAAAACTATAAAGCATAGAGAAATTTCATCAAAATATTTAGCTTAAATTAAATTTAAAAAAGAAATATCTTGAAAGGAATATAAGTACGAAGTAAATTCCAAGTTTTCGTGCAGGTGTCATGTCGTGGAAAAATGCAAGTCATGGTAACGCGCCAGCCAATTCTCTTGTGGCTGGTCATGATGTTGATGATGAACCTATATACATAGCGAGAGCAGAATATGAAGGAGATCTTGTACCCGGGAAACTCGTATCCTCCCATGGAGCAGCCTTCGTCCCCTGGGGTGGTAAGGAGATTACGAGGCTCAATTACGAGGTAAAATAATATTTTGGTATTACGGTGACCTATTTTGTACTCATGTATGTATAAAGTATATATAGATTGATTGCTTTCATATGAAAACTGAGTGACAATCATAATAAACATTTGTTATCCAATTTGTAACCCATAATAGACATTAAACTTTAACTTCGCATAATACTTTAAAAAATATTTAGTTTCCTTATCAGTACTTTATACGGATAGTTAACAAGAAAATTAACAAGACAATTCTTGCTTTTTTATAGTTATTGACTAAAGATGTTAGTCATAGTATATAATATACTCTTCGAATACCTTTTCAGGTACTCATCGATAGTACCAATAATTGGGTAAAAGCTAGTAACGGTGACGTTCCGGCAAATGCTGTTGTCGGAGGCAGAACGATAATTGGTGAACCTTTATACGTCGGCAGGGTTTATTATCTGAATACTATCACGCCGGGAAAAATTCAGAGGTCAGAAGGCGTCTGTTACATACCATTTAATGGAGACGAATTACATTTTCCTGAATATGAAGTTCTACTGGAAAATTGAAATTGAAAAATAATAAATACTGTTGCTAGGCGTTAATAAAACTGTGGTTTTATTTAGTTTTTTAAGTGTCTTTTTTAATAAAATATAATTAAAATAAAAAAAACAGCATTAACATTTTAATCTGGAAAGCATGTACTTGTAAATATTTTTCGATGGTTGCAACTATTTCACTCAAAAATTACGGAACGGATTTTACTGAGACTTATCGTTTGTGCTCAAATATAATTTATACATTAATATGTAAGTTTTTCTATGTCCCGACATTCAATGCAGCTCCCTCGGGAACACAGCATCACCATTGTATTTTGTATGAAGTTCCGTGACATAGATGTTAAGATGATAATGCTACTTTAGTATCATAATAATTGTCAATCCTTTGGAATCCAATTCCAACTAACACATGGACGAACTCGCTGGAAAGAAGTGTTATTTTATATTTTAGCAAACCAGTTCTGAAAACGTAACAACACAGTGTTGCAAATAATACAAAATTTTAAAGCAAAGAAATGCTTATAATTATATTAAAGACACGCCAGTGTTGCAAACATTAAAAAATTCTATAATTACACCTTTAATATAATATGTAGGTATTTTCTTCGTTTTTTATTTCGTATATGATAATATTTTTTAAATAATTTTAATTCGAAATAAATAATGATTATAATATAGATAAAATAAAGGTAATTAGAACGATGTATGTCTGTGTACATTAAGTTTATAAATGTGTGAATGATAAAAAAATATAGTCGCGTCCCAACTATAGGCTGAGGTTATTTTGGATGACCTTAAAAATTTGCTCAGTGAAGTCTGTGCTCGTACTTGGAACTCACGTATTTTCGGTTGCAGATTTTTTTTATCATTTCCAACAGCGGTATAAGGTAAGTCATTTATTTGAAGTATTAAGATTGTGTTTATTCTAACTTTATTTAAATGAACACGTTAATGGCCAGTTTCTGCTTTAAAATGTAATTTTAACATAATATCTGGTTTTCCTTTGTTTATTTTGTTTACACTACACGTCACGAAGTACATGAAATCTCCTTTCTTTTGTTAAAATAAATAAGATTGCTTTTATAAGTTCTCATCATGTAAACATTATTCCGGTTTAGATTTATAAAATTTAAATTAAATTATTTAATTGACTGTATTTAAACATTTTATATTGTTTTCCATCTGTTTGTAATAAAAGGATTATTTTAATTCTATCAATATTGCAAGAAGAAAATAATCGTGGTTAAATCGTGGTTTTTCACGGAATTTGGTGAAAACGTTCCTTTTTATATCCCAAATAGTATTCAGATATAAACCTCATGTTCCAAATTCAGTATACGATGACAATGATAGTGAACAGCACGGTAATATCAATGTTTCTTCCAATATAATTTATTGGCCAAAGATCATGCGAAATATGTACACCCAATACTAAATTTACTTCAATTCTGTCAGAAAATTTTAATTAATATTACTCACTTTGTAGCAAGTCCGTTCGACCTTTCTGATATGGAACCTCATATACAAATATTAAATCCCTAATAGGTACAATAAGTGTTTTGTGTGGCCGCATTCAAATAGATTTTATAAAAACTTTAAAAGGTCTCAACATATTGAAGCCGCTTACTCTCCGATATCTTGAAATTGTTTCTGAGAATCCTTCTATTGAACATTAATTGACTCAATCTTGCATATAAAATTCTTGTGTCGCGGTGTTAGACAAAGAACTCCTCCGAAACGGCTGGACCGATTTTCATGGAATTTTGTGAGCATATTGAGTAGGTCTGAGAATCGACCAACATCTACTTTTCATACCCCTAAGTCATAAGAGTTGTTCACTTTATTATTATTTTTTTCAGACGAAATTTTTTGTGTTTAGCTTTTTATAATGTAGCATTAAACATACATACAATCCAAAAAATATATTTTCTTATCACCAACCCCTATTTTTTATATGGCAAAACAACGTTTTCCGGGTCAGGTAGTTAAAATATAAAAATTAGACGGGTATAGGTACCCTATCCAACACTATATTTGGCATTTGCAACAAAGATGATGCTATAAATACAATACCATATGCGATAAATACAAGATAATGAAAAAAAAAACATGGTTCATTAACTCTAAAGACTAATTTTAGTTACGATTTTAACTTTGTCTGAAATGAATGATAACACATAATATTATAATTAATGAAGCGAGATATATTGACGAAAGTAATTCTATATAAATAGTTTGGAAACAACTGAACTTAATCATTTCGATTACAAGACAATGAATCATGTTCAGTTAACAAAACACTTTACACCCGGCTTTATTATCACGTACTCATACACTGGGATATTGTCACTAGCTATAAATACTTACCTTTAAAATGCAAAATTGTGTATAAATCAAGAATTAAATAATATTAATATATATCTCTATAATTCTTTTTGATTATAGTTTAGATAATGTCATTATATTTGTACTTTGAATATACATATTCTTTATAACTCTAAACTAAGGATTTTAATTTAAATCACAATATAGCATTACCTTCTTCCAATAATTCGGTAAAAAGGAATTCATTTCCTTTTATAATTTACAAACGTAAATACATCGCAATGAACAAAGACAAAGAGAATACTCGAAACTCGGATCAACAAAGGAATGCAAAGTGATATATCCCTGTGACTTTAGATGTGACGTCATAACATTATACTTTATTATATTTTATTTTTTGAGTTATTGGCGTTTTCTTATAGATTTCGTCAAAATCATATGTGAATATTATACTGATCTGTCTATAAAAAGATTTGTGAATGAACAGTCGTGACCAGTCACAAAGACTTATTACCCCTGAAACCGGTCTATATATTTTACTAGTGGCGAATCCCATCTTTAAAAGTGGATTAATTTTAAATGTGATAAAAGTGTTACCATACCAGCGCTGCGCCTCAATAATAAAATATCATTTTTTATCTCCGTATTAGATTCTTTAATAATAATAAAAAGCAATGAAATTGTAAAATTCTAAATAACTTGTGCCTTTACTGATTTCAGTGAGTCAAATTGTATTATTATTAATAATTAATAAATACCTATTAAGTATTATGATGCGAGTTAGTGGTTGAAATATCAATAAAATTATAAGGAAATTTCCAGGATCCAAATCTGTAGTCATGCCTTGGGTCCCTGCAAAAAACGGTGAAGTTCCTCAAGGTGCGGACTATGCAGGCTTCACTAAATTGGGCGAAAGGATTTACATAGCCAGGGCAGAGCACCAAGGTGCTTTGTTACCAGGAAAAGTTATAATTTCTAAAGGCTGCGCATTTGTCCCTTGGGGTGGCTTGGAACACCAAAAAAAGGAATATGAGGTAGATATTTATGGTAGCTTAAGCTTATGAAACAGAATATTTTTTTTATGGATCTGGCAATTCAAACAAATCAAATAATATGTGTTCACGACTGAAATCGTGTGGCAAAATTTGTGAATGAATAAAAAAATATGAAAATTTTATTGATAAGAAAGATAGGCAGATATAGTTGTATGCTCCTAAGACGCGGACACTATTGAATTATAAGAGACGTTATAATTTGAAAATATAAAAAAACAGAAAGGAACATGAATGCAATTCCTATTTATTCAAATGCTATTTATAGGGCATAATATTATGAATAAACGTACCATGTTTTTAACAAAAGTTTGCATTTTGTAGGTTTTGGTTGACGGTCCTAAAAATTGGGTACCTTACAAGGGCCCTAAAATCCCCTTAAAATCATTCCCCGGAGGGAAGACAGAAAGTCATGAGGTTCTATTCATCGGCAGAATTACTTACCAAGAAGAAACTACACCGGGAAAAGTTCAAGTGTCACATAATGTACTATATATACCTTTGGAGGGAAAAGAAGTAGCTTTTAAAGATAATTTCGAAATATTGTGTCGTTAAAATATGCACTCATTGTAAATTATTTACTTTGATTTATGATCATTTTATACAGCTTCAAATAGTATGTATTAATAAATTTTCTTAAACTGGTATCATCGTTTATTTATAATCCTTGATATCACTTTATTTACAAAAGAACATTAACCGTGAGATTACTGGAATAACAATAAACATAAGAAACTAATTCAAATCAATTTTGAGAAAAAAAATGGTATTACATAATTTAGACATTTTTCATTAATTGTAAGACTACAAAACTATCTATATAAAATAGTCATCATTACTTGTAAGGATAATAAAAAAAAATATTTATTTAACATATCAATAATTAAATGCTTATTTAATATATTTTTCACACAAAAGTCAGGTTGTTTGTAAATTAAGAAACAACTATTTTTCTTTTGTGACGCATATTAAATGTATCACTATATTGGCGCTAGATTAATATTTAAAACTATTCATGATCCAGAAATAAATAAAAACAATTAATTCCTATGACAGGTATCATGTCGTGGGTTAAAGCTGCGAATGGCCACGCGCCGGCAAATTCTTTGGTAGCTGGTCATGATGTTACTGGTGAGCCTATATACGTCATCAGAGCTGAACACGAGGGAGACCTCATTCCTGGAAAACTTGTCTCCTCCCACAGAGGAGCATTCCTACCCTGGGGCGGTAAGGAAATTACTAAGACGGAATACGAGGTAACTTTATGTTTTCGTCTTAAAAAATTCGGGCCACGTATACTAAAAGTTGATCAAATATTTACAAAATATTTTCTGTCTAGAGATATTTAATATTACTATCGTTTTAATACAAACCGTCCCAATGCTTTGTACTGCAATCTTATCACCTAATTCAGTATGATACATTAATTTCTGAATCTTTTTTACAGGTGCTAGTTAAGAGTACTAACCAATGGGTACCAGAGCGAAGTGGTAATGTCCCAGCTAAAGCTCTTAAAGCAGGCAAAACTAAGAGTGGGGATACTTTATATATAGGCAGAGTTCATTACTTGAAATCAATCACACCAGGAAAAGTTCACCCCTCAAATAAAGCGTGTTATATATCCTACGATGGAAAAGAATTAAGCTTTCCCGGTTATGAAGTGCTTTTGGAAAATTGAAATTTAAAACTGATAATTACTCCAGTGATCATATTTACTTAAAACTTTGACATATATTTCTTATATTATTTTATATTTTTGCTACAATTTTGTTTGCAATGTCTTTGTAATTTATATTGATAAATATTAAAGTGAATTCTCTAAAGTTAAATAAAGCTAAAAATTTAATATAAAGAATGCGTAAATTGGGAACATTAGTATTAATTTCAATAAATATCATGAGAAAACAATATTTAATTGTTTAATTTACTTTACTTTAATAGACATTTCATTAACTTTTCCGAGGTCATTAACCCTCTTATAAATCAGGTATGTTATAATCAATTGTATTTCGTAGATGTCTACGTACATCAAGGTTTTAGTTAGCACTTAATTTTCTATTAAGTCTAGCATTACATCATTGTGACTATCCATGTATTAATAAATAGAAAGCAAAAATATGTTTCTAATGTTATTTATGTAATAATCAACCAAAATTATAAGAAAAAAATTTAATCACATCGAAATCTGACACATTATTTTTAATACACAAACACGGTAACATAATTTTTCTATCTGGTAACACAGGTTAAGGGACAAGGTTGAGGTAATTTTAAGAGGCCTTGATAAATTATGATCAATGAATTCGGCGATTAAATTTCGATCATATGAGTATTCAGTTGTGGGAGTTTATATTTTGAGTAATTTCTTCATTGAAAATTTAATTAGATTAAAATTATAATGTTCAGCTTCTGGAACTGTATTAATTCTATAGAAGAGCAAGGGCCACACTGGAGTCAGTATGGACGTATGGGCACACGCCGTGTTATCCGTGAATAGCGGTACTAATTTGTTTATTGCGATAAGTGACAAAAATTTTTTTCTTATGTTTTTATAATTCCACATAATACATTATTTATTACAAAATGTTATAGAGATACAAATTTCTTTTTCATTTACTCATTACATATCGTTTTTTATAAGTAGAACTATTAAGTATCGATTTGCAAAAAGTTAAGGGATACTGTTTTGATTATGTTGTGTAAGATCTTTAGTTGTAATTTGCTTTGTATATTGTTAAAAATAACATTATAATTCTTAATCAAAACTGATTATGATCGGATGGTTGTCGACTATACGTCGTTAATAATTTGACTATTAAGGAACGGTTTTTAATCCAGCTAATTAAAGATCATATAGATCGATAAGGAGACTGTTCACTGTTTGAAATATGACAACAAGGAGTCGGTAGAGAAGACAGCCTCTGCAACTAGGTATAACTATCTCAAAATGCAGTATAGTTTTGCGAATGGGCCAGTTGTTTACAAAGTAGGATGACGAATACCTGGGTTAAAATAATACATAGAATTAAGATTTGTATTCGTGTACATTAATGACGTCATAATGCTTCAATAAAGTTGCGGTGAATATTAGAACTTTCATAAGGTACAACTATAATTAAAGAGTGTTATTATTTCCCTTTAAATGTTAATATTTAAATTCCGGTCATCTCGATGTTCATACTATCTTACACAGGGCTCTTCCGACAATGATTTTGTTGGTTTAATACAATTCTCTTCCGAGTCACTTCTCCGCTAATTCAATAATGATTGAACTTACTCTCAAAGAAAGCTGTCGAGTGTCCGCTCACCATTCTAAAGAAGTACATACATGGCAGCCGCTTGGGTTACCTTGCCTTTTCTTGTTCAATTCTCCAATTAAATTTAGCCTTCCTGCGAGTTAGTGCCGCAATGCAGGCCGTTTTATACATATAAGTAACCACACATGTACCTACGAAAATAGTCCGCTGTGATGTACTCATCACAGTATACCTTTTATTTTAGTAGTCTTGAATTCACAAAACAAGTATTTGTAAGACTATATAAAATTCAGCATAATAAAAAGCACCTCACACTTCAAATGAAAATGGAATTATTGAAAGATTTCACTCAACACTTTTATAATATCTACGATTACTTAATTTGGAATCAAAGAAAGAATCCGTTATTAATCCAATTAGTTTTGCCCTCTTGCTTACAATAGTCAATACACAATTTTACCAAATGTAAACCGATTGACGTTATTACGTTGCAAATAATACAACATTTTACGACAAAGAAATTCTTATAATTAGCCTGAAATATGTTTTTAAATGATAACTACATACATGTTTAAATAATTTTAATTCCAAATAAATAATGTTTATAATAAGGATAAAATAAAGGTAATTAGTGAGATGTATGCCTGTGTACGTGCATTAAGTTTACAAATGTGTGAATGATAAAAACTACTATAGGCTGAGATTATTTGGGGTGACCTTAAAATTTTGCTTAGTTATGTCTGTGCTCGTACTTGGAAGTCACGTGTTCTAGGTTGCAGAATTTTGGTTGGCATTTTCAACAACGGTATAAGGTAAATCATTTATTTGGAGTTATTAAGATTAAGAGTTCATTGTAACTTTATTTAAAAGAACATGTTAATGTTCAGGTTCTGCTTGTAAATGTTATTTATAAAATATTATTTATCCATGAAATCTCCTGTCACTTTTTTTAAAATTTAATTAAAGTATGCTTTTATTGTTCTCATCAAGTGAACAATATTACATTTAAGATTTACAAAATTAAAAATAAATTATTCGATAGGCTGTATTGAAACTTTTAAATTCTTTACCTTCTTCTTTATCTGTTTAAAATATTAAAAAATTAAATATTTTTTTTATTCTATCAATATTTCAAGAGGAAAATAATCGTGGCTAATCATGAAATGGGTTTTATCTTAGTTTCATATTTTATAGGTAAGTATATTTCGTACTTATAAGTTTGATTACAAGTAAGAAGCCTAAGATACGTAAAAACCAATAACATTAAAAAAATAATTAACAAATAACAATAACAGTCAGTGGTGGCCCAGCGATTAAAGGGCCCGCCGGCCGCCTCTCGTTGCCGTGGGCGCGGGTTAAAACTTGGCAAGTACCAATGTGATTTTTCGGAGTCATATTATATACTTTCTGAGAATATTTGGACACCACTGACATACTGTGAAGGAAAACATCATGAGGAAACCTGGACTTATAGTTCCACAATTATAAGTTTGAAATCACCAAAACGTCTTGAGTAAGCGTGGTGATTAATGCTCAAACATTCTCCATGTGAGAAAGAGGCCTTGCTCAGCAGTGGGCTCTGATAGGCTGATGATGAATAATACTTAGCTTATTATAATTTGTAAGTAATGAAGTCCATAACATGAGTCAGTCAAAACATATCTAAGAATAAACAGGTAAATTAATGTAGTAACAGGGATAACATACGAGTAAAGAATTCACGAAAAATGTGCTCCTTAATCAAGAGACTACGTCATATTTTATAAATATCGTATTGTGTGACATTTCCAATTTACCGAATTGTAATCTGGATCAATTGTTTGCAACACTGGAAGAATATATGCGTTACGAGAGTCAATGATATCAATGTTGCTCGTGTGATGACGTTCACCAAATCATATGGCAATAACGATGACTGCAATCCATTGAATTTGCAAAAAAGAATCGATGGTTCGTTGTTCCCGCCCTGTAAAGCTGAACTGCAACAACATTTTCTTCGAACGGCATATATCGCCCACCTTTGGAGCCATTCTCACCGTGCCATGCCAACTGACCTGTTGCCAACTGAGTATGGATGGGAAGAATCTGAAGAAAAATATTATTTTAAATGGTTTACGGGTGATCAATTGCCGCTATCCATCACTAGCATCACTAATCTCGACATGAACCCACATGGTATGAAAAAAAAATATCTTCTTTTGATTTCTGGCAAATAGTATTTACTTAAATGATTTTGTTAATTAATTGATTGATATTTTTACAGAGGACGACGAAACCGAGAACGATGGAGTGTGTGACATAAGCATCGATAATTGTGATGACGACAGTGATGCAAAGGAAGATTTTTTTTTTTTTTTATATGTGAAAGGTGACAAACGAGCAGACGGCCCACTAGATGGAAGGTGGTTACCGTCGCCCATGAACATCCGCAACATCTTTGTTGCGGATGCGTTGCCAACCTTGGTTTTTAGGGATAGGGAGGGGAGGGAATAAGGAAATGGTAGGAAAGGGTAGCAATAGGAAAAAAAGGCAACCGGCTCTCTCACTCATCGGACGAAACGCAGCCATTAAAGGCTACTTCTCGCCGATCTTCTGTGAGAGGGTGGTACTTCCCCGGTCGAGCCAGCCCATGTTCGAGCTATAGTTACTGACTACAGCTAGGCTCTACCACCTTCAAAAGATGATTCATAAAAAAATATTTCTTTGATTTTTATTAAGATTTTTATGTTAATTTTAATAAAAATAATCGAATAAAATTACGTTTCAATTAATCCGAATATAACAAACTAATAGAAATCATATTAATGTTGTTACCGCTTCACTCCTATGAATCTTTGGTAAATTGTTAAAAGACGACATGGAATGTATAAATATTATAGTGTTAATATATAGATACAAGAAAATATTCGTCAGCTGATTGTCCGTTGGGGAAAAAGGCGTCAGTCGGAGCATTGAAAATTCCGCGAGTCATAGAGATATATGCGCGCAGTCATACATTCCTGCTCTAGCTGACGTGTTTTCCCCCACTAAATATGCAGGTGATTATCAATATCAAGTTTCTGTAAATGTCTAAAATCATGTAAAAAAGTTTCAATCGGCATAAAATTATTTTATTTTATTTTATTTTTGGCTAGTTCGCACGCTCAGCTGACGCATAATCCACCCTCAGTTGTGCAGCTGACTACTTTCTTTTAATTGTAATCAATGTCAATAACACGTGAAAAAATTTCATGTGGAATAAAATACTTTTTAGATTTTTTTTTGACGTGTTCTATGGGGTCTCATAGCAAACGCCCCCGCTGGTGCGTCAGCTGACCTTCACTTTCGTTATTAGAAAGAGCTTCATCACTAGTATTGTGAAGTAAAGATCGGCATAAAAACACTAACCAAAATAGCCGCTGCCTCCCGGACTATAAGAAATGTGTCACAGCCACTTATGCTTCTTAGATAATAATTGATTGTCCTATCCTAAGTTGTACAGCGTTAGAACTTCATTAATTCACTTACTTAGTCCGAAGAGGATTATTCCAAACCACGTTCAAAGTGTTTTAAGTCTACGTATAGTATACTTTTGAACTACGTATAGGTAGTAATTTTTTTAAAATGGTGAAGTTCCTTAAGGTGCGAACTATGCAGGCTTCACTAAGTTGGGCGAAAGGATTTACATAGCCAGGGCAGAGCACCAAGGTGCTTTGTTACCAGGAAAAGTTATAATTTCTAAAGGCTGCCCATTTGTCCCTTGGGGTGGTTTGGAACACAAAAAACAGGAATATAAGGTAGATATGTTTATTCTCACTTAATCTTATGCAACAGAATATAATGCTATTTATAAGTTATATCTTTATAAATATAATTACATGTTTTTAACAATTTATTGAATTTTTTAGGTTTTAGTGACGGTTCTAAAAATTAGGTACCTTACAAGGGCCCAAAAATCCCATTAAAATCATTCCCCGGAGGGAAGACAGACAATGATGAGATTTTTACAACGATGAAACTACACCGGGAAGAGTTTAAACATCACATAATGTACTATATTTTGTACCTTTTGAGAGAAAATATTTTTTTAAAGAAAATTTCGAAATACAGTGTTGTTGAAATAAGCACTCATTGTAAATAATTACTTTGAATAATGATTGTCTTATGCCGCTTCAAATATGTAGTATGTATTAATAAATTTCCTTAAATTGGTATCATCGTTTATTTATAATCCTTAATATGACTTTATTTAAAAACGACTATTAACCGTGAGATCATTGGAATAAGAATAAATATTTAGATAATAAACTAATACAAATCAATTGGAGAAAAGAATTGTATTGCATAATTTAGATTTACTAGATTCAATGTACGACTATAAAACTGTTTATACACGACAGTTGTATTTAATTGCACGCATAATTAAAAATTATCTCTTTGACATATCTCAATAATTTAATGCTTATTTTGAATGTTTTTTCACAAAGCAGTCAGGTTATTTGTAACTGAAGAAGCAACAAATATTTTTCATTACACTATATCGTTCGTAAATTTGTATTAATTTAACTATCGTAGTACTTTAAATATGATAAATATATGTATAATATAAATTCAAAATTAATGATCCAGAAATAATTAAAATCAATTAATTCCTATGGCAGGTGTCATGTCGTGGGTTAAAGCTTCGAATGGCCACGCTCCGGCAAATTCTTTGGTAGCTGGTCATGATGTTACTGGTGAGCCTATATACGTCATCAGAGCTGAACATGAGGGAGACCTCATTCCTGGAAAACTTGTCTCCTCCAACAAAGCTGCTACTATATCCTGGGGCTGTAAGGAGATCTTAAAGACGGAATACGAGGTAACTTTATAATGTTTTCCTGTTAATATTGCTTATAAAATTTGGGCCACGTGTGATTAAAGTTAATCAACCTTTTTCATTGATCACATGATAATATTTTCACTCTAGATATTTAATATTACTATTGTTTTAATACAAACCGATCCAAAACTCTGTATTGCAATATTATCACCTTTTTGAGTACTTGATTATCTGAATCTTTTTTACAGGTGCTAGTTAAGAGTACTAACCAATGGGTACCAGATCGTGGTGGTAATGTCCCAGCTAATGCTCTTAAAGCAGGCAGGACTCGGGAAGACGATCCTTTATATATAGGCAGAGTTCATTACCTGAATTCAATCACGCCGGGCAAAGTTCACCCAAAGCATGGCCTTTGTTACATATCTTTTGACGGCAAAGAATTAAACTTTACCAATTATGAAGTGCTTTTGGAAAATTGAAATTTAAAACTTATAATTACTACAATGATAATAATAATCGCCCATGCACTTCAAGCTTTCAAATTAACTTTTACTTATACAGGGTGACTGGTGAATTACTATCAATATTTAAGGAGCATACTCGGTACATGATTCTCATTCGAATTATGTAAAAAAAATAGGTACTTAATTTTTGACCAAATTTCCGTATAAATAAATAAAGTGTTGACACGTTCCAAGTGTTCCGAGTGTGGACGCGTGCGGCGGCGTGCTGATACAAAACCACGCCCCCGCCGCGTGTGTGTGAGTGTGTGTGTATACCTAATCTGTAGGGTGTTCATACGATGCGTAATTAATTACACAACTTTTGGTTAACTTTACTTAGAAGTTTATTAATATTTATGTTATATTAATTTTTATTTTGTCATATATGATCGTCAAATACCACGTCCTCAAATATCGATAGTAATTCACCAGTCACCCTGTATATGTATGTACTGTCTAATTTGTGAAGGTTATTATTAATTTCAATAAATAACATAATAAAACAATATTTCCTTTTTTATTTTATATTATTTTAATAGACAATTCATTTAGTTTTCCGAGGTCATAAACTCCTATACTCTAAATAAATCAGGTATGGTATAATCAATTGTATTTGTTAGATGTCTACGTACATCAAAGTTTTAGTTTGCACTTAATTGTGCCATAATTGTGTTTACGCATGTTTAGTTAGTGTATTAGTAAATACACAGCAAAAATATATTTCTTTTGTTATTTAGGAAATTGTCATCCAAAATTTAATCATAATCCAATAAATAAATTGAATCACATCTAATTCTGAAACACATTATTTTTAATACACAAACACGGTTACATGAAATTTCTATCTGGTAACACTAGTTAGGGGACATGGTTGAGGTAATTTCAAGAGGCCTTGAAAAATTATGATCAATGAATTCAATGAATCTTAGTTCGATCATATGATTATTCAGTTGTGGGAATAACAATATATATTTTGAGTAATTTCTTTAAATTATGTTCAGCTTCTCAGCTTCTAAATTATGTTCAGCTTCTCCTTTGAAGTGTTTGACCCTTTTTGCTAAGAATCAGCTAACGGAGGCCAACGTATTTCTTGTTTACTTCTGTGAATGAGTACTAATATAATTCTAGGATAACTTCACTCATACGTTCACATCTTTCGTATAAACTATAGTTTAAATATATGTTAATCTTATATAAACACAGACGTAAACAAAGTATTCCAATCCTTTGCTGTGGGCATGAGGAAGAATGAAGCTAATTGCTTCGTCTGGATGCGAATTAAGTATACAGAAGAGGATAAAAACGTGGTTTATTTATAAGTTTTAGGTCAAATATATACTGGGAAATGCCTCGAGTTATCGCCTCTGCAAACCACGCTTTGTCACTATCTATGTATATTGTTTAATGTTTTAATTATTCATCTTGAAAACAACCTTAGCAACGTAAATTATTCTATTTAACTTCTAAATTACTTTAGTTTTATTAGTCCCATTATTAGGTTTAATAAAAACACACTATCACATTATAAAATATTTATCTTTTCCATGGAAAAGAATTCGAAGATCCCTAACATTTCAAATAACTTCTCCATTTCTGTATATATTAGTACCTGCCTATTCTTATCATATAGAAAATATAGTTCTTCTTAACGAGCGATCTGCATTTCGATGCAATCTTTCCTCGGACCTCTCTGTTGCTCTTGCAATATTTCGGAGTATTAAAAACTGGTTTTCAGTACCAGGTGATTTTAGGTCAATATATTCACAAAAACCTTATCTCTAGCTTAATATAGATACATTTTATCTCGTAAGAGTACATATGCAAATTGCTTATATGAACGGTACGGAGTGAAGACAATACAATCCAGTTCATAAATACTTTTATAAACTTTAGATTAATATTTATTCTACAAATATATAATGTATATAATGGAAAGAAAAGTTTAAAAAATAAAAATAAAAGAGTGGTTTACCAATCTTTGATCCTGAATAAAAAATAACGTCCCTGTCGGTGTTTTTATTAAAAGAAATTACGTTAAAATATTTATAACGATTTTCAAGTTACTTATTTTTTTATTACTTAATAGAAAAGTATGAAAAGTATGTAATAAAAATAACAACTTTTTAAAATTTTAACTGTATTAAATATCAGAATAGAATCGAACAAAATAGTATGTAAGGAATATTTTCATATACATATAATTAAATTAAGCTTCCGATTCTGAAACTACTAGTTACGTAAATTTAAAAACAAAAAAATAATTAGTAATTAATTTGTACTCAACTTACAATGTTTCAGATAACCGCCATCTAGTGAAAACACTTGAAAGCATATAATGTATTAGTTATTCAACTACGGAGGGTATGTATTATAAAAGTTTGTAGATGGCGCTTACTAATATAAAGATGTAAAAGTGGAGACATTTTTTATACTCTGTTACCTCAATCTTTAGAAGGAATAAATAAATAAAATACTCATATTAAAAATACATAATTTAATAAAAAAATGTATGTAATGTAATTTGTTTAATATGTATGTAATTAAGAAAAAATTATACGCGATAAAATTGAACTGATTAAAATGTTCCTTTTAAACGACTATTGGTTTGGAATTGAATTTTACATTTTTTTCTTAATTCTACTGAACGTTTTGACTATGAAAAGTAAATTAAAAATACAAAATTACATTTATTAAAATACACAATTAAAATACATTAATAAGCTCAGACAACAATTTTCATTGTGTATAGAACTTATATCCGTAAGTTCTAGTTCTTGTTTCCATCTTAACAGACTGTCCAATGTTTCATTCATAAAAAAAGATTTAACCTGTATATGATTATTTATTAATAAGTAAAAACTCTAAACCCCCTTTATAATTTGCCATTCATAACAAGCTGTCAGCATCTATCGTCTCTATCAGGTGACTTCATATAAACTGCAATTATTATATTTTAATTTTGTTATTGAAAATACCAATATAATTTGATCCCTTAGAAGTATGATATTTTTTTTTCTAGATTAATATCCATATATGTGTCCACATGCAACTATAATATTCATCAGTGATGGCCTAGTGGTTAAAAGGCCCTGCCTCTCATGCCTGTGGGCGCGGGTTCGATCCTGGCAAGTACCAATGTGATGTTTCCGAGTCACAATATGTACTTTCTAAAAGTATTTAGACATCACTGATTAATCATTAATGCATTCCCAAAGAGGGTTAATGTCAGGCAGGCGGCCGGTCGTAAAAACAATTAGCCAAAGCTATTCACAACATGTAAGGCAGACCCTGGCTAAAGGTGGGAAATTGCCAGGAAGAAGAAGAATATTTCCACATGCAGCTATAATATTCATCAATATTAACTTTTACACTTAATATACGCGATAATAAGTTGCAAGGCAGATAAAAAGTGAGTTTTCTCATAATATATGACGTATCTATAGCTCACAATTTTCAAGTCACTATAAATATAAAATATACGAGTAGGTATATGTTTAGGTACGTTACACGCATGGGCTTTTTATTTTGCTCCTATAAAAACGTATCTCATATCTCTCATTTGAAAATCTTCTAAATTATAACAGGTTTCCATTCAAAATTGTTAATTGGTATAAATTAAATTGATATTTTTGAATACACCTCTCTCAACGGTTGTAACTGTTTAGCGCCCCTGCGACGTCCGGATATTGCGCATCCTTTGACGACGTTAAAAGCCAGACCTGTCTGAATTCAATACAGCGAAAGGCCTATTATGATGTTGTAATTACTTTACATGACATGAGTGTCAAATTGCAATGTTTGCTGGGAAAAAAGCTATCAAACTTACATCTCCTTTCAACCTTCATAGAAGTGGACGAACCACTTTCGAGACACAGATTTAACTGATTTAAACTTTGAATTATGTCTGAATTAATATCGAGCTACATTTGTCGTACCCAAATTCTGATTGTGTTAACAAAAATATATAATGTATTTATTGCCGTTAAATAAAATCACTGTCACACTACATTTGTGCTTCAAAATCGATAAAGATTAAGAATAAAGTATGTACTTAATGATATCAAAGATTTTAGAGTTAACACATTTCAATTACACTAATTTTTTAAGATGTACGACGTATTCTAATAATTTGTATCTCCATAATCCTGACGTTTTGATTTCTTTACAGCAACCGTGATCATGGGCAGACGACATGAAGGTGTCTTCATCTACCTCTAGTAAAAAACACTTAAAATACTTGTAGTATCTGAAACTTTTCTTTCAATTGTAACAATTTTTACATTGATGCTCATGACATCTTTTAGTTCTAGGTGTTAGGAACACTAAATAAGCGTGTTTGATAATAATTTTATAAACGAATGTAGTACTTAGTGATGATACTTTAAGGAATTACAGGCTTCTGCTGTTTGAAGCACGGTAGAACTTTAGGAATTAGATTTTTGCGAATCTTGTTTCCTCCCTTTACTCATCACTTATCAGACTTAATTTAGTTTCTGATGGATTCTCACAAACATTAAAGGTTAGCTTTTCATGAACTCTCGTAATTTGAACGATCATTTCCAGATGAACATTTTATTACGACTGAGAGAATTTTAGAAAACTCTTGTTTTCACAAAAAGAAGTAGATATAAGGTATGCCCAAAAAAAATTACTTGAAACTTGGCTTACAAGAATTAAGAAGTAATTTAATTTAAAGAATTTTTATTGAAAACAGGAATTAGGGAGTAAAGAAAAGAATGCGTGTTATAAAATTATGATGACAATTGACAATGGATTACAATGACACACGATTCTGTTTCTTAAATATGTTTTTTATGGTTATTTTCATGTCTCTTATGTTAGACTAGCTTTTGCCGCGACACTGTCCGCGTGGAGTAGTGACTTCCGGCAGATTTTTGGTTCTTCCCACATAGTTCCCGCTCTTGCGGGGTTTTCGGAATGGTCGAGTTCCCGTAGAGTTTTCAGGATAAAACCTATGTTTTTTTTAAATTCACAATGAAGTACTCTTAACCAACAACATATTTATTTGTTTATTTGAATAAAGATTTTATAAAATTATTTGGACCAAATAAGGTACCATAAAAACGGTTTTTGTGAGTTAATCTTAAAAGATAGACATATACGGTCCCGGACTGTTTTTTAGATCATTAAAAGAGCTATCATTCTTTAATACATATTTTTTGTGTATCTTGAACCGTTTTCACGGTGCACGCAACGGAAGGCTTCAAGGATGAAATAATTTCTACCGTTTTTTACACATTTACGACTATATCTTTGCTCCCATTGGTCGTAGTGTGATGTTATATAGCCTACAACCTTCCTCGATAACTGGACTATCCAACACAAAAAGAATTATTCAATTCGAACCAGTAATTTCGGAGATTAGCGCTTTCAAACAAACAAACAAACAAACAAACAAACTCTTCAACTTTATAATATTAGTATAGATATGAATGTGGAGGGATATGTGGATAGAGGTAGACCTAAGAAAAGATGGATGGATTGCGTAAAGGATGACAAGAAAGGGGTAACCATTGAGAAGACGGCAGATAGTCGAGACTGGAAGAGAAGAACTTAAAACACGTTGTGCCGACCATACATAAAGTGGGACCAGGGCAGGAAAAAAGAAGAGAACTTCATAATATCTCCATTTCATTTTATGATTTACATTTTTAATAATTTTACTACAGTATCTAGGATTTATCTAGCGATTGTTTAAAATTTTGTGCGTTGAATAAAATGATCAGGTTGAAATCATTTAAACTTTAACAATTTTTACATATTTCCTAATGTAACTTTTTGTAATATTCAATTTCTTTTTTTGTATTAAATTATAAAATAAAATTACTACTTTGAACTGTAATAAACACCTACTGCCAAATACTTTTGATCCAGTTTTTAATTATGGATCGTATAGGGAGATTGTACCTTGTGCTAATTATACCTTACAAATCACCTTGACCTCTGTCATTTAAGATATTTATAGATTTTACTGTACAGACAAATTAATTTTAAACATATGTACATCACAAAATATATTTGCCCTGCACAGTCTTGTGTGAACTATGAATTTAATTGTTTTTTTCAGTAATATTTTAGATTAAGTATCATAAAATTTTTGTTTTTGATATCTTAAAATTAATTGAATTAAGAAATTATACTAAATTGAAAGGCCAAAAAATGTTTGCTCTCATTCCATACAAAAATAAGTTACACATATTATTCAGTCCTATAAAACGGATATGACACGATGAATTGTCAAGCGTGACGCGAAATTTGTGATTAGATCAATAATTTTTTTCTATACAACCATCTGCTTCCCGGCTGCAGCTGGCGACGCACGCGCACTTCACAAAGCGTACATTGAACCTGCGACCCCCACCCCGACGGAGTCCTTACCTAACTGAACCCAAAGGGTCTATTCAATTTTCTCAAAGGGAAGATTACACAATGATAGAACAGCTGATTTTTTTACATAAAAAAACGGTTGTGCACCAAATTCGTATACTATTGTGTCATAAACATTGTAGAAAAAAAATGTATCAACTTCTTGGAATTATTTTACAGCTTCTGCAACACGATTGTTACATAAATAAGTAAATGTTAAGTAAACATTCGCTTTTTGAAGACTTTGGTCAGATACTAAGGGGCATTGGACATGACAGATGCGTCACAATCTGCGGAGACGTCCTATGAAAGTTCCCTCCTGCCAACAACTTGAAGAACCGAGTTCCTAAAGACGGACATAAAAGTTGTTTTGATGTTCTAACTCGTTATAGTCAAGGATATGGGATTTTGAATGTCAGTAGGAGTTTATATGTCACCATCTTCATCCTTTCTTCAACAATATTAAAATTGTATGTCCTTTATGTTACGATAATAGCTAAGTAACAGTTTTTTTATCTGATTAAGCCCAAGACATATCTGAAAAAATGCTTTAGGAGTGCCTGAATTTAATCTTCGTTCTGGAAATGGTTTTGAAGATTGAGATCACGTCTACAGATTCTAAATATTATGAGATTATAAAGGAATATTTGTATATATGCATTTTGAAATAAGGTATCCTTTATAACTGAGTTTTGAATGCTTGGAATTGATATTATTTAGCCAAGTTCGTTATTGGTGCAGTGTAGCCCTGAAGTGGCGACCACGGAAGGGAAATCGACAAATGACCACCGACACCAAAAGGTCAAGACCTGCCTTAGCACGTGCTAGCATTAGATAGATGAGAGCCATGCATGATTAATGGCCATACCAGTCATTTGGAAGAGTCACTTATATTAAGCTTTGGGCGTTCAATGCTGATTCTGAAGATGATGATAAATTGAAACATGAAGAAACAACTTAGAGGAGAAGTTATGTTTATTTAATATATGATCATTGTTTTGCAACATAAAAAGAAACATAACATTTTTTAATTATTACGTAATACACTGTAATACACTTACTATTACTTAATTAATAAACACGATATGATGAAAGACTATATACTTAAATATATTTATAGGTAATATATTTACTTATAAATTGTAAGGATTTTTTTCTCTGAATAATTACCTTAATAATTTTCTTACTATTTACACATAAATTTAAAACCGAAAGAGTATTAGAAATAAAACTTTATATATACATATATAAAATATTAACCGTGCCTGATTTAGAAGTTGCCATGTATTATAGCTATTAGGTAGACGATTTTGTATACTTATTTTGATGTTACTAAGTGTATCAGTAAGTATAGACCAAGTTTGCATCTTTATGCTACATACGAATGGTTTCCTGTTTCTTATTCAATAGCCTAAATTAATACAAGGTGGGTTGATTTATGAATGGAAAACCGTTAACACTCAGTATGTGAGCCTGACATGCAAACTTGGATTAAGAATACAGAGGTTGAACACTTTTTCTTTAAACAAATCTCTATGTATCTAAATTGCGTATTAGTATTAACTTTTAACGGGTTCCAACTTTCTCTCACTTATACCTGCTACTGTTTAGTTTATTCTGTGTGGAGTGTTATCTAAAGATTGATGATAGATAACGATATTAAGTGACTTTGAATTAGTGATAACAAATGTTAATAATTATAATATCGTTTGAGAACTGGTTTTCAGTAACATAAACAAAGAATTCCTTTAATGAATGCTACTAGAACTAATGATTTTTTTATACAAAATCTGTTTTTAATAAAATGAAATATCGTTTAAATGTAGGCCTACATAATGATTCCGCACTTGACATGTGAAAACTGATTAAAAATACCTGAGTTTTGATGTTAACGTCTGAAGATCAACAATGAAATCGGTATCGAGTGTGAAAGTTAAACAGGCAAAGGCAGTCCGCTGATAACGAGGCATATCATTACGAGGGTAGCGGGCCGCGAGTAGAACGACGCATGTGGCCTGAGAGGGAGCGCATCTGGTAGCCGAGGGGAGCGCGGCGGGGGTTAAAATTAGTACAGAAACGCCACGTGCGTCGCTCGCTGGCGAATAGCGATCAGTCCGCGTCCAACAACCACACACGACACACGACACACGACACACGGCACGACACACAAGACGCAACACTACACGGACATCAATAGAAGCTACGTTGTCCGCACCAGCGGAGTGTTTGTGTTTGAAGTGCAAGGTGACCGGCGAGACGGAGGTGCAAGGCATGTTGATGGCGGGCGCTCTGCCGGCCGAGTCCGATGGACTGCTGGCATTGGGTTCGCTCCCCGGCCAGAAAGACACCACCTGGACCAAACTCTTCGTAGGCGGCCTGCCATATCACACCACGGATAAGAGCCTGAGAGAACACTTCGCTGTATACGGAGACATCGAGGAAGCTGTTGTCATTACAGACAGACAGACCAGCAAAAGCAGAGGATATGGTTTTGTAAGTGATGTTTTTAAATTATCATTATTTTTAGTAATAAGCGAAAACTTATTCAGCTATCACGATTGTATTGTGTAGCTGTAATGACACGTTAACTTGTGCCCGTGCGCCATAATGTCGCGTAAGAAACAACGTATCACACGAAGCGTTATCATGTCTGTTACCCATGTAATAGGTACCTTAACAGTGATACACACTTATATCGCAAAATTACATGAAACACGGAAGTTATGCCCTTGTAGCACAGGTGTAGTTCCACTACAGCAATCAACTACCAATCATGGGGAAGGACATTCAGTTTGTTTTCCTAACTAATATGAAAATAAATCATTCCAACACACGCTGAAAATTTAAATACAGATATATATAAACTAAATAATGTTTTGCACAGTTTTAATACAGACGATATTATAATTAATTACTTAGAATATAAAGTTCAATATATTGATAAACCGTAACAGCACCTTGGCGTCAATCAACGTGTGAATAATGCATTAGTTTTGCCACAAACTTTAACAGTCTCGCTGTTGTATAATAGTGTTAAATAGAAATTTCCAGGCGCTTAGTGAAACTAAAATTCTTTGAGCGTAATAAAGTTTGAGGCTTCGTACGCAGCGAGTGGGGCTCGTGGGAAATGAATCACAACCCCATTTTCAATTCAGCTAGGGAGAGACCCTGGCTGAGGGAACATGTCTCGTTGCACCCTCTATGACATCTAAATAGCTGTAATAATAGCAATGCGTCGGTATCAACACTTTCGTGTATTGCATCATTATATATGAAAATTTTCAGCGTTTAAAGTATTAAATGTAAAGTTAAAATATGCATGTGACGGCAGAGTGCATCTAGCCTAGATTTCATAAGGTTTCAGCGGAGGAAATAGTTCTTATTGCCTTGTGATAGGGATCATAATTCACAATGCTGTACATTATGTGCGTGCTGGAGAGCGCGTCAAACACAAAGCCTGTCATTTGACACTGCGGGCATAGGGTAACTAACCTCGTAGGAAGATCAGTCTTAAAAATAACACCTTAAAATCTACATACATATGTACTTTTGTTCTCTGATATTAAAATCTGAATTATTTTAAGAATTTCAAGTTTAATAACCTCCAGAATTGCTTTCATGACTTCAAACTTCATTAACATGTAAAGCCAGAATATAAATTTTATATAAACTTGTTGAAACAACGTATATAATCGCAATTGATAGAATATTCAATAAGTTGACGGTTTTTAAGTTAATCAGTTTGTTTAATTACGAATACAATTATCAGTGACACGTTACAGTGCATAATAAGTTTTGGTAAGTTCGTGAAATAACCGGAAATATGTGAAGGCGTGGCGGAGGCTATGTTTATAAATATTTTGGACTCACTGCGTATTGTATTAAGGATACTAGATTCATCTCAGCGTGGTTCGCTAAAATGCTGGGCGTTACGAGAACAGACACGCCTCTCGTACCTATTGTCTATTTTATACTTGATTGAATTAACACTGACTGAAGTAACGCTTATTTACTACTTGATAAACATACACTGAAGAAAAACGCGTGAATTAAGTTTCAACCCTAAATCCCAAGAAAAAAATATGAACGAATTTACGAAAATTTGACTTAAAAGAATTGTATCAGAATAACACAAAATATAAGCATAGTGTTTGATTTTGAGGCACTTGTTTAAAGTAATTAACAAAAGAAATCATGCTGTTTTAAATCTCGTTGAATTTTGGGACGAATTGTTTTCATATAAAACTTTTAATTCCTCCACAGATACTATTGTAACTTTCGATATTATAAACAAATTGAAAATACTAAAAGGTTTTCCATTTCATTGCTTACGTCCAGGATTTTGCACAACATTTTTTTGCCATATTACTTATAGTGAAATAATTAAAAATAATTTCTCAAATATATATTTTATATACACCGAACATTAGTTATTGTCGGATTTATGTTTAATTTGTGACAATTTTATGTATTAACAACTGTTGAACAACTTTTCTGTTGACACAGATAAAACTAATAATAATTTGGCATAGGACAAATTAATAAATTTTAAAAGCATGCCAACCTAATTTCTACAATATTGTAGGCGATCAAAAATGTTACTAAAAGGTTCTATATATATTGCTTGTGTTTACTTTCTATATTTTCTTGTGTTGCAAGAAAACTTTTGCCTCTCATAATATTTTTTTTAATTTTGTTATCATCTGTCAAAATCTAATGACATTACTCTAAGCTTGAAAAGATTGAATTATAACGATTATTTTAAAACGAGAATTTTATAAACAAGATTCTTTTCTTCCTGGCAATTTCCCACCTATAGCCAGGGTCTGCCTTACATGTTGTAAATAGTTTTGGCTAATTGTTTTTTACGACCGGCCTGCCTGACATCAACCCTTTTTGGGAAAAAATTTATAAACATGATTATTTTATATAGTACATATTTGTTTATAGATCCTTTTTTATTTATCTATACAGGAGTTAATTTATGCGTTTTGTTATCAGCGAGGAAGTTGAAAAGGAGTTTAGTGTGTTACTAATTGTTAACAGTTATTGGTCCTTAACAAGCTTTCTCTTTCGCAAAAACAAGGGCGTTTTATAGCTTACAGCGTGACGTGCAAAAACTATTGGTGATACCATTCAGTACTATGGATATATTGAAAAAAAATTACACCTACGTGTATAGTTTTGTTACTACAATAAATAATCGTTAAGAATCTGATTAATATTATAAAAATATTAAGAACTAGTGTAGTGTAATATTTTATTCAATAATTCTTAAAATACAATTCCACAATTCGTTTCATACATCATCAAATGAAAACGTAGCACCAATAAAACAAACACAGCCAGCAATAGCCGATAAGATTCCTTATCGGTGCCATACCTAATACCGATTTCAACGCTTTACTAAACAATTTTGTACAAACGGCCATCCACGTGAAATTTTTAACGATAACTCTTAATTATCTGTAAATAAAGTTGACAATCGAATAAATAGATTTTCGTATGTTATTCTGACCTTACAGAAGCATAAAATATAGCTTTTAATTATATCGGGTCTCTTTCCTATTAACATACAATGGTGTATAATGTATATAAATGAATTTCCTAAGAATTAAATATGGAGAAATAGGGACGGTTGTGTTCAAGTAAATAATGTTTTCAACCGTTCGAAATCAACGGAATCGGAGTAATGTCAACTTTGTAGAGAATTGTTCACAGACGCAAAACAATCAAAGTAAGTATTGCTATATATAAAATAGGGTTGCCATTTTATATATATTTATAAAAATATATTCATTTGTGTTGATGATATAAATAAGGATTTTAAATCGTTATGACTTTATAACAATAACAATAAGGCACTTTAATTTAAAGTATATAGAAAAACATATTTTTTAAATAGGTACCATAACTAACTAACAACATGATTTTATCAAACCCTATATTTTATTTTTTGTAGTTTTGAGTGATTCCATTAAGAAGACGACGACAAACTTTCGTATAGAGTACATGTTACTAGAATATATGTATGTTTAATTATCCATAGAGATACTTAGACTCCTCGTTACGGCTCTAAATGAAAGTTATTAGATACATATAAACTTAATTAATATTAATATTTGTTACATACATTCAAATAAATAGATTAAAAGATCTTTCTTTAGCAATATTCGTTACATTATTGAATATAAGAAAATGTTCCTAAAACATAAAAGTACGGTAAGGAAATTAAAGACAAATGCCATACACAGCTGAATTAGGAGTAACAAAAATATATTTTTTCTATAATACATATTGCAATTGATTAATGTACAGCCAACATAGTTCAACAACTAAAGGCATTTGTAATTTTACTATAAATATTTTAACTACTGGTTTATATGAAAAATATCTTCGAAGACATAAAAAATACATTGAATATTATTATAATTATATAATATAATAAGTACTTATTTTTATATATTTTTTTTTTGATATCCGACATGTCAATATTACGCTGGCTGTATACGATACTCCTTGTCCCTCTTTTCTCTTATGTGTCATATTTTTTATAAGTAAACAAATATTTGTATAAACAGTTTTTTCGGTGTTTAATATTATCTTGCAATCTCATCAAGTTTCGCTTTTGTTAACACTTGAGATAACTAACAATTGAATTGTAATTTCATCTGAGCCGATTTCAAATTACGTTGTTAATAAAACAGTGAATTCATTCCCGGTTTTTAAATATTATACTTATACTTGCCATAATTAAAAATATATTTTTGTTGCTATATGCTTTTTACTTAATTGATATTTCTATTTGGTATTCTTATATTTAAAGTCATTGCCAAAAACTTTGTCATGAAGAATAGTTTTATCTTTTTATGTAAGTATACTTTATTTTTTGATTAGAAACTCAAAGTTTCATCACAATTTGATCAATTGTTTAAGTATGCATGGAGTTTAAACATATAAACTTTTTTTGTTACGAATATGAACAAACTGTATGTAATTTTTTACTACTTCAATTTTAATGTACTATTTTAAGACTAAACCAAGCGTGTTTGGTGTTTTGTTGAGGTTTGGTTATAAAATAATAATTATATTTTGAGGTATAACGAAAATAAAGTTGCCATAAACAAAAATAGATTGACGTTTAAAAATTAAACTTATCGGAAACATGTTTTTAAAGTAATAAAAATATAACTTATAATGATTAATTTGTTTCGAAGGTTATGATGTTATTCCTGCATTCGTTTTAACCAAACTTTACGATAATAATTCTAGCCATAATAATAGAACTATGATATTTAATGTCACTCATACATTTTGTTTGTTCCGTTAAGTATTCGTTGGTTCAATTTATACTGGTGTGTCGACACTCGCGAGGTGACCTGTGGGGCTCAATTGCATTACAATTGGTAATATAAACGTCACTGATATGTAAATAAAATAAGTAAAAATCACGCCTGCGATGTCGAATTGAAGTGAAATAAATTTTTATGTATGTTTGTTATCGATAAAACGTATTATATATCGATGTTTTTTGCAGGTAATAATGGGCGATCGGGCAGCTGCTGAACGCGCCTGCAAGGATCCCAACCCTATTATCGACGGCAGGAAAGCAAACGTCAACTTAGCAATCCTTGGAGCAAAGCCCAGAGGAAATTTGGCGCCAGGTAATTTTGTTTTATTCAGCTGTACAGTCAATGCCTTTGCATTCTTGTTATTGAAACTTTTAAAAATAAAAACGTACTGGCCATATAAAAAAAAAGTCATAAACTTTTTAATTTAAACATAAGCTGCAAAAGTCATACATATATTTAAAAAAGTTGAAGCAAAGATATATTTTTTGAAAATGGAATTTGACAATTTCAAGGGCTGTCTTAAATCTCACTTACTCCTCAGCTGTTCGATTCGTTCACATGAGACCTTTTTTTTTTCAAATGTTCAACGACACATCTTTGCCTCACAAAAAATTTGATCTCTTTGCGTGTGACAATAGTCTTTGTGGGGGTCATATACGAAAAAAAAAGTTGAGAACTATTTTATTTGATAATTCACTTAGTGTATTATTATGGAAAATAAAACAGATATTTTTTGCTATTATTAAATATTTTTACTAGTGATTACATAATATTTAGTTATAATTGGCTGTAAGCTGAAGTCCTTTGGCAGTTTTGTTTAATCATCAGGGTCATTTGATAAGTCTACTCAGTAAGACTGCATATTAGTGCACCTTATATCTTATGAAATATATGCCAATTTGGCCAACATCCAGGTCTATATAATTCCGTTTTGTAACAGTATGTTATTGTTCTACAATTATATATAATTTAACTGCTGGTAATTCAATTTGACAATGACAGATATAACCGCGAAATAATCATTACGTTGGTATTGGTCTGTCAAACAATTGTCACCTTTTATTATTTAAACCGCTTCGTTGCACGCATTTTTTTATTTGATTCCGCCGAAGCTTGAAATATTGAGATCAAAACGTCAATTAAGTGACATAAATAATGTTTTTATTTGTTCTTAATAATGGGAAATTAAAAATAATAGGAGATAAATACATTTGCTGGTTCCGTACGTATATAAATTAGAGACTTAAATTTCATTGCAATTTATTTTGAATAAGCATACTGCGAGTAGGTTAACAGAGCAATATTATATGATAATAATATGAAAAGATAATTTTTAATATAGTATCGTTTGATTGATAAACTTTTATCGTTTATCTTTTCCACACAAACCATGCACTCGTTTCGGTTATTAATGGATAAGCTTTATGAAGTATCGCGAAATTAATAAATGAATCTTAAATTATCGTCATGATAAATATGTTTTTTGTTTTTTTTTCTAATCAATGTAATGATTATTGTTATTCATGTCAAGTTTTTTTTAAAATTCAATATCAGAAATAGGCTCTAGTCGTTTTATTTCCACTTTTTTTGTAATTTATTTTAGTACTTTGTATTCTTGTCATTCTTTTATTCTAAGTTGTATTAACAACTTATATAGGCTTTCCTCAAGTGTTTTAAGTTGACTGTTAGGCTTCTTTTGAATGATTTATGTAATAAGAATCTTTCAATTGATTTTTCATATGACAACAATTTCTTTTTGCTTAATTAAGTTATATGCTAGGGTATAAAACAAACATCCTTTTGTTCTTGTTATAAATGTTACATCGGTGCCAAACAAAATGATATCTTTAATTGTTAGTATACAATGTATTTCCGTTCCTCAATCGATTCTCCAACCACAACACCTGTAAAAAAAAATACGAGCATGCCATAAACACACTTACACATAAAGAGATACAATATGTTATGGTGTGCACTAAATACCCATTGGTGACGTGTTAGTATGATTAACAGAACAATCCCCACCGGAATTCCGTAAACGCTCGGAACCGGAAGTGTAGGAGGACGCTAATTGATTGGACCCCGCACGCAACCCTTGTAAAGTCGGATTTGTGGTGAACGTTTGGTTATACATCAATTTATTAACCAACTGTTGGTTGTACATTTCTTTATAATTTGCAAGAAAGATTTAATATATACAAACTCTTTTCACGTTATGGATCTTTTTGCTATTCAATTATTTTATTAAAGCTGGCATCCCTATTCCGTAATTGACAACGTCATCGTGACAGTTGCTTTTTTTTCGTGTTTTATTACAAAAGGCTTTTCATAAACATCTACAAATAACATGCTCAATTATTAACCACTTATATATAAATATTTTCGATTGTTTGTTATAATGTTCCTAAACGTATACTGGCACTTTGAATAACTTCTTATCATTCAGATACTAATATATAACGTTTGACATAGATTAATGAAGACGTGATTACGAAACATCCGATAGTGATCACACAAAACTAAATATGTAATAATGAGCCCTAAAAAAATATAACATTAAGTTTATTTTATCATATCCTTAACAAACACGTAATAGCTAACTTGATTGATGGGGTGTATTCTCATATAAACGTAAGGACATCTCGGTACGATTAACTAACCACTACTTTCTTCATATTATATTCAGGTCAAATTATTATACATGTTTGATATTTAAAATTAAAAGCAATCAAGCGTAAAGCATTAACTTAATAGTATTGATATATCGACACGTGTACTTACGTTCATATTAATAGTGTATTTATAATAGCAGGCATAGATTACAGAAAATCTTATTACATAGTCATAAAAACTACATTACGTATGATCAAATCGAGACAATGGTTTTAAAGGACTTGCAACAGCCGTTTATAATTGTGCTTTGATAACAGCAATCTATCTAAGAAACTACTATCTTATTGACGTACTGTAAATTATAGCGATAATATTTCTAATCAAATGCTTTGTTGGTAGCGACTTAGTTTTATTTATCCTGTATTCATATATAGCATTCGTGTTTAATTTGCGATATGGCTACCGATTTGATGATTCGCGTTATTAGAATTTATTTATTTATTCGCTCTAAGTTATGGTCAGAGGTAAACCAGAGTTAGTAAACGATATGAGTTTTAGAAAAGGATATATATGATCCGTTAACGGTAATCTAGTAAACTGGATTATATGGTTATGGTCCAAGATTATTCAGAACTGGCCGGACCAGCTGAGGCGATGTGTGAAAACCGACTGAATGGAATAACGTAGTTACAGCTATGTTTTGCGGAGTTGGCATTGTTTGAGTTGCGTTTTTTTTTTGAGAGGGGGAAGTAACAATGGGTGCGCGCGCGCATGACGGCCACCTGGCTGTGGCGTACCGGTCCTGCCATATGTCCCCGTAATACACCGTGTATGGAGCCAGGGGCTTAATGTTGGGGTGGCAGGGACCTCACTGCCCGTTACACACTATGATTTTAAAGACAATTACTGATTTATGGACCTTTTTATCGATCCCGTTGATGTTTACTCACGACGAATTCACAATGATATATGTACTATGTATTGTAAAAGCGAAATTTTAAATTCAAATTCTTGTTAATCGTATGCGTATAGCGAGAGTCATTTGTTTGAAATTTTTTTGCTATTTAAATTTGTTATGTAAGATAGTTAAAATAATCAATTTAAAATGTCGTTTTCCGTTCCTGAATAAATAGTAGTCTAATGCAAAATAGTTCGTATGATCTGAATGTACGCGCCATCTAAAATTAACGCCACCAAAAACCATGTTTAGTCTTCAGCCGTTGTTTGTCTTAAGAGATTAACGTTTACGATCTAGTACAATGTGTGTTTATCCTTCATAAATCCATCGGACAAAATAAAATCTGTTAGCATTTCAAAGCATCCAGTATTATCAACAGTTCTTTCCCACCAAGTTAGGATTCATTGGGACCTATCTTTTATTAAGGATAGGGTCTTTGGGATGTCCGTTAATAGTCCGGTTTATGGAAACTTTTGTCATTTATAATGCAACTGCCGGTAACCGTTATCAGAGCCAGTTTTGAATGTCGCATCCGGCTTTTATGAATGCTCCCAGATTTTACCTGCATCATTGATCGCATATTCCTTTCCTATCAAATGGAACTTCTTTTTTTATGGATACGTTTAATATATTCCCAGCTTATTTTTATTGAAATCAATTTATTGACGTTGATGGAAGCGTTAACTAATATCCGTCTTCGCTGCTTTCGCATCGGCCTGTGTGCCAAAATAAATAATCACTAGTCCATGATCTTTCATCATGTTTTAAAAATATTTTTATTTTTTTTCCTACTAAGTAGGCTGATAGGTGCTAAGTTTTTGATTGAAAATGATATATTTGGACCAGGTGTCTTTAATCCTTAATGGAAACAAGGCAAAGATTTACATACCTTCTAATAATATGGAAACCCGACTTTCGTTCAGCCAAGTTTTTACTATTTAAATATTCAATTTCTCTTTGAAAGAAAAAACTAACGATTTATTTATTATTCCGAATTTCCAACTCCAATGCCATTCATTGTCTGTTCTATATTTGATTAGGTGTTCCAAAGTTAATACGCAATAAAATTATATTCACCAGTTGTATAAAGTTGCTAAATATATAAGAAATATTTTAACCTACTTTCTGAACGTATACTAACGGGCGTAGATTTGGACGGAGCGGACGAATGAAAACATTGTTAAAGTTTTATTACATGGGAGTTGATGAGGGCCGAACAGGGCACTTGTCCAAACATACAAGCGACACCTTGAATTATTAAATTCACCGAGCACCAAAATAATCGATTAACACCTATCTGAGAATATGTAGAAAACGTGGCGTCTGGAAATGTCAGCGTTAAGTAATTGCTTATCGATTTAAAGTTGTCTGTTTTGCTATAGTTTTAAATACCTTTGTGATATTGGTATCTCGATATCTGATGCGTTTGTTGAGTAAAATGCGAAATGCAAGTCGCGAGTCATCATTGATTAATGGTGAGTTCATTGTAGATGTTTAAGGAGGGGTTGTCCCTCCGTTTGGCACAGGGTTGTGATCGCGTGCGCCGCTGCCCTTCGCCGATGCATTACTTATGTATGTCCTCCCTTCTCTCCCCTCAGGCCCTTCCCAGCCACTATTTTTATTTTAGTTATGAGTATACATGCATTGATGAGTCCGCACGCGCCGCTCACCAGCTCGATCGATATCAGATTCAACCTAAAGGACCATTCCTAATATCCACGGTACAATGAACCTCGTATTATTTGGACGTATAGTGTATTTTTGGATGCACAATGAATCATCGATGTTTTTTTTTTATAGCGTAAACATTTCACATCGCTGTGAAGCTGGTCGATATTGCGTATGTAATTGAAGTGAAGCCCTACTCGCCGGCTCGGCCATGCTACCACGTGATCGTATCTTTACAGTAATCATGACTTATTTTTATTGTATGTGACGGAAATGTACAATTACTACAATTACAACGGACACAGTCACAGTGTCATAGCTTAAATGTGATTTCGACCTTTTGAATTTTAATACTAATGTTATATAACCATTTTAAAATCAAAATTATATCGGAAGAAGTATAATAGCTATTATTTTCCAAATATTTGTGTGATTTTAACGCACGTATTCAATTATAAAGTCACATGTTTGAATGTCTTCCAAGATATAATAGATATATCGTATTTAGCCTATAATTTGATTAGGTGGCACTTCTCCCAGTGGATACATTAACGATCGTCGAGCTGTTGAAAAACTTATTGCTTAATAAGATATTGAAGTTCCAATTAATTTATTTTAGGCTACGAGGATGTTGATTGTCACATAATAGCTACATAAGTATGACGAAGTATTGATGTACCTAATTATTCTTACACGTTTAATAAACTAAACTAGATAAATCATTACATTAAAACAAATATAGAACAATATTTTGTATTACCCACTATGAAACATTATTATTTTCTTAGTCATTAAAATACATTTTGTTTTATATACCTATTATTATTTAAAGAAAAAAAACTATATCATGTAGGTATAATATGTAAATCATATTGTGAAAGATTATGTAAAAAAGATGTATCTGTCTAAAACGCTCACAACTAAATTAGTACGTAATATTTTGTTTTGTTTTCTCATTAAGTTAAATTTAATTTCTTTTGAGAAATAAATGTCTTTAACCACATAAATAGCGTATATGTGTCTATTAAGGTAGAGGAAATAGTTTCAAGTTCTACCTTGTCAGGAAGTCCGCTATTGGGCTATTGTTCTAGCGTTGTTGCCACAGGTTCGAGGGTAAGTTCCGCCCTCCGGAGTAATGTGATCCAGAGAGGCGACATCCGCATGAAGCCCCTTAATCCTCCGATATCGCAGATTACCATACCGTCTCGTCATTGATTATAATTACGTACGAAAATAAAATTCTTATTAAGACGTTTCTCCCTATTGGCATATCTACAGATATTAATGTTTTTTATAGTTAAACTTCAAAACTTTGTGCAGATTCTTATGAAACTACGATTATTTAGCTTTTATATCATAGTAAAACGTGGACTACAAACTAAGATATTGTTTGAGTTACTTTTAACATCTTCATATACGTTTATAGTTTCTTATAAGTTTATCAAGATATATTGTGACGATCAGATATCATAGTAATATATTATGTAAATGATGTTCATCTAGTACATATCTAAATTTATTTTGAAACTTTAATTCCTTTAGAAGTACAAGAAACACGTAGCTTTCTTCGTGTCTTAATTATTATTTATGTACAACAGCTGGCGGGCAGAGGTTGGCTGAGCGAGGCAGTCCGTCCGGCGAACGACGAGGTTATTTATAAAACAAGAGTTGCGTCTCGTTTTGTCTTCGGCTGGCTCTTTATTTTGTCTAAATATACGCAGTTTTGGGAACGTCGCCTCTGCCGCGACACCAATGCTGGCGGTCCGCCAATACCACATATTTTCCAGCTAGCTTTTCTTTTGTACATGTCTTTATTCATTATTGTAAGACTTCTTAAGGCTACTTTATATAAAATCAATTATATTTGCGTAGATTTATTTTTATGTACAGGATTACGGTTTATTTTTATAACTTTAGTATCTTCAATGGAATAGATTAAGTTCAGAGAATGACTAATTTGGCAAAAAGCACGCACGTGTATTCTAAAAATATGTCTCGGGTAACGTCATTAGAGTATGATTGAATAACTTTTATATGACGAATCTGTTTCTGATTATCCAAATTGGTGATGCTGGAAGTGATAGATTCAAAAGGCGATCAGTTCGAATGCAAGGCCACTGGACACGCAAACTGTCTCGGAACTACATGTTGATTTGGTACAAAATTGGGACACAACTGGTCTACGTCAAATTCTATTCTAGTAAACTAACACGACATATTGATGATACAATGTATTAACAAAGGCAGTTTGTTTGGTGGATGCAATGAACAATTTTCCGCGCTTTTACTGCGAGGTTTGGCTTCTCTGGCACGTTTACGCGAATTCAGAAATCGTAAACGGTATTTAACGATTACACAGAGATTCGATGCTTCAACACCGAACATTATATTTTGCTCTGTTTAACTATATCAATAAATTTATATTTGATTGTTGTCTGGTATTAAATTTACATGTTACGATCATGACACGGGACTCTGGAATAAATTTGTATACGAGAGAGGGGCCGACTTCTCTTCGACAACAACCGCTGAGTCTAAAATCGTATTTCCGTAGAATCCTTACAAACGTCGTTAAGCTTCGGTGTCGGCTTTGCAGTTCGTCGACCGGACTTCGAACTCCTGAAACCAAGCAAAAACATTAAAACAAAGCATTATTTACTTTAACTGGTCGTGTGTGGGCCGCTTTTCAGGAGAAACCGTGACTAATGCCGAGGGAAATTTGCGTCATTTGATATTTGGCTGCAAATCTACTGCGTTATATTTGTTTTAGTGATGTTATATATGTTGTGTCGACAATCGATTACTGTTGGAGTCGAACTGGGTCATCGACAAAAGAGCATAGCATTTAGGCCGTGGCACAATGGTGAGGAGGAAAATATAATGAATCAGATAAGGCCGGTGGTGGACAGCGGTTCGACCTCGGCCGTCAAACGGCACGGCATCGATCGAATAGCGGCGCACATCATAGTCTCATCAAACACGCTAACCCTTTCATTTTTAAGGGTAATTCGAACATCGACACCAATAACATTATATAAGTAGTTTCATATACTATGTAATTGACCCACAAAAATAGACCGTGATTACTATCGAGAGTATTAATACGACCATTGTTTTTTGTCTTAACCATCTGATATCTGATAATTAAAAAATCAATCAAACTTAAGTCGAAAAGTTAGACGTTAGAGAGAAGTAAACCTTATTAGCTTCTTAATTATTAATCAATAATAATGCAAGGTAATGACTTTTCTCAACTTCGAATAATATTTTAAGGTAACAATGCAAAGAGCGTATTTAAATGCAAAATATCCTATTAAACTATGGCAGTATAATCTGATGTTAGTTAAAATAAATATCACATGGGAAAATGTATACTAAAATAATTTATTTATAATAATTTTAATTGATATAAATTATATTATATGTTCGTGATGCGTAAATCAATTACATGTATTGACTAATGATTTGCAATGACAATAAGCGAAGGTCATACATTATCATAGCAGCCGAACCGCGACTCCTTCCGGGGCCAGTGCGGACGCCAGTCTTTGTAATGGCAGGGGAAATTTCACCATAATAATCAAACCGGACATAGGACACGCTTATATGGCCATAAGCCACTAATCACGTACACTTTACTTAACATTAATTTTGATTCTGCTTCAGATCTTTGCCCGATTAATGTTAAATGTTCTATTTATGAGTCTCCCTTTACATATCGCGATAGCCAATCCGAAGCCATCCCAGTAAGCCATTTATAGCGAGGGTGTCGTCTTCTTGTCAAGAAGTATATCCCTGGATGCCGGAGCCCAGGCGGGCGGCCAGCGACCGAAATAGACTCAGCCTCGCGCGACTTAACAATGCAATAAAAAGAAATTAACATTTCTGAAGCTGCCTCTGCTAAGTTGACTCTTGTGTCATTTGGAAGACGTCCAATCTCAATGCGATATATTTTAGTTCCAAGTCATCTCTAGTCGCTTCCGTTAAGTAGGATCAAAAATAGTTCGTTCGAGAGCTCTTGATGACAGATGACATATTTCCTTAGATTTTTTCTTAATGAGGAATCGTAAATTTCTTTAATGTTTGTTACAGGATTCGGACTAGCGGCGGCCGCTGCGGCCGGCGTCCGTGCAGGATATCCTACAGTACTGCCCGCACATTACGGGTAAGTTTACATTTGATCTTGTGGCCTTTAAAGCATAGCATCTGTATCACATCAATGTTCTATGGCTCAACACTTCGATATTTGCCAGCACAAGCGGCGCCGCATGCCGCTTCAATTACATCTCACGAGACAAAAATCAGACCCACTCACATTAGTTTACAGCAGAGGTAATTTTAGGAATAACATATCACGAAGTCAATATCTACAAGAAATGTAGTAGACTTAAAGACAGTCAGATAATGATTATGATGGAAAAGTTTCTATATGAACATCGAATGTAAAGGATATGTAGGTAAGTAAGAGATGTAGTGTTGCATTGATTACAATTAGTTCAGCTGACTTTTGTCTCGGTAGATGAGGCGAGCGGCGTCTCCGGACGGCTAGCGACGTGGCAGCCGGCGGTCCACCTAGACTAAATAATCAGACATTTTCACATAGGTATCTATGGCAAGCGTGAGCGTGAGAGTGGATTTTTTCGTTTTGGGTGTGAATTAGTCGATTGGGTTTTAAATGTTTACGTTTTGAAGCTACACGTCTCATGGGCGGCTCCGGTAGACTCGAACCCGGCGCCGCTCATCATTCACAACCGCATCGTTATCGACACTCAATGTTTTCTTTAATTATATTATTTTTTTTATTTATGTTTTATGCCGTGTTCGTGTAAGATTTGTTGATTTTTGAATTGAGTTTTGTTGGTGGTGGATTTCGTTTAATACACTTACTAAGATAAATGTAACCGAATTTCCCTTGTAGCCTGGCGCGCGGCCTACATCTATTCTACATATTTATTGTATGTCATTTTAACAACGCTTATAAATATTATATTTTAATGTTTGATATTACTAAAAGTTTTCTCTTTATATTTTTATTTTCACGAAAATATATATATTTGTAAATATCTATCTATAAATATGAGGCCGTTTCTTTAGAACATAAATTTTATATAATAAAGTAATTGTCAGTTTTATATAATGTGGTTCATTCACGTTTCGATGATAATTAAAAGGCTAGATATATTCATATATATAAATGTGTTTAGTTTTCGAAATGTGAATGGCTCTGTAAGGGATTTTCAGTTACTTGTCGTCGCTATTGTCTTGTTAAACGCGTTGTCTCCATCTACACCCGCCGTCGTGTCATAAACATAGCGAATATTATAATAAAAAATATATAATTAGTAATGTTGTCACGGTGACCAGAGCCACCACAAACAATTACGTCTTATCGTTAGTTTAGACAATAATGTAAAAACAATTAAGTGAAAGTATCATTCGGTTAATAGAACATTCCATTGACACCAATTTATATCAAGATAGCCCGTCCTTGGCATCTTTGTAACTTTGTAGTGTTCTCGGTATATAGGAGTGCATGTAAGTAATAAGTTATATATAAATACAATATAGGTCTAACAGATATAATATTAGAGGTCAATTAATTCTAGTTTCTTTGCCTTTGTCCTGTAGATGTGAAGCTTGTGTGTCGTTTCGCCAGTTTTATTGCTCATTTCGCGTGTTTTGTACCTTTTACGTGTTTTTCTATGTTTTTTTTTAGTTTAAAAACTGTACCTACCTCCTTCATAGAGTTTTTCAGTCAAATTTATTTGAACGTAGGTATCTTGAATAAGATAGTAAACTACAGGTGGGCGGTTTAGACGGGCGGAGCTTTTTGTCGGGCGTACATTGAGCATGCGCGTTTCTCTCCAGCCCTTGTACCAAGCTAATGAAATTCGCTTCTAGATCCGATCATCCATAAATCCGTCCCTATTGAAATGTATAATGTTGGAAAAGGACAAACGTTCGATAAATGGTGAACTGAGTAGCGTGGTCCCGGCCAAGCACCCTTTGTAAGCGCTGATGCAGCGTACTAGAAATGCTCTTGAACAACTTGACCGCCCGCCGACATCCGAGAAAAAGCGTATTCGGCATTTTCTTTTATCTTATTTAAAAATAAAGTATTGAAAAAAATATTTTATAAGCTAAGTTGATTAGATCAATGTACACAATACACGATATCTTTTCGGATAGTATTAATTCAGATACTTCATGCCATAAGTGGTATGTAAGCATAATTTTCTCAAACACCATATAAAACAGTTAATATATTTGATCGGTATAAAGAATACAGCGTGAGGACATGTAACTGAGCTGTGATATTCGGTTTATTTTGGTCGCAGCGGATCTGCTAGCACATTTTTAACACATTTTTTTCCAACTTCCATGCCAATGACGCACGGCGGCGGAGTACGACAACTATAAATTGCATACCTACTTACATAACATAACCGTTTATCGATGTCTACTAACCTAACAGAACTAGATGCTCGACCTGTCACCAACTGGGGCTAGGTATAGTGTGATGACAGTTGTGAGACGTGCTCACTTTAAAAAATGACCTTTCACGCTAACATACCTAATTATGAATCGTGAAATGTCATTTGGGTTTCGGAAAAACGAACCTGCGTTTTAAATCGCAAGTTTGGTTGTTATTAAGTTATGATCAAATTTAATGTTCAATGATGATTGGCAGGTTGTCCCCGGGGTACGTGTACGGTGCCCCAGGATATGTGGGCGCCATGAGCGGGGTGGGCGCCAGCGTGGGCACTGGAGGGGGCTTGGTGCAGTTGCCGCAACTACAACACGCTGCGGCAGTGGCTGCTGCGAACCATCTTTATGAATACCAGGCGGCCGCCGCTCAAGGAGCTGCTGCATATCAACAGCAATACGCTGCTGCTGGATTCGATCCGTATGCAACTGCTGCAGGTCCGTTTTAAACACTTTATGGAATGTGTCAGTTCAAAAAATGACCTATACAGATACCATATATATTTAAGTTGTACATATAAATGATAATAAAAAATACTGTTCATGTAGCAGCAGCAGCAGCAGCCAGCGGTGCCGGCTACATGTCTCCATACTACACTCTCCAAGGCGGCGGTGTACAGGCTCCATTATTGCCACCATTGCCATATCCACCACAGCTACAAGAAGCGCGAATGCAATAATACCAACATAACAAAGTGGCCCAACAATATCATGAGCCACTCTCTCGGTGTTAAGTAATGAAAATGTGATGAGATGTAGTGTTGGAATAATGCTGTCATTACCGGTTCGATTACCGGAAAAACCAAAAAAGAAAACTGTCAAATACATGCTGTATCAACCAAATATTAATAAATGACCAAAGCTATAAGCTTTTACGTTAGAATTAAGGCACGATGAGGGTACTTAATGCCAGTATAGGTGAAGGGTTTAGGAAATTAATATTACCTAGAGTTGTAAAATAAAACTAGATACTAAATAACCTAATAGCAATCTATGAACTGTTTGGAAATGACAATGAAAACAACTGTTTATAATATCAATTATGTCATTTGCAATAGTTTCATTTAGTAATATAGTTAATATATTTTATACGTAGCTATGTAAAACGATGTTCTTGCCTCATTATTCAACTTCCTAATGTCATACCTATTTTTTTATCTAAATAATATATTTTAGATATATATTTTAGGTATTACTTTCGTCCTAATTCATTATTGAAGCCGAATAGCTGTCTGACAATAATGTTAAGAAATATTTGTCATACAAGTGGCTAGTGACTTTCCACGAATGCGTTGCAGATTTGTCTAAATAAAATTATGTATATCTATCCTCTCTATCACGTGTTTTACTAAAGTAAAAAAGACTTTGTTTTTATACGTTTACGCCATGACTATTGCAATTTTTGATACTTCCAAAACACCTTCCTTTTTTTTTTTGTTTTTACTTATATTTTATTAGAGAGCTATTCAATTTTATAATCGTGGTACGAATGTGAGGTTAAGTTAAATGCCGCTGTGGTCATTATGATAACATGTTCTTGGAACATCTGAAGAACATTGTATGCGGCGTTTCGACAAAAATGTAGGCAAATATATAAAGTTACTATGTTACAGTAAAAATTAGCTTTTGTTATTTCTGTAACGTGTCCACATTGCTCAATTCGTCTTAAGATGGACCCGGTTTAGCTTAAGTTAAGAGGAGAGCAATAAAGGGCTTATGTATTAATTATTAATATTATGTACTTATTAATAATAGGCTATATTATTAAGGGCCCTTATTTTTATGTTCTCCAAAGCGGTATAGAATAATTCAATTACTAGTCCATGTAATATTAATGATATTGAGTTTTTGACTTCCGCTGGCCGACATTATTCATTATTAAATATATATTATATATATAAATATTTGTATATTAATATTTTTTTATAACAATTCGATTTAGTAATGTCCAGTTTAAGGCCGGCGTAGTACAAGCGAAGGGCACTAGATATATCAAAATCTTAGAATGTAAGTTAAACATAATTATTATAATATGCTGTTATTCGTAATTTATTTTGTTGATATTTGTAAATCTACATGTTGATAACTATTTATTATGTGGAAGAGTAATAAAATTGTTAAATAATTATTTATAGAACTGATCAATGGTACCAACATACAAATAAATTCCGATGAATATAGATCCGTTCAGATATAATGAATTATACACACCGTAATTATAAGTAGAATATATTGAAAAACATACACCATGTTAGCCATATTGGTGGCCATCTTGCCTTAAATGTCATTATTTATACAATATATTATATAAAACATATCATAACGCGACAGAGCGTCCTCCAAGACCATAAGCATTTCATTCACAGTAATATAAGCACAATATATTTATGTATGACCTATATATAATATGATATCATAATAAATACCTAATAATTGTTATAATTAATTTAAAATTATACTATACTGTACTTAATTTAGGATAGTCTAAAGTGGAAAATAATTTTATAAGGTATTTTTGTTTTGTTTTCTTTCATAACCCAATCCCGTATTCCTTCGCCTTTCGAAAGAAAAAAAGATTTAGAGAAAATATTTTTTATGCTATTTTTAAATGTCATGTCCAACGTTCTATTTAAAAATCTAGTTTGAAGAAGTAGGTCGTTTGAATTTCCGTCGTCAAAGTTGGCGGGATTCCAGATTAACAATTACTGTAAATTGTCTTCCGAAATTAATGAGATCATCTCATTCTAATAACGGAACATTTTTTTTTTAAGTATTTCAGTAAAACTAGGCGACGCATCTTTGCATCATTCAGCCGAAAACAGATAATATATTCTTAAAAATATGTTTTAGTGCCACGAAAATTAAATTCGAAACAATGAAGAAAATGTAACTAAATAAAAGTTGTACAAATGTTTCACGAATTTGATGAAAAAAATTTAACTTGAAATAATATTACCACTGTCAGTTTTAAATGAAATGTGAATGATTTCTTCTTTAACTAATATCTTTTTTCAATTTTAATGACACTAAATCATAAAAGTATAACAAAACTAAAAGAATTTAATAAGAAAATGATTCACGCTGAGAAATTCATTCCGAAAATAGACAGCGTTACATTTAAGCCGTTTATAATTTTAATGTAATGGATGAAAATTTATAAACATCAAATATTTATACGGCTTTTCGTTTTACGTAAAAGTACATAATATATTACATGAATAAATTTATTTAGAAATGTACAAATTATTACTCAGTTGAAACGATGACTGCAATGTTTTTCATTGCTTGGTTTTAGTACAAATAGGATTTCAATAGAAAATAAAAATATGCTATTTCAAAGATTTCATTATCATAATTGGCGGTAATATCTTAAAGAGTCATTTAAATAATCTCAATTATCGTTACAGATACAAAGCATAACTACGGCTCGGGTACACAAATACTCTTCGATCCATTATTATAATGAAAACTAGAAAAGGCGTTATTATAAAAAAAAGTAATGAGAATCCAAAAAGTCATAAGAATATTAACTTTTTTACTAATACAGACTACATAAATATGTACTTAATGGCGAAACAGCTCTTCGTTGGCTTTAAGTTTAGGTTTATAACATCAAAAATAATACAATTAGAAATTTACGGTTTAATTTCAAAGTACTATTATAAACCACGACTTTTGATGACAAAAAAAAATAAGTATACTAAGTACCTAATATTAAAAACTATTAACAAAATATCTTTTTAATGTTTTTATAAATTAAATATAAGTCTTTTGTAAAGACGAGACATGATTATGTAAATGAAGTAATAAACATAAATTAATTCATTTATGCACAGATAATGTTTTTGTATGATAATAGTAAGTAGTAGTTTATTTTAAAATGGCAAGGATTGATAAGTTAAAGGAAACGGTACACGTGTTTTTTTTATATTTATGTCAGCTACAAAATAATTTCGGCTAACGATGTAGGAGAACAATAAAACACGATTGAAAATACATATTTTGATAATTTCCTTAGAGTCCCTGGCTATATATGCGTTGCTTTTCTTAATTATTCGATTTAATAAGTTACAAAGTCATTTTTGGAGACAAAATGAACTCATTACTGAAATTATTTGTTTGTTACATGTTTTATACTTTCATTAGATATTAGTAGAAATTAAGAAGTCATGGAGACGCGGTGCGTCTTGAGGGATAATTCTTATACTGCAGTAATAACAATAAAATTTTAAATAAGTAGAAAAAATATCTGATTATAAGTACTTTACGTTTTGTAAAATCCAGAAATTATGAGAAATGTAAGTCAGATGCAAAATATATAACACATTTATTATGTGTGACTCTTGTAATTTTTTTAAAACAAAATATTTATTATGGGGTAAACATTATCCTTTGCTCATAAAAACCAAGCAAAACAATATATCTAGCCGTTCTTTGGAAAGATGAGAACAAATCTCTTGAAAAATCTACCAATTAATAAGTACAAAGTACCTCTAAGAATACGCGCAATCAAATTTGCTATTCCCCAAAATGTATTTTTTTGTAATTTGTATAACTTTTTGTCGTACAAAACCCAAGTACCCAAAAGTATGAGTCACTATACATATGGTGACTTAGCATAATAAATTGCAGTACTTTATAATATAATGTTGCTAAAATGTATTTACCAAAAGATTTCAAGTAGGTATTCAGTTTTTTGTCAAATCACTATAGTGAAATATATGTTTATCTGTCACTTGTAAAATATTAATTAAAAAGTGGAGTTTTTTGATTGGGAGTTATATTAAATATCTTTATAATAACTTTATTATTTTTAAGTATAAGTTATTTTGGAAATAAGTTAAATATTTATTGTTGAACGTGAATCCAAACTTTCAATGTCAATTTGACAGTTACAACAGTGACACTAGTAAGATTTAAAATGAAAATACTCAGCGTCGTGTGTATAATCACATTTTGTTTATAACTAAAATATTCACTATTGAAACATTTCGTTATTTTGTGTTAAAGTTTTTAATGAATTATCTAACTTCGTCCCGTATTTAAGTCCCTCAATATTTCTGTACATTTTAAAGAAAGTGATGTTTTATTAGTAAATAATTCAAGACGAGAATCATGGCTGGTCAAGGGCATCAGTTTCCTGGAAATTTCCAGGGTAATGCTGGAGCTATGAGGACAGGCTTCGGCGGAGGACCCATGGGCAATCAAATGCAGGCTATGCCCAATCAATTAACTGGTACGATGATACATTGTTATATTATTATGTTCCAAGCAATCCCGGCACTATGAAAAGCCGTAAAATCATTCTTTTTGTACGATTAAATTGTATGTTCTCTGTTTATTTTTAGGTTTATCTCTATATATGCATTATGGTGTTTATTATAATGCACTTATTTTGTTAAGACTGAAAAATTCTAAGTGTATGTAAGTTTAAATGATACTGTCTCATTTCTAGGTGTGATGGGTGGGCCGATGGGTAATGCAGGCATGGTAGGGATGGGTAATCAGATGGTGCCACCCTATGGAGCAGCAATGCCAGGTCAAATGGGAAATATGAGCATGGGGAATCAAGTGAGTCGTGTGAAAGTAATATTATACTTGTTAATTATAAATATACTTGGGGAGAGTGACAATTTGTGTAACTAGCTTCACATAATTTTAAGTATCTATATTAGAAAAAGATTGATAGACGAAGTTCAAAATCTTAACACTTTTCTTATATTATTAACTTTTAAGTTTGTTTTTCCATAATGGTAGTGATTTACGAGTTTAATTAAGGAAATTAATAAGTTTCAACTCTCTTATATTAATCTGCTTCTATTACTGATATGCTATGTTAGTTACATGAATGTGCGCTATCCCTGACAATATATTATATTATGAAAATATTTTCTCAATACTCATATCACTAGTTTGCATTGTCTCACTGTACATTAATATGAATGAAACATTTTAATTTTTTCATTCAAAAATTTATATTAATGTTGCAAACCCAAAGATTTATGAATCAAAAACTGACAAAGCTTTGTATGCAGCATGGCATTGTGAACTTGTGGTAAATGTGATATTATAAGTGAATGAAAAAGTATAGAATGTATAAAATATTACTTAAAAACAGCAATGGTAAAGTAAATGTAACTTATATGTGTTTACCTCATTTCTGTTGTAGGGTATGGGAGTGGGTGTAGGCTCCGGGCCGACAGGTCTTGGACCTCAAGCGGTACAACAAGCAGGTAGAGGTTCATATACCATTTATATATTCTTATACTAACTTTCCGCCCACAGCTTCGCCCGCGTTAAGTTCGGTTATATCGCGTTTCCAAGAGAACCTTTCATAAGTCTGGGATAAAAAATTAAAAACTGTCCCATGTTCTTTTTCAAGGTGAACTCCATCTCTGTACCAAATTTCATTAAAATCAGTTCAGTGGTTTAGGCGTGAAAGCGCATTTTCCATTGTTAACGCCCCCCCTTTGTGGTGGAATTCCATAAAATCCGTTCTTAGCTGTCCTCTAGTCGGCGAAAGAAATAATTCCAGAGATGTCGTGATGACTCAATATATAGGTGGAAGTCTCTTTGATATACATATATAGATAAAACTTCCAAATTAGTTTATTGTATGTACTGTATTGTAAAAGATACCGAAATGAGCTACAATTTTTTCTTTACTTTATTAAGACCTTTTCATGTGTATGATCACACTGTTTTATATTATATAAAATAATTTCTTTTAATTTGTGTAATATCCAAAAATAAAAAGTCATAATAAATACTGATATAAAATTTTGCAATTAAGAATATAATATTGTTAATTTCAATTCTTGTTAATTTTAATGTATTTTTTAATTATTCTTAACTAGCTTTCCGCCCGCAGCTTCACCCGCGTGGAGTTCGGTTATATCGCGTTGCCAAGAGAACCTTTCAAAAGTTTGGGATGAAAACAATCCTATGTTCTTTCTCAATGTCAACTCTAAGTCTGTACCAAATTTCGTTAAAATCAGCTCAGTGGTTTAGGTGTGAAAGAGTAACAGACAGACAGACAGAGCTACTTTCGCATTTATAATATTAGTAGGTATATATAAATTTTGGATAAGCTTCTTTAATATTATGTTCATGATTTAAGTATTTATTTTTGTTTTCTTTGTTGTATGAATAGTTTGATAGAGAAAGAAAATTAATTCTTATAGTTTATATGAGACTATAGTATAAGTATTTAAACAAATATTTATTTTCTAATATGTATTTAATTCAAGGTATGCAAGTAGCTGCCGTACAAGCTGCAGCCCCTCCCCCCGCGCCGGTAAATCATCCCCCACAGAACAAAGAGTTCAATACAGCTTCCTTATGCAAGTATGTTAGCTTAATTGTCCTAATTAATGTTATAATTAGTCTACTTAACTTCCTCTAAGGACATTTATGTAGTACTAGTTTTGCCAACGACTTCTTCTGCAGTATTTGCGGAATTAGTAATGTATAGCCGATCAGGCGACCTCTATTCCTCTTTAAAGACAGTAGTTTAGGAGATATTGGATTTGATTTACTTATTTTCTCTTTTTCAATGGAATGGAAAGTATTCTGTCTTTTCTCTTGTTCTTAACTATCTCTCCAATTTTCAGCCAAACCCACCCAGCCGTTCTTAAGTTATAAATAGTATAACTAACACGACTTTCTTTTATATATAAGGTTTAAATATTATTTATAAATATTTTACAGATTCGGTCAAGAAACTGTTCAAGATATAGTAAGCAGAACACAAGATGTGTTCCAAACCCTGAAGGCAATACAACCACCAAATGGAACACAACACGGAGAAAATGCTAGTAATGACAAGAAAGCAAAGATGCAGGAACAATTGAGAACCATAAGGCTTCTGTTTAAACGGCTGAGACTCATATATGAAAAGTGTAATGAGACATGTCAGGTGAGAATCTTGTATAGTAGATACAACTATATTTTTACTAAAGAAATCTATTAAAAGTACGGCTAAGTTTTTCTATGACTTGTTTTTTATTGGTAAATGATAATATAATCATGAATGATTGTTGAATTAATACTTGTTTGTATTGATGAAGCGATGAACAGTGACTGAGAGCATATTTATTTTAATTTAAATTTACTCCTATATAATAGATGGCGCTGTTGTTAATTTTTAATTACAAAACGTATCATATACGTAGTCTTAACCATGTCCGATAGATGGCGCTAATATAAGAAAAAACTCTAAATAATTTTTCAAATTTAGAAACAATAAATCTTCATAGATTCTATAATTTAATTGAAATGATATTATTTAAATTATAATTTATGAAGAATATGTAACATATGTCAATAATATAATGTTGTCAGGGTATGGAGTACACACACATGGAGAGTTTAATACCACTGAAAGATGAAGCAGAGAATAAGGCTTTGGATGAGAGACGGAACACTGAGACTTATAGACAAGTGTTGGAAGAAAACAAGGAACTTACTGAGCAGGTAATATTATATTATATACTCAAATATTTAGGGTTGCCTCTCATACGAAACACATATTTATTCAGTAATACATATATGTACATACTTTATACATGTATACATTATATGGACGCAAATTTCCTTGTTGACTTCTTAATAACGCACCTTATAGTGTATTTATTGTATATTTCTTACCATACGTTTTTCACACTATATTGATAGATATATTTTATACTATACACACAGTCATAGTCACTCCGATTTCGCCATTGAGCCAGACAAAAGTAATAAGTTGCTTCCCCAACATTTAAAGGATACTGAATGAAGAACTTAAAACGCTTTTAATAGTGTGAAGATAGAAACTTGTAGTATACATGTAGTCTGTGTTTCATTGAAGTCTGATAACTTAATACTTTAACTACTGCTTAAAAAGTAATTTATTATTTCTGTAAAAAAATATATTTGTATAAAATTTTAAGTAATATTGAAATCTGAAACATGTGACAACTGCTGTTTTTAGTTAACTAATAGGTTCGTGCATAGACGTTTTTGCTTTTCACTAAATTGACAAATAATGATCGGTGTAATTAAGATTAAGTAATAATTTTCGCACGCAATCTTATATCGTTGTTTTCTTAGTCTGCTAATTAATAATAGTCAATTTGTAATCAGTATGTAATGTGTCATGTTTCTTTAAGTTCTTTTCTATATATTCTTTACACTTTTATTAATGTGTGGTTATAGAGAAGTAGTACTAAAAAAATTATGACTCATTAGATAGTGGCTATTTATCATTCCTATTAAATGTTAATTGAAAATGACAATTGTACCACTAAAAGCTAGAAACTTATATGTAAGCAAATTATTCCATACTGTTCCTTTGGTGTTTATTAATTGTCAATTTATCCATCCATATAAAAAATATTCATGAAACCAGTCCATAATAATTTCAAACAAGTTTTTAGTACAAATAAAATTTAATAAACAAATACTGTAAATTCATTCATGTTGTTAGACTATTGAAAGATTACATATAAAATAAAATTCTCATACAAAGATATTATATATGTGTTAATAATAATTTATAACTTTTGATTTGATATTAAATATATGATATCCGCTTATGACTCATTCAGCGAGTGATGACCGAATGGAAGTAGTGACTAATGAGTGAATGAAAATGATGCATAATTTTTTTTCTTTCAGGTGGTATTAAAAAATAAGCAGCTGAGGGAAGTGATAACGAATCTTAGGACAATAATATGGGAGATAAATGTCATGTTGACGATGAGAAAGTCATAGTTTATTAGATATATAATTGTATTAACTTCTAGAACAATAAATATTCCCTGAGTAACATTATCTCATCTGGAACAACGGATGAAGATGAGTTGAGCAATCACGATGTTAAAAATAGCAATTCATACATCATCTATGACTGATACCTGTAATTTATATGCAATTTTGCAATTATAGAATGTTATAAATTTAACAGCAATTCGAGTGTGAAAACTTAATGAGGATTTAAATAAAGTTTCAAATAAGTAAATAGGTGATGTTTTATTCAAAGCATGAATCAGATTTGAAACCAGTTTGAAAGATTATTTTGTTTTTTAATATAAACTGTGAATGAATATTCAAATGACTGAGGAAGTTGACTGAGTAAAACAAAAAAATAAGTGTTTATCAATTTATTTACTAATCAATAAAAAAACAGACGAACGTGTATTTTTAGTTTTTTTTTTTGTAAAATCGTGAGTGTGTATAGTTTACAAAAAATAATAAAAGTAATTATAATAAATAAACGTATGCTAATTGGCAAGCTTAGTTTTTATCTTCGAGAAACTTATAGTTTTAAAATTAATTACGTTATACTATCTGCGTTCCGCTGGCCTGACGTTCTCGTATTTCTTTTTCTTTTCTAGAACTTTCTTTTCATGGCGTCGGTCGTTGTAGGATATTTCTGGAATGTTCCCTTGTTCGGTTTCTATAGCTTCAGAAGCTTCTACTTGTTTACCAGCACTTCGTCCCGAGGGTAGGGCGTGGAACGCTTCCGCTAGCTCAGGGTTGATCTCTTCCAAAGGAGTGTCCCCATTCCTTATATAAACCGGTACATAACCAGGCACTTCTGGTAAATACTGCCATCTCGGCCGTCCATCTGAAACACAAATATCCAGTTTAGATCAACCGCTAGCGAAACGGCCGGCCATAAATAGTTTTCCTGCTATCGCGATGTCTATTTCGTGGTTTTACGGTAAAATATATTTATTTTATTGCACCTATATATTTACTGTTAATCAAATTAGCGTCCGTGACATTACGAGGCTATTACCACACAAAGTTAAATGCCGTGACTTTATTTTATACAAATATAAAAATACTATAAGATTAGCTTCTCATTATTAAACAAAAGTTAGGTTTAAATTTATTAAATTGTAAGCAATATTGGATTCTTGCTTTGAGTTTTCGGGTCAGTTTAGTCGCTAACCTTTTGCATTCCGACTGCAATCTGTGTTTCATATAGCATGATTAACTAGAAGGTCGTCATGTGCATTTAACATTGTTGATACCCCGGAGGTTAAGAGATGCTCACGCCTAGAGACCGTGCGTCGTAAATTCACTAATAGATATAGGAGGTCGCCTGTTTTGACCGCTTTCGTTGGGGTCATTCAACTTGCAAATTTTTTACGCAGTGTCTACTATTGTTGTATTTTATCCCATTTGTATTCATAATTCTCTGATTATAAAGATATGTTAAATATGAGAGAAACAAAAAACATCGCAATGAATATGTGTTAATTCTCCTATTCTAATTATATTATTCGTATATTTACGGAACTTCGTGAGGATATATTATGGATGCTTGTTGCTCTTTTGTATTAAATATATTTAAAAAAAATTGATGATACCTATTGTAAATTAATGTAGCTTAGATATCATAATAAGACATAAATAAAAATTCGTTAATTAAGTGTAGTTTGCAATTAGACACATTGTAATAGTTTTATGTAAAATGAAGTGACGTGATATGGACGATATTTGTCTTTGCCCGTTGGTCCAGTTACTAATTAATACTATTAATAACGCACGCATTATTAATTTCTGTAAGAAAAATCAGAAGATAATACGGACAAAGACTAGTGAAGAGTATTTTTCCATGTCTTACATATGTTAATTAAATGCTGTTTTAAAGGTGACTTTATTACTTCAACTATTGCACGTCGACTTACAGATGGCTGCAGATAAATATAAAGTTAAAGATCTTCGGTAGAGGTCGCTTAGGATCACATAAGTCTGCCTAGGGACTTATTTGCTCATTAATTACTCTGCGGTATTTCTTTAATATTAGTAAACTCTGTGTTAAATTTTTAACATTCATCTAGAATCTTAGTGATTGTATGTACGTATAATCTATTTTGTAGTCTAATATTTAGATTGATATACTGTTTCAAATGGAATATATGTGGTGTCAGATTGTATTTCTATTGGTTTTCCCATTTTGATATTGACAACTGATAAGTCCAGATTTAAAATATGAGTTTAATCGCTTGATTTGGAAAAAAAAATCCAGGATATACGTGTAAATAGTCCGTATCTCCTTGAATGAGAAACGGGAAATACTTCGTATGTAGTGAGGTGATACAAACTTAGACTAAGCATATTGAGCGAAGATAAATTTGCGAGTACGCTGAATTACATATAATTATACATAAACATATATAATATACATGTGTAAGCAGAGGAAAAAATTACTTTTTTTTTTGGTTTGGTTACAATCTATAGGCATATAAATTATTACTGGTAATTCCTCTACCATTAGGAATTCGGAAGTTTTACAATATATTGAGGTAATAAGAAACAATATTTTATAATAACGGTAATAAGGGATGACAATGTAAACATTGCGTTTCTGAGTTCAAACTATATTATAAAATGTTTAAATTAATAAAATAATTTCGTTTAATTAGTTGAAATTAATTTCAAGATTCATAAAATTTTACAGAACCTTTTTTGTTTATGTTACTGAAATAATTACTTTCATACATTTAATAACCTGTACATATTTGATTTGTATTTAATATTGAAAAACAAGTTTTCTATGACATACAGCGTTAATATTGTCATCGCGAATATAAAATATAACGAGCGAAAGTTTTTATTAATTGTTACTTTTATTCCCAGTGTGATTTAAAGCACTTTAAATCATCAAGAAATAATTGTAAAACAACTCTCTTTATCTTGTCGTTACCTGAGAAAGATTATTTAAACTCATTGCCATTGGCATTTTCAGATTTTAAGACAGTGTTAAGCCAATCAATCATCGAACTTGAAACGCCAGTGCAATGACCTAAGCACTGGAATCGACATGATCATTTGGAGTTTCTCATATCTCCTAAGATTTTCAACGTAGGCTTCATTTGTTACATAAATCATTCAAACGATAATAATTCTTCAGCTAAACTATTATAGGCTATTTTGCTGTGCTTATATTTAATGATTGTGTTCAAGCAAAAGTTGTATGCGACTTTCATCTAACGGTCGTGAATAGCGAGGTTGTTTTTGCTTGTCGAAATGTTAACTGTAACCGCATTATTGCACTTGTACACATGATAACGAATTAATTTGATCTCCAGATGTATACAATAGAGCACATATTCGAATGGTAATGATTGAAAGGCAATCTTGCTCTCCCAGCATCTTTCACCAATTGCCTCTTTGACCGAGATTTTCAATGAGTTGTAAAGTGTACTATTAGACTATAGTCTAGTATTTATATCTATATATATCTAGTTTAAAGTTTGTAAAGATAAACTACCTAATTACTCTGCGATAGATTGCTTTATATAAGTATGCCTAGATAGAATGAAATGTAAGTTATAATCTATGTATTTCTTAAAACTAGGTCAGTAAGGTGATGTACAGCGGTTATCGTGTTTCCTTACCTATCATTAGATATGTGTTAGTCAAAATAAACATTTCTATACATTAAATATAAATATAAATGCAGACACGGATGCATAGACTCTCTACTTCATAAGCAAAAACAGCATTATTGTCATTATGTGTCATCTGTTGTAATTTGAAATCGAAAAACTGCATAGGCTAAATGAGGAAGTTTTGACAAATTTGATAGGATTTCCAAAAATAGAATTCATCATCAAATTAGTTTAATATATTGAGAGATACAAGGAAAATGACGAATGGAAATAACGAAGCGAGTACGTAGATTTTATTGCAATACCAACTTTCTATAAAATATATTATATGTACAATACTTTGGGGAAACTTATAAGGCTACTTCCTTATACTCATTTTTTTCGCTCTTTTGCCTGCCTACATTGTCTATTTAAGATTTTTTTAATAACTTAAATTACTTACTTTTGTATTGCTACAGATTGCTGTTTTAATCACGTCTCATTTATTTATAATACCTAATATACCTTTTTTAATGTTCCAGACGTCGTGCTTAAAAGCTTTTTTGCCTTTCTCAGAATAACGATGATATCACTACAGCCTGAGGTAGGATGCGTGAGTTTCTGAGGTATTATGAGCAAAAAATATACCATAGCCTCAAAAGTAACCTTGAAACGTTTAGGTATTGAGAATTTTTAGAGAAATTCAACAAATGCTTCATTATCAGCGGCCTTAACTTTGATTATTCTATTAAAACTTCAAAATCCCGGCGTTAAATAAATGTCCTTGTTTCAGACAATCGGTTTCATATTACAAATCGGCCATTGTTGATATCAAGAGACGTAATTGACTTCAAAATCGGTGTAAATATAAAAAAATAAGCTCACGATCACGGATGGATTAATCACGATTACTCAGATTCAGTCGTGACTCTGTTAAACATATGTATTGTTATTTACCATATAATATATCTTAATTGTACCTGCATTATGTAAATTTTTAATTATATTGGTTACGCTTGTTAAAATAACCATAGGAATAATTGTTTTGTTCGCGGCTCGTTGGACTCCGCAAGTGCTTCTCATATATGTTTTCTTTAATATTGTTCGAGCTTAAGTATGGGATTTCTATAAAGGGTTTTTTATCTATTTCTTTCTTTATAACACAAGCTACTAGATGTAATAGATAGAGAATACTGATCCCATCACCATGTGGGATACTCAGTAAGGAAGAGAGAGAGAGAGAGATCATAATTCTTCTTTTTAAGGACCATTTAATACATATATACTTTTTATTTATAGCGACGTAAGGGGGTAATAAAATGAAATTTAGACTTATATAATTACGAATAAAATTACGTTACACTCACTGTTCATTTTATTTAACTGACTGCGGAGATCCAAGAAATGTTAGTTTTTTTTTTTTTCATCTGTGTATCGTTTTATATGTGTAGAAACGAATCAGCTTATTATTATACTTTCAAACGATAATTGTATTTTATATCGTTAGACTACTTTTATTACGCCTTATTTTTCATGCTGACGCTAAGTGCTTTTACGCTTTTAATTAAGACAGCAAAAAGTAATTTTGTTGTATGTGTTTGTAAATATAACATTAATATACAATCTTATGTGTGAATATCATAATACAGATTTTCCGACGCTTCCAATGTACTTAGTGAAAAAATAAGAAATTTGTTAAATTTTTTTTGAACTACGTAATTCTATTTGCCCTTTACGTAGCTATCAATTAAAAATATATACATTTTAATTTTTAAATACATAGTTCTAAAAGTATAATTTTCATTTTAAAAGAGAATGATTATATCTGTCTGTGATCACTAATATCAAGAACAGAAGTTTGTTTTTACTTTATAAAAATACTTTTTATGTTCTGTAAACTTATTAAACTATTAATTTACATAGCTAAAGTACTATCACTGGTGTATAGTCACAGTGAGTTCTGGTTACTTTGTAACAAAATTAAAGTATTAAACCATTTTATACTTAAAGTTAACAAATATACTTGAATAGATACCTTAATACGAGAAATATTAAGAAAGTACGTAAAAATTTCAATATATTTTATTATATTAAAAACTTGTTTAATAAATAAATTGTAAAAGGACGGCGGAGCAATTATATTGAATTCTGGCGAATATATATAAACAGGTTGTAATTAAATTACCGTTGTATGAAACGAGTTGAAAGCGATAAAAAAAAGTTAAATTATAAAATATTTTGAGTTATTATTAATTTATTTTATGTAAAAAAGGACAATATTTTTAATACTATAAAATATATGAAAAACAAATAAGTATTTAAATTTGATATAACGTAATTGGAATAAAAATAATTTGATATTTATAACTTGCTTATTATAATTGATATATTAATTATATAACTCACCTATGACGACCAGACATAAACACAATAAGATTATTATTTTATACATTGCGAATATAGTAAAGAACAGTCGCGGTCGGCGGTTATCTTGCGAGTGATGCGCCTGCGCATGAAACCGGATAAAAATACTAACTGTACGATGCAACTTTCCTCTCGCGAATTAGATAATGCTGTCCACAGTTTGACATACATATTTATCGATAATCTATAATATTGGCTGAATGTTGTCAACTATAGCCTCTACAAGAACTTTATTAAAAAAAAAGAACATAGACAGGACAATGTCTGTTAAAACTTAAACCAAATATAACTTGCATATAAATACGTTACATTTATTCTTAATTCTCATT